TTACTTTGTTTGATCAAAGAATATAGCTGGTACAGTATATTGGCTGTTAATTTCTTAATCAACTGTAAATAAAATCACGTTTTCACAGGTCCCACCGTAATATGATAAATCTATGCTCATTGCTCATGTCCTCGTCAACGTCATACGCGATTTTAACGTTTTGTTATCAATAAAGAATTCTATAGACGTCTAATATTAAAATAATTCTTTATTTTAAACTCAAATTAGCTAATTACTCAATAAAAGGAACTTGTTGACGATGAGCGTCAATGTTAAATTAGAAGCTGAAACGTTTTTGGTTTTAAAATTACGTTTTTTATTTCATACAAATCCGTTACGTATGAACGCTAATGTGAATAATAGATAAGGACGCACGCACTAGCATTTAAAACTAGACCAACACTCACTTGGTCGACAGTTAATAACGCACAATGAAAACGTCGCCATTAATTAGTGAAGAATCTAGAGTTTTTTTTAGATAAATTATTTTATATCATTCCTAACTCATGGGGGTTTCCCCATGAGCGTAAAGAATAATGGGGCCTTCAATGTCATAAAAGGTACTTGCGTAAAATCCAAATAGTTTATAATTTATATCTTCTTTATATCAAGTTATTCTTTAAATTCCGATGTGCGTGTATTCGTGATTCTGCTCCACCTAAGTGGTATGATCGTTTTGATGTTTTGCTGTGTTCTTGTCTTTGGTCAACTGGATGGTTCTTAGATATAGTTGGACCGATTGGTGTCAAAGTCCAGTTTTTATTTAATTTTCCGACTAAATCGGGTGCCCATTTGTCTACCGTAACCGCTGATTTTTATATGTTTTTGTTTCTATTTTTTCCCATACGCGATATATTATGGTGCAAGTAAGTTTACTTTGTGGTATAGTCGGCATATACCTAAATTAGTCGATACTGATGTTGAGTTTTTTATTTTGTTGAGTGCGTGTGTCTTAGTGATGATTTTTTTATGTCAGTTAAAAATAAATCAACTCTTAAGAGGATTTAAACTGTATATTTTAGCAATATAATATATACGTTTTCTCTGACAGCCTAAGTTTATTAAAAATGAAATCCATACTAATATTATAAATGTGAAAGTGTGTTTGCTTGTTTGTTTGTTTGTTTGTTTGTCTTTCTTTCACGTCGAGAAAAGGGAGTGACGAATTGGCGTGATTTTTTATGTGGAGATAGTTGGAGGGCTAGAGAGTGACATAGGCTACTTTACCGCGGGATTGTCTAATTCCCACGGGATAACACGTTATAATACAATGCAAAAAATATTTATGATCAGAATTACCTGAAACCTAATGCTCTTCAATAAAATTAAATAAATACGTGTTTTAGCATTTTTCGAAATTCGTCCTATGAGAGGGTAAAATAGGGGATGAAAGTTTGTATGAAACTACCTTTACGAGCGAAGCCGCGGGTTCTGCTAGTTGTATATAAATGTTTAGATTAGATTACTTTATCTTACAATTTGATTGACTCCTTATTATATACTCGTAACTACAAAAATATATACTCGTATATGCTTAAAAAGCTGCCCATACTTTTAAGTTAAATTTATATAGAAAATAGAGAAGTATTATTGTGTTAAACTTATGTTACTATGTAAATTCAGTTAGTAAGCCTTTAAAAAGAAATAAATTTGACCTCGATTTGACTGATGGACTTAAAAATCGATTACAACTAAGAATCGACTTAACACCAATTATATATTATTTTGACATTAAACTTGACTTTGGTGATCTCATTTAAGTATTTGAGCTAAAATGATCCATGAAACATGTGCAAGAGGAAGGAAACTTTGGATATATCTTGGCATATAATATAAAGTGATATCCGTTTCTTTATACGCTGCTCTTTTTATCCGACTGTGCGACGCAAAGGAGGCTAATGTGTTTTTCAGTCTATGTATGTGTGTTCATACGTCGTATGATTCGTCTTGACAACGCGAGTGTCAAAGGTTATATAAAAAAATAGTTAAAAATTAAAATGGCGGATTTCAGGTGCCAATTTGTCTTTAAAAAACAATTCTTCCAAACCAATCGAGTGGGGTATTAAAATAAAGGTTTTTAAGAGGCGATCACAAAAATAAGATAAGAATTAGCTAAATATAACTTCAAATGTCTAATTGACAAAAAAGCTGTAAATAAAAAAATGTATCACAAAAATAAAAAACCCGACTGCATAAAAGCTAACTAAAAAGATGAAAACAAGTTGACGAAGAAGTAAAGAATTTTATCATCACTATGCAGGATATTTCCCTGAAACATTTTAGGTACTTAGTAGCTAGTAGTACCTACGTATACAATGACATACTGCCTGTAAAATTAATAGTTTATACTATTTATATCAAATATTTTAGAAAAACTTCGTATTGAATTATTACCACACATTCCTTTTTTTATGTTGGTAAAGTATCACGTCTACAGCACACCTATTTTTATAGCCTTAATATGACAATATATTACGGAAAGTAGCGTTTTTGTATAATAAATATTACATCCTGCTCCGCTTACATGCTTTTTTAATTTGACATTTAAACACTGGTTTTCTTAAGAAATGTTTTTTTTTAAATACCTATACAATATATAAATATTTTATTTCTATCGTCATAACTTCAAAACAAATTTTGCGGATTCTTTTGAGTAGAGGCTTACAGCGGTTGTTAGCAAATCAGTGACCTGATGTGATAGTTTATGTATAACTAGCTGTGTCCCGCGGTTTCACACGCGTTAAATTTGTTTGATTATAAACATCAGTTTTACCTTAGATTATTTATATGTTTAATAATCTAAGAATTTTAAAATAATGTAAAGAAATCTTCCCGATTTGGTGACACTTATGATTACTGCTCGGCTCCCTTGAGTAGTAGCATGATGATATTATAGCCTATAACCTACCTCAATAAACGGGCTATCTAATGCAAAAAGAATTTTTCAAAACGGATTAGTAGTTCCTGCGTTTAACACGTTAAATAATCAAACAAACAAACTCTGCCTTTTTATAATATTAGTATAGATTTTTTTATGCTGATTGATATTTAATTTTGATGCATTTACAGTTCATGTAACAAATCATCTATGCATACTGTAGGAAAATTAAGAGTTGAGACGTTCTAACTTTAGAACACGCGACATGAACCTGTGCGTGGTATCGTTGCTGTTTCACTTTCCTTTACTTACAACGTTCGAACTACTAATAGTTAGCAATTAATTGTTAACCAATAGTTAGCAATTAATTGTTGGTTTGCTTTTTTTCACACAACAATGGAGCTACCTCATCTACACTAATATTATAAGGATGTAAAGTTTGAGTTTGTGAGTTTGTGACGTTTTAGGGGGTAATCTTTGGATCTACAGAATCGATTTAAATGAAATTTGGTAAGAAGATAGTTTGAGACTCTAGGAAGGATATAGGATAGTTTTTATCCCGGAAATCATCCCTTAAGAGGAGAAAAATGGGGATGAAAGTTTGTATGGGTTTTTGCAATCCAAGGACGAAGCCGGGCGAAGCGAGGGTGAGTCGCTAGTTTTTTGTATCAAGATGGCCTTCTTTTCAACTGACTGCGGCTAAGCCCAAAAGGAGGGTTATGTAATTAACGTGTAACTATGTATGTATATTTTATAAATGTCCAATAATTTGTCCCTCGTACCTAATTACTAACTGATTTTAATGAATGATACGGTGGTAGATTCGTCTTTATAACGCGAGCGCTATGGGTAATTTATTTAAATTTTAAATTATAAAAAAGTAATATGACTGATTTTAGACGCCTATTTGAGCGTCCTAATTTTTTTTTATTAAACTATTTTTCTACGTCAATTTCTATTTATCCTTTTTATTTCTCTTTACAGGCTGTCGGGTTATTTGTTTTTGATTGATATTATTCTATCAAAATATGACTTAGAGATGCACTGTCATATGGTTTTAGAAAATTTATCTTAAAAGTAAATACTTTGTCTGTTTCCCGCAACAATTGCAATAAAAAATATTAACCTATATTCATAACATACTTGAACAAACATACTCGCACATATAATGATTATATAAAAAAAGCGTTTTGTAATTATGTTTGTTTCAGTTTATTAAATACCTCTTCATTTATCCAAGTTAAATTCTAATAAAGAGGAATAAATTGTTACAAAAACAACTCGTACGATAAAGTATACCAGGTCAATTAGTCATTTTCATTCACATAATATTATGTTATCCACATGCATGTAAATAAACCTTACAGAAACACATCATAACTCAGTGAATCAGTTTTTATTTGTGCTATGATCATATTTGTTTTTTTTTATTATTCCACTGTTTAAAGGGATGAAGTAAGAATGGGAAGGGAAGAAGGGAGGAATGAGTAATCGTGTCTAAATTAGAATAAAGCTAGTGTCATTATGTGTAACCAGAATAAATAATCTTTGTCTCTTCAATCAAAACCTTATTTTAACTAACGAGTCTCCCTCGCTACGCTCGGATCCGTCCCTGGTTACGTTTTAACGTTTAGTACCTATAGATTTCTCAGATATGAGATATTTCCCCGCAGTTAAAAGTACGTTATATGTTGACCCGGATAACCAGCTATCGTCATACCACATCTCATCAAAATCTATACAGTGGTTTTCTCGTGATGTGTTTCCAGATGTGTTCCCAGACAGACAGACAGACAAAAATTTTACAAACTATAGATTCGGCCACTGTATCGATAATAATGACTATTTCAATAAAATTTTCCTAAATATATTTATTATACAGATTAATGCAGTTAGAATTTTTTATCATGTATAGATTTCAACTAATTACATGGCACGGTAATTACAAGGTTGGATGACCAAAAAAATTGTAGTAGTATATGATTGTTATGATTAGAAGCAGAATTGATATGTAAACATATATATAGAAATAAAAGATATTATTTGTAAAAAAAGAGTTTTTATAGAAAAATGTACAAATGTGTTATAAATAATAATTTTACTATTATTTAGATACTGTTTAAGGCTTCATTTGAGTACGTATCCAAGGCAGGTATTCATAAACTTTGGTATAAACGCCGGGGACGTTGTCCAATCCGCAGGGCGTTGGGCCGAAACTCACAATGCCGACTACTGTGTAGATCCTAGTGTTATCCAACATAAGGGGACCTCCCGAGTCTCCTTTGCAAGTGTCCTTGCCAAGTTCACCCCCTGCGCATAACTGACCCTGCCATAACTGAACTCTTCGGTTGGCAACGTTGTAGGATGGTTGGCATTCCTAAAATGATTTAGAAATGGTTATTTACACGATCAATACTTTAAAATTGTGTTATTTGTTTGTCCTTATGCAGGTAAAATTTTATGGGGTAATATTTCTAAGTAACGTTAAGTAGGTAATTAGCGAATAAGACATAAGAATGCATCTTATGCCACACATTTGATTTCTTTTTTCCTGTACATTTTCTTGTAATCCTTTTGGAATTCTTTAGTGTACAATAATGTGTATAAAAATACATATATAGGTAGATAAACATTGTCTTACGCAGTGGTATTGATATAACAAAGAGCAAGTTGGATTTCTTTAAAAGGCGCATTTTAGACAATGTCTGCTTAGGAGGTAGTGGGGTAGAGGGGTAGCATTCTTATTTATTATACTTTTACACAAAAATTAGCGGCTCACCCTCACCTCGCTCGGGTTCGCCTTTAGAAAAACAAAAGCAAACCTATCCCACGAGAACCGTACATTTTACCGGGATATAAAGTCCAGACTATATATAATCTATCTCTGTGCTAAATTTCATCCGGATCCGTTCAGCCGTTTTAAAATGATTGAGTAACAAACATCCAAACATCTAAACTTTCACATTTATAATATTACTAGCGACTCACCCTCTCTTCGCTCGGGTTCGTCCTTAGGTTGATTACCCATACAAACTTTCATACCCATTTCCGGGATAAAAAGTATCCTATGTCCTTCCCAGTGTCTCAAACTATCTTCTTACCAAATTTTATCTAAATCGGTTCAGTAGATTCAGAGATTACCCCTACAACCTCACAAACCCATAAACTTCACTTCTTTATAATATTAGTATAGATTTGTATTAGTAAGATTAGTAAGATTTTACCTGTAAAGTTTTATATGGTAGATCGACATGAAGTTTTATATTACTGAAGCTCTCATATTCGCTTACGGCTCCCCACCCTGCCGCATATAACATTAGCGGCGGCTTGGTTAATGCGATGTCGGAAGTTGGTAGACAAATGGGTCTGATGAAGTCTAAAGAAAATACATATGTATTAAAAATCTACTTTGCTCTAAGCATAGTTTTAAGGATATAATATGTAATTTCCATTAGAGCGAGGATTATCAACTAAGAATGTAGGTCACTAATGCTAACGTGCTGTTTTATTATAATGACTTTTTCCTTTCTGATACAAATCTAAATAAAGAAGTATCATAAACTCAATTGTTTATATTTTTACTGTAAATAATTTAATCTGATTTTTTGCATTGCATTATATACATATTAAGATTCTAAACTTTAGTTGACTTTTACATCAGATAAAAATAGTCACTCTGCACGCCCAACACTGTGTGAGTGTCAAGGTTACATGAAAGGTTCAAGAGGTCACAAACTCGATTTTAAAGGAGAATGGGCAACTTTGTACCGGTTCCGTCCAAAAAATGTATCAGGTTATAAAATATGACATTTTAAAAATTATAATAATATGTTTTTATTTTATTGTATGACACCAACCATGAGACACGTGCAGGGAATGAACTATGAATCATTCAATTTTATTCTACCGTGAGGCTATTTATATCATAGGAGAATGTAATTATACAAGCAGCAAACATATGGTCTACACGGTCTTCTATCTTATTCCCTCCACGACCGCGGACACGCCGGCGTGTCAGTTAACAATAGATTTCTTAGAAATTTAATTAATTTCTTAGAAATTTACCTGGAGGTGTTAACAGTGTATCTAATCCACTTGTAATTAAATACATACAAACAAGCCACAATCAAAGCCTTAGTCAAAGTAAAAAATTGAAGCGTTTTGTCAATTTCTATTTTCTGTCATTAAAAGGATATACCTATATGTATGACAAGATGTATACAGTCGAATTGAAGAATTACCTAGTTTTTTTGAATTTGGTTAAAAAGTGTAAATAATCTGAAAGTAATCTTGTCTTTATTATAAAATAATATAGTTTATAGTTCTTTCCCTGCATGTGTGTCTCATTGTTGGTGTCATACAATAAAATGAGGTTATTTATTATATCTTTTAAATAACATATATCGCAACTTGATTCACTCTGAGGACAAAACCGCCCATTGTCCTTTATTCCTTTATAATAATACTAGCGACTCACCCTAGCTCCGCTCGGGTTCGTCCCTAACGTGAGCCACCCTTATCACTTAGGGGTATGGCAAATAGATAGTAGCCGATTCTCAGACCTACTGAATACGCATATAATATTTGGTAAAAATCGGTAAAGCCGTTTCGGAGGAGTACGGTAACTAACATTGTGACATGGAAATTTTATATATTATTAGATGTAATAAGGTTGATTGTCATTTCATAAATATCATTAAAGTGAAGTGAATGATAGAATCTTACCATTGTAAGGCGCATTGAACTGTAGCCTCAGCAAAGCAATGTCGTGTCTTCTGAGTGTCGACGCGGGGTCATATAGAGGATGTTTAATTACTTTCTCAATTGGTACTAAGGTGACACCATTTGTGCAGTCCTGTCCGCCGCCCTCCACTTCAACACAGTCGGGTCCACCTGATGAGCCTATATTGTATTCACCTAGACGGACGTTAGTTCTGAAATCAAAGTTTTTAATTCCTCGCATAAACTTTCAAAACCCGCAAAAAAAACTATAATCTAGGCACAGATAACTAGATGAAATAACCAATCAAAATGTATTTATTTTTACACGTTACCTATACAATCCCTTGGAGTTGTATATATTACATAAGTGAAGTATGTAAGGGACAATAATTTTCATATTTCATATATTTTCACAGGTATTCTATACATTGCCTAGGTACTGTATAGAATACCTGAATTTTCGAGTACCTGTATATGGGTATAATAATATATTTCTATAAGTGCCGGTTTATCATCAAAGCAATCGGTTGAACGATGTAGATGAAATATTTTTTTATTTTATTATATTTTAACGTCCCACTGCTGGGTACAGGCCTCCTTTCAGTACGAGGGCAATCAGGCCATAGTCCACCACGCTAGCCAAGTGCGGGTTGGCGGACTTCACATGTTTTCCGAAAACTCACTAGTTGGTCTTCGATATTTATAACGCATCAACTTCTATATCGTATCACAGGTTTACAAATGGCACTAAAGCAATGCGTCGCTCGTTGTAACACTTGAGATTTTGTATATTTTCATCATTTTAGTGCTTGCCTTTATATCTTTTTCATTTTAGTGCTTATTACCTGAAGTGAAAATTAATAGCTACAAATATAGTAATAAGGTATCCTTACGGTTTGCCAACTCTAAGAACGGGTCCATCCACACAGTGCGCAGCTGTGAGCACGTATCTGCCACTGATTAAGACCCCTCCGCAAAGTAGTTTGATTTTCTTATCCCTAGTCCCCACGTACTCTAATATAGTCAACCAAGGGTATTGATCTATAGCGGTCACGTTGCCACCTAGAATAAATATTTTATAATGTTTTTTTTTTTACGGTTTAATTATGTTGTTTTTATAATTATATGCTAGTAGCGACTTATCCTCGCTTCGCTTGGGTGCGTCCCTAGGTATGTTTTAAATATATAAAAATATTTATTGTGAAGTAGCGGCTTCTCGTCGCTTTGCTTGAGTTCGCCTCTAGAAAAACAAAAATGAATCTATCCCTCGGGAACCGTATATTTTTCCGGAATAAAAGTAACCCATGTGCTATTCCAGATTATAATCTATCTCTGTGCCCAATTTCATCCAGATCCGTTCAGCCGTTCTGGCGTGAAAGAGCAACAAACATCTATACCTACATACTCACAATCTTTCACATTTATAATATTTATACAGATGTACCTTAGGAGACAGACATATGTATATATGTATTTTAGTACATTGTTTTGATGTATCTCATAAGGTTTAGCCAGTGTTAGCCTACATGGCTTTAGTTTCTAAGGATGACTCGACAGAACTAGTTATTGTGTTTACCCGCGGGAATAAAAGACCTTTCTTTAGTAAATGGTATGTCAAATGTTAACCCGAGTATTATCACTACGCAAAACTTAGTTAAAATCGGTTCAGTAATGTTTGCTTAAAATGCACACAGATATAACAAACAAACATACAGATAAAAATTTCAACACCTATTGTTTTAGTGTCTATATTCTGTACATAATGCATAACAGTCACTGTTTTTAAAACATATTTAATCTGCAGATTTCGCTTTGCTATTTTAATATACGTACATATTATATATAGATTAGAGACCTGTCAGTTAATATTTGATTATAATTATTAAGGGTCGGTAATGAGATTTCAAATCTTACGTAAGAATGATAAAACATAACTTAGGACTGAGAAGTTAAGGATTTTAACACAATCTATTCGATGATGGTCACGGGTTAAAAAGTAAAAATAGTTGAAAGCACTTAGCGTATTCAATGTATAGTGTAATGGTGAAGAATTAAAATATGGTGGGACTTTTGGTGGGATTGCTTTATGAATTCATTATATTTCAATAACATGGTTTGGTTTTTGTATGGTCCTTAGGGACTTATTATATTTGAAGTGAAAACTTCTATAGGCAGGTTTGCATGCGGAGTAAATTCATGTAAGTCGTCATCGACATGGTCACGTGATATGTTAACGCTAACACTCAGAGTGCCGATAGATGTCAAAACCAGATAAATGTAAACAGTTTTAATTTACCATTTTTAATTTAACATCAAACAATTAATTTAAATATCCAACAATAACAACTGTTTATTTAAAGTTTTAAGTTTTCACTTCTGTCGGCAGTCCTCATGACTGCTTTTTTTATTTGCGTTACCTTGTCTCGTTGACAAAATATAGCGTATGCGTAAGGCGCCATATATTTTCAACGATACAAACGGATATTGTTAATTTACTACTAGTAGATAAACACGGATAGAATACCGAGTTTAAAGTTGAATTTACCAAATATTTTATTTCCGCTGGAACTATCGAGACCGCAGCACTCTGTGCGGGGGTCGGGCGGTGCGGCAGTGGGGTTACAGTTCCTCATGGTACCCACGTTTGGGTTTCTGGGTGGTCCACAACATACATTGTACTTTGCAGGACCCTCACATCTGTGGGTTTAAACACACAAAACTACTATTATATATTCGAATGTGTATGTGCGTGTGTATGTTTGTTGTTCCTTCACGCTGTAACCATTAGACAGATTACGATGAAATTTAGTACCTACAATGAACCTAATGTAACACATAGACTACTTTTAGGTACCTAGAGAGGCATCCTAGCTAAGCAAGGGTAAGTTGTTTTTTGATAATAACAAACAGATTTCCATACCCAAAGTCCAATGTCTTAAGTAAACGGTCTTAACTAAGAGCAAAGATCATATAGTACTATACTAGATATTACTTACAGTACCTAAGACAAGAATTTGAATAACTTTTTATTGTTAAGTGTTAAACGAGTTTTATAATATATTACTAGCATTGCCCGCGGCTCCGCTCGCGTTTAGATGACCAAAAACCAAATTATTATGTTTTACATATTAGTATATTCTTACAATGCAGTTTTTGTATTTGTTCTCAGAAATGAGATATTTTCCCGCGGTAAAAAGTATCCTATATGTTGGCCCGGATAACAAGATCATACCAAATTTCATCAAAATCCTTCCAGTGGTTTTCTCGTGATGCGGTAACAGACAGACAAACAAACAAACATACAAAAATTCTAAAAACTATACATTCGGACTCTGTATCGATAATAATGTCTATTTCAATAAGATTTTCCAAAAAATATTTAATGTACATATTCGACTTAGTTACAATTTTATTATATGTATAGATATAAAACGACGTTATGTTATCTAACTCTATACATGTGCTAATAGTATCTATAGACTGACAGACTGATTATTTTATATGTAACATTAAGATTACATATTACATTATTTTTAAACTTACCAAGCCTTAAAAGATATTATGTTTATTGAAATTTGTATATTTACTTTTAATCATATCGTATTAATTTATATAAGTAAAATATACCTAGAGTTTTGCACGTAGCTTTTGCTTTCCTTATCAACCGGCTGTTTCAAAAGATTGGTGAGTGTAGGACATGTATACAGATCTACGCAAGTGCCCTCGTTGCCGTCTGGCGTGAAGCAGCGTCGGTCTTCTTCGATCCTAGTGTTATTTACTTCGCAGCATACCTGAGATTGCTTTTTTTATGTAAAGTTACAAATTATTTATATATATATATTTTTTTATAAAATTAGTAAGAAAATCATGTATTCTTCATTTTTGAAGGTTTCAAATGCCTTTTCTATACTATATTATATGGCGTGAATCACATAATGTAACGACGCGACAGTCGGATCACAGTGTTACTGTTTGGGAAAAGTTTAAAATAGCAATATTAGCTAAAAAAACGTTTTATGAAGCTACGCCTCGACTCCAACTGCAACTCTTGTCTGCCAATTAGAAGAGTTAATAGTACTCATTCCTCTACGACGCTTTGAAAGCGAGAATCTTATAATATAATACTATTTAATTTATATAGGTTTACAACTCACTTTTGGCAAATTACTGGATTCGACGAAACCACATTGTGAATCTCTCAATAACTTTAATTCTTCAGGTGTTCTCTGCATATTTTGTACAAGTGCCAACAACTGTGGACATTCCATCAGTGAGATACATTGTCCCATACTCCCTGTAGGTGTCGTACATTGTAAGTCTGACTCTGAAATAAATAAAAATTCTTGTTGTTATTTTCATTTCAGAAATTCGTTTAGTGGTTGTCAAAAACTAACAAGTGAGAGATAAATATAATTGAAGGGTTTATTTACAGAGTAATCCCATTAATATTATACATACGAAAGTTTGGATGGATGGATGTTTGTTACTCAATCACAGAACGGCTGAAAGGATGAAAATGGATGAAAATTGGCACAAAGATTGAGTATAGTCTGGAATAGCGCATCGGTAAGAAAAAAAGTACATTTTCCGTGGGATAGATTTGTTTTTGTTTTTCACAGAGCATGGTATCGCCTATCGCCTATATTCCATTCTAACCTTTAAAACGTACATAGGAACGAACACGACCGAAGCGAGGGTGAGTCGCTAGTATTTATATAATTTGTTGTAGTAAGATTTGTTCTTTATAGTTATCAATATCAAAATGACGCGGATTTGTTACGAAAATAGGCTATTTTGTCATCAGTTATTTTTTAAATATCTCCTATTGGACATAGATTGCGACGTGTCCTTATGGGAAATACCCTTCACAATGTTACAGACGATGCTATAAAATGCAAGAAGATTTTTCAAATCGACCTTCTGGTAAATATAGAGCTTAGTGCTTATAAATAGACAAAAAAGAAATTAAGATTCAAAACGAATATATTATTATTGGCTATTGGCTTCACAATTGATAATTGGTTCTAAGTGTTTTTGACGCGTTTGCTAAATATATTAAATACTTTTAAATCACAATTAGTAATTTTATGCCAATGTTCCTGAGTAAATTTGAAGATGCATCAAATTCTTTCCAAACAACCATTAATTTACTTATAATAGCAATTTGTAGGTGAGTCTTTATTGTTTAATTGTTGGTGTTATCGGGTTATGCGTTGATGCACCTAGTGTCGTGTGGTGTCGTGTCGGGTTTTACCAGTTACTTTATATTCGGACAACATTATTGATATATACCAGACTGTTTTAATGATATATCCGCAAATGTATGTATAATCTATACAGATAAATAAAATTGAAGTATCTGTTTGTAATGTCAAAATAAAACTACTAAATGCACATGAAATTGTATGCTGCACTTATAAGAAAAACACAATTTAAAAAAAAATTGTCAGTCTTTCTGTTTGTTCCCGCTAATCTGCGAAATGGCTGGATTGATTTTGACGTTTACGTCTCTAGCAGATAGATGATGTTGTAAGGAGTAACTTAGGCTACTTTTAATTTTAGAAAAAGAATTAAGGTTCTGTTCAAAAAATAAATAAAACGTGTCTATAATATTATAAGATGTATTATCATTGCAAATGTTTGCCGAAGTCGTTACGTTTTATCTTAAGATGTTCTATGTAATGTAGATAGTTAGTCTGGCAGACTTTAAAAAAGATACTCAATTCGTCTGAATTTTTCCGCCAAGTGTGAATTGATTTTTATAATAATTTTTATGAGTAGGTTATCCATCAAGGGTAATATATTTTTAAAACAATGCTGGCCAAATGGGGCTGTTGAATTTATATGTCGTTTTCTAAAATTAGTTAAGTTCTTTCAGATTTGCAAGTTTCCTCATGATACTTCCTGCCAAAATGGTCATGCTCTCTAACCTATGAATTACTAATAGGAAACTACATTATCTATGAATAATACAGTCGACTTTTTATCACAATAAATTATCTAGTTCTAATTGTTAATTAATAGCTGACGACAGACGTCATATTTTTTAAAGAATTAAAAAGAAACAGACAGTTTTTCCCGTATTTTTGGGCAATTTTACCAATTATTTAGACTATTACGCACGTTAAATAACTAGCGGATACAGTTAAGCCATTCCCAAGTTATGCCTTAAAGAACGAACAGCATTTCATTTTTATTTATATACGTTACTATATTGGGAAAAGTATTTACGTTCTATATAACCATGTCAGCGTTTTATCCTCTATAGAAATCGAATTTCCTTCCTGTGGTTTTGTAGGCAGTTGCATTTTGGCATACGTATCACAGTGCATATGTAACAGGTAAAACAATTGGGACATTTCACGTGAAGCGGACAACGGAAGGAAAGTGAGATTCTGAAATTAAGTTCAAAAAATAAATATAATATGCTTTTTTTATCTTTGCTTGAGGAAATTGCTTTTCATCTACTTTAACTGCGATATCGATTTGCAACTTTGTACTTTTAAAATAAGTGTAATCCTGACAATATAAAGATTTGATAACATGAAGTTGATCTGATGATCGTGAGGAGGTAAATAGTGTAATTCTTTATTAGTTACTACAAAAACCTTCATATTTTCCATCTATCACGTATATAAAAGAGATTTTAGTTTTTTGCACTGTAGTGTTAATAATAGAGGCAGTGGTAGCTCAGTGGTATCGCGCTCGCTTGGGGAACCGAGTGAAGCGAGTTCAAATCCCGGGTCTCGCACCTCTGATATTTTTAAGTCATGATTACCACTTGCCTTACGGGTGAAGGAAAACATCGTGAAGAAATCTGCATGTCTGAGAGAACTAGCTAGTTTTCGAAAGACACGTGAAGTCCCGCGCTCTTGGCCAGCTTGGTGGACTATGTCCTGACCGCCCTATTATTGAAGAGAGGCCTGTGGCCAGCATTGGGACGTTAAAAAAGTACTGAATACAATGATAACAATAATTAACTACAGATAAGTGGTTATCATGTTTTCATATGTACGTACTATTCCTTACTATTACTACTAATATTACTAACGTAATATTTTCCTTGTGAAGTTGGCTATGAGTTACTAAGTTATTTTCGAAATTGTCTGACTAATATTATTTTATATTTATATTCCATAAGAGGTTCGTAATAATTGTTTTTAATTGTGTTAATTGTTCACTTTAACGATATAGACGATTATTGCGTCTTATGTTTTTACGATGTTATTTAAACTTTATCCAAAAAATATTATTTGTAAGATATAAAATATTCGGAGATACTTTGAGATTTTCTTTAATAATTATTATATGATATCGTGAAGCCGATATGATGCTGGAACCAAAAGACGGTTAATGCTTACTTCTAGTTGGTAATACCTTTTCTAAAAGGTTTCGAGTTTTAAACTCTTTATTCCCATACACTGCGCATAAGCATGTTTTAATGATTCCGCATCTAAATCAGAATCAGGATCCTATTACTTAACCTATGATATTCGTTCTTTTTTTCGTTTTATGATAGAAACCTTAAATCTCCGCCAATAATAACCACGGCGCTATCTTGCCGGTTAGCCAATTTTTTGCCCAATGGAATTACAAAATTGTCCAATGGATGTTTTTAGACGTCTTATGTTATGAAATAATAGACTACACGGAATATATGGCTGATCGCGTTTATTATTAAGGTTTAAAATTTATCTCAAACCAGATTGAACCTTTGACCTTTTACGTACTGGTTAGTTTCTCTTGGTGGTTACTGGTTAGTATCTTTATAAGTAATGTTATTCGATGCTTACTTTCAATAAGAATCTTTTGATGAATTAATAAAATTCCATATAATTTGAATACGAAGAATAAGGAAATACAGAAGGTCATTTTTTGAGTGTAGCTGTTGAATGATTTGGTAAAATGTGTTTATTTTTTGCTACTTTGTGCTTATTTTATGTAATATAATAATAATTTATGTAATATATATGATCATTCCACTACTATTATAATTATTTAATATTGTCGAAAATTTTAAACATGATTTTCCTTGTTTTTAAGCTGACCGCCAAAACTAAATGTGCGATGTTACACAAATGAATTTTGTTTCGGTCTCTTTTTTGCAACATCAATAGTTTTTAGTCTAACTTATTAATAATACTTCTAGGAAGTCTGTATTTGGCATTTATGTAAGTTCAAAATATAAATAAACACTTAACACATAATAACTTCAAGCGTGTTACATACATGTATCTATCTATTTATATATACACGTATGTATTTAGTTAAGAGCTCTCATCTCACGAAATGAAAAGCTTCTATCCAAACAGGTTAAACTTACGTCCTTGCACTGACCACAGGTATGAAGTAACAATCACAAGCACTGATATCATCTTCATGTTGACATTGTAGGTGTATGGATAAAACGACTCGTCGGGACAAACGACCGGTACGTACTGACGAGTGTGAAATGGGAATCCTCGCAACTATACGCTGCTATAAAATTATGTTTTTTTTGTTTACTGAACGTTATCACTATGTCAGCTTTAATTATTGTGATATATAATTTAAAATCAATCGTTTATAATTATTTATTTGTTGCACATTAAACGTGTGCGGGTTTTTCAAACTTTTTGTGTGATTTCAATAGGATTCGACTGTTTTTTTGTCCTTTTCTCGTAATTAGTTTTTTCCTTTTAAACAATCAAGTTTTATCTTATTTTCTCTCTTCTTTACTGAGTGTACAATAAAGATTATTATTATTATTATCTTCATGGTGATCTCATATAATATAAACATCAATAAAAAAATCACTCTAAATATAAAATAATTATTTTTAAGTGATTTTAAAGTCTGTGTATCTTTTTTAGTAAAAAGAATTAATTACATATACTATTGCTTTGGCTTATGTATAACTATAGATATTCAAGATGTCTTATTTTCTGAACACTTTGATATTGTATGACTGTAACATGTATGACAGAAAGAGCAGACAGTAGATACTCTTCGTCCTCATAAACTCTATTGAAAGTAACATATCGCCGTTGTGAAGGGCAAATGAAAAAACAAATGTTTGCACTTATTTTATTTACTAGCGTTTTCATGCGGCTCCGCCCGCATAGTACATTAATCACCAACATATCTTATACTAAAACCTTCTCCGAAACACGCTGCATCCTATGGTATGAGTATTATTCCGATCGGTTCAGTAGTTATCGCAGTATAACCGAAAAAAAAAATCGGCTCTCCATTTATTAGTATAGATTTACAAAAAAAATTTCTTTCGCCTGTTCTTCTCGGTACCGATTAAAGTTTTTTGTTTTCGAGTCTGTACTGTAAACTTAAATTTTTACTGTTAAAAATTAAATGTTGAATTGAAAATTTTGTATTTGAATAACCAATGGTAAGAATATCGATCTGAGAACCTTCTGCATATTAAATAAGGGACTTATCACCACTGCACTATAGGGTTTTATATGACGTCATAATCAGTTTGTCCGTATATGGCCATATCATTGAATGAAAACCCGTCCGGCAAGTTTTGCGATTGCGTATTTATGTTATCTTATGTTTTTGTTAATATATTGTTCGTGCATGAGCAACATCTGCCGCATTGCTAGGTAATATCTCCCCTCTTAGAATAGATAACTCTCTACTATCGATAATCGATATCTATACTATAATAAAACAGTAGAGGTCGAATGTCTGTACATAACAAAAAAATGCTAAAAACCGAGTCAAGTGGATGTAAGAAGACAAACAAAACAAATCCAGATTTTTTCAATTTTTTTGTTTCTCTGTCTGTTTGTCTGTTTGTACGGGCTAATCTTCGAATCTATTGGACCGATTTAAATGAAATTTTGCATGGTGATACCTTATATCCCCGGGCAAAATCTTAGATATTTTTTATCCCGGAAAATTATATATATACAGATTAGTACACAACAACTTATGCACCTAATTTAGTAAAATTTAACATTCTGATACCTTATATTGCCGGTCAAACAACAGGTTACTTTTCATCCCGGAAAAATGATTGGTTCCCGTGGGAACTAATAGATCTCTATTAGTGTCTTTCTAGAGGTGAGCCGCTAGTAGTTAATAAAATCAATCTATACATATAAATTATAATAAAATTGTGAGTCTAAACTGTATCAATATGGTTTTCCATAAATATTTTTTTGAAAACCTTATTGAAATAGTCATTATTATTTATTATCGATACAGAGTATAGTCTACAGTTTTTAGAATTTCTGTCTTGTCTATCTGTCTTTCTGTCTGGGAACGCATCACGAGAAAACTACTGGACAGATTTTGAATCTTATTGAAATAGACATTATCAGAGGCCGAATCTATAGTTTATAGAATTTTTGTCTGTCTGTCTGTTACCGCATCACAGAAAAACTACTAGAGGGATTGTGATAAAATTTGGTATGGTGGTTATCGTTATGGTTATCTGGGTCAACATATAGGATACTTTTTACCGCCGGAAAATATCTCATTTCTGAGAAAAAATACAAAAACTGCAATGTAAGAGTATACTAATATGTAAAACCTAAGAATTTGGTCTATGGTCATCTGAACGCGGGCGGAGCCGCGGGCAGTTCTTGTATATTTATTTATTTATACCGGCGTTTTCGGATTCTGCTCTAACGGTTTCGCTGAAATTTCGTATGTGGGGGATTTCGAGGGAGAAAAATCGATATAGATTAGTCTTATGTCTGGGTAAACGCTTGTTTTTGAATTTTCATGATCACAATCATTCTATCGCATTACTCCACGCAAAATATGGACGCTAATTTCGCACGCTCTGACATAAACATCGCAGTCAAGCGGCCAAGGCGCAAGATTGACAAGCACAGGTATCCGGCTTCGAGTCCCGGTCGGATACAAAGTTTTTACTTTTTTTTTTTGTATTTATTCCAGTTTTTAGTTTTTTTATCTAAAAAATAAGATATAGCAAAAAAGAACTCAGAGCGAAGCTCGGTCACCCAGGTAATAATAATGTACATGAGAATGACATATTATGACAATCTGATTTAACACTTAGATATGTTAAACTCATACATTTTTTACGTTTTTCAGTTAAACGACAATTAAAATAGAGAAAGCGACGTATAGAATTCCCGCGGAAAATACTTGTATAATTATGAGGTAAATAAATATTTGTAATTGTTTCTTTTCGATCGATTATAACACTAACATGTAAGCAATTGTTGCATCATAGGTTTTTACGTCGTGTTTATTTAGTACGTTTCCAAAAATTTAAATTTATTTCCTATAGCTTTTTTTACGGATAACCAAAAGGTTTTATAGCGATGCTATTATTAAATCTGCATTCTGGGGTTTCTGTCGTTGCTGGGATAGTCTATGTTATCCTCATAAAAATACATGCAATTAACAATCAACGCTGATTTACTGTAAGATAGAAGGCCAAAGCAAAGAAAACCAGTAAAACAATATAATACATAAATTACTCGTAGGCTTTCGCGAGCGCCATGATAAGCCTTACGATGTATTATTAGTTTTGGTTTTGCCACAGAATACGTATTAGTACCCATTGACATAATATGTACATATCTGTGGTTGAAATTCGACCAATTATATATACCTGTAAAGTACTAAATTTAATGTTGGATTTCATGTAATTTGTTAGAATTTTCATGGTTGGTATCATCATATAAATCACGCAGTCAGCCGTGTTTTGATTAGCTATATCTTTTTGCATTTATATAGAAATATATACGAATATGTTCGCTACATATGCCTAAGATGATGGAAGCAATTGTTTTAAACAAATAAAACTATCTTTTCGTATTTTTTGCGTATTTTATTTAAGTGAAAACTTCTGTAGGCCGGTTTGGATGACGTTTCAAAGATCATTATTATAGTGATTATGGACAGTACCTACCAGTGCAGTACAATATAAAATTACACAATGATTTGAAAAATACAAAAATGGTACCAAAGTACCTTACAATATTTGTTAATTTTAATTATTTTTAATTTTTTATATTGCAATTTTTTGCTAAAAGTAATTGTTTAATAGTAGAAAAAAATCAAAAAAAAGTATGAAGTAAAAATGCATTTGATTTGTGATGAAGTTGGGTATTGTACGAGTATGTATGTATTTCACTTAGAATAACAAGTTCTATTTGCTGATCACTCCAGAAAGTTCACGAAAGTTCACAAACGTAGTTTCGGTTCAGATGTTAGTCTCTTAAAGTTCTGTGGTAACGGTAGAGCTGGAACCAGGAAAGTTTTCCGTCAGGAAGACAATAAATATTAATTAGTCTTCTAAATGTCTGGGTATTCATTTTTTTACCGCCAATTTTTTCCAAAAGGAAGAGGTAATCATTTGAGCAGTATGTTACTTTCAGTGTATTGATTTTCATAATTTGTTTTTTAATGAATAGGATACGCATACGATTTTGCACAGTGGTGAAATATTACCTAATTACACTCGCATGGTAAGGAGTTCTGTGTACAGCCGTGGGACAGTAACAATATATCTATGTGCTCTGTTTATTTATTAGGTATATTTAATTAACAAAAATACTTGCGATCGTTCGTAAAGAACACGATTACAAATTTACATAAAAAAATACTGAATAAAAAAAGGTCCGATGTACTTGAAAATAAATTAAAACACACGTTAAGAATTATTTTTATTACCTATACTTATTTTATAACTTACAGCTAGATAAAATGCTAATATTAAAAGTTATGAGTATCTGTCATACGTGCATATATTCATTATTGTCTTGTGTTCTTATGGTCGCGAATTCGATTCCCACAGACAAATAGTAAGTATGTATGTATACGAGCCATATTATGTATTACGCATAAGTACATAATGTATATGGCTATACGCTTATGTATATCAGATTAAAATATTGGGACAGCAACCACTCAAATTAATCAAAAACCGCCATGTCTCTGAGAAAAATGTTACACTCCAGTTTATGACCCATTGTTTGAGACAGTAATTAATATATTTAATTAATAGGTAATAATAAAATATTACATCACTTAATACTTATCAATACGTATCAAAATACGGTAGAGGACTAGTGGTTATTCAGTATTTCTACTAGTATACTATAGAAGTAAAAATAAGTCACCGGGACTTTTGAATATTACAGTAAAATATTCCTTATATTCCTTGTAATTGCTATTTACTTAATAGTTAAGTTTTGTCAAAAAGTTTTTATTGATATTGTTAAAACTGCGTGGTATGACTTTGAAGGTATTTCATTGATCGTTGTTTATGGAACGTACACATACTACGTTTGGTCACTTTCGGGGGGTCCTAGGTTTTCGTCACGTAGTCAATATCCTCTAAGGAAATCTTGCGTTTTTTGAGCTATAAAACTCACTCTTGGCTTCACTTGGCACATATGAGACAAATTAAGTTTTATTTTTTACTTTCTGTTTGCAAAAAATGATTTAAAACCATATTTATAAATTACTAAAGGGGAGGAGGGGGTGTCTTAGCATATAGCATGAGTGGAAAAAATTGTAAGAAATGAGTCATGTAGTATAGGTACGTCCCTTTATATTAGTCTAATCAATACATTTTGTATTTAAACTAAAATAGTTCTTAATATTTACATTTGTATATAAAAAGTTTTTATTGCCTTAAATTGTCCACCAACCCGCACTTGGCCAGCGTGGTGGACTATAGCCTGATCCCCCTCGTAATGAATGCCCCCTGGGCACAGGCTTCCCGTGCCCAGCAGTGGGACGTTAAAAAGGGCTGAATATATTAACTAGGGCTTGGTATTGTCTTTAATCCATTCAAGGTAATCGTACACTCTAGTGTAAATGCTAGGCTGACCATCGTTACCACACTGTAGAAAACCAAAACTTATCACTCCCACGATCTCTTGATACTTTTCATATGCATATATTAGCGGGCCCCCGGAGTCTCCTTTGCAAGAATCCTTATTTAATTCGCCGCCGGCACACATTTGTTTGTCCCATATCACAGACGCGCCGCCGCGTTTGTAGACCTTTTCTCTACAGTGCTGTGAATATAAAGGTTAATGATTATTGAATTATATGTAAGTATATGATAAATATATAAATAGTAGGTTTATTAAAAAAATTATAAAGTTCATAATAAAATTGGGAAATCTTTAGAAACCCCACTTTATCTATAAAAAAAGAAAAAATAGTAATAACTCCAAAGCGATACACTTTTGCATAAATGCTTTATGGATCGTTTGATAGCTAACGTCCTCTACTAAAACCCTTTAACGGGATCGTGAGTCGTGACGTATTACCAATAACCCTGTATAATTAAATTAATTATATATTTAATAGCTACATAATTTGGAACTCCTCTTAATTTATTTAGTACATTTTTGTACATATATGTTTGTATATATATATATATATATATATATATATATATATATATATATATATATATATATATATATATATATATATATATTTTATATATATATATTATATAATGCATATACGTATATGTATGTAATCTAAACTCCTAACCGATTTTCGGTAATGGTGACTAAACTCATTGAGACAAGTCGCGAGAGGAAGATATTCTACATAATAATAAACATGTCATGCCATGAAGCATACAGGTACATTCTTTTTCTAACCGATGTGCACAACAAGGCATGAAGTCTTGACATCAACTCCTTGATATTTTTGGATAGAACTACGGGGTGTAATTGTAAAAAAAAACATAAAAAAGTGATGTTGATGTATTGACAGCCTTTTTAGTTGTCATTATTTTAGGTTTAGGTTGACTGGCCTTATGCCTCAAGCGTGGGATCTGTACACTTACTAGGTTGATAAGTGTCTCGGTGGCCTAGTGGCTAGCATTTACGGCTATAGATATAGAGGTCCTTGGTTCTAGTCCGGCTTCAGGTCAAGTTCAGTTATTGAGTTTTTAATTTAGAAAGTAACAGGTTGGAGTTGGCAAATTGGCGTTGTTATATCCCTGTGCCTCGGAGACCAACACTCTTCTTGCGCCTTTTACCACTGGTTGTTATTTCCGTCCCACCGAAATGTGAGAGTGGCAGGAACAGAAAGTGCACTTGAGTCTGCACGCATACGCGCTGCATTATAATGTCTTCTGCGCAAGTCAGTAAGATTGGCCGTCGTAGCCCAAATCGTTCAGAAAGACATCATTAGGGTGATAAAGTATAAAATTTATAGCCATAGTTACCTCTTGATTCACGTAAGGGATAGTTGTGTGAAGCTTAACGTCGCTTTGACTAAATGTCTCATTCACAGCGCCCCAACCGGCTACCACGAACCGTAAGTTGTCAGGTTGCCTTTGAGTTATATCGGATGTCGGTAAACATATAGGATGAATGAAATCTGTAATAATAGTATATATATATATTGTTTTTTTTACTAATGATTCACACTCTTACTGAGTGTTTATTTTACATCCGCAGATTCTCAATATTTTTTTGTTTAGACTCACGGGAAAAGTAGGGAGAGTCGGGAAAAAGTACTTTATATTAAAATAATCGACAAACACACCTTTCTTATTTGTAGCTAACCATGTTGTGGATTCTAATATACTGTGTTATTTCGTAGGAGTGAGATAATCTGCCGAGATAAAAAGTATCCTATGTCACTCCCCGGCCCGCCAACTATATCCACACAAAAAATAATGTCAATATGTCGCTCTATTTCGACGTGAAACAAGGACAAATTTCATCGGTGTAATAATAAACTAATGATTATTTACCAGTATATGAAGCCATCTCTGCTAATTTGATGAGAGCAATGTCGTTAGAGTGATAAATATTTTGGTCTGAACCATAATTTTCATGTACAATAGTCGTGGCTATTGGTATTGAGATTGTGCCATTTGTGCAATCCTCCCCATCGCCCTCCACCTCTATACAATCTGGCCCACTGTTAGTCGTGTTGTATTCGCCAAGACGAACTGATTTCCTTAAAGAGATTTTTTTTTAGATTGGTAATGTTTTAAATATGTTAAGGCCTATACACACTACGTTTCATTAACGCGCGGACGATGCGTATTATGAACGTACATACGTCTTTGAAGCATATTTTGCGCCGATACTACACCTAATGCAAATTACTTGCGTTCGTATCGAAACATACGCGCAACAAGAGAACCTTGACGGCTCGTTACAAAGTTGTGTGTCTTTAGGTTGTATATGTACGTCATTTAATTTAAAACAATTTTATTTCTTATATTTGTTCGAATTTAGGAGGAGTTACTATTTTTTTGTTATTTTGCTTTTATGGATAGGCCCTAATAGTGAGTTTTCTTTTATTTAAAATATAACGTCGCAGAGCCTAGTTATCGTTTTGTATATGAACTGAATTGTCTAGTGTTATAAGTTTCAAACATTTATTAAACATGATCAGACAATATTTCTATATAAAAAATTGTCTAATAGGATCAGTGATATGAGTTATAAACACACAAACAAAGAGAGTTTTATGTAAGAATAAAGATTGAATTGAGAAATATAAGGAACAAAGTTTCTGTTATATGTTATAAACCAGTGCATCTATAATGTTAATTATCGCTCAAGTTCCAGTTAAGCTTAAACCTAACTATGCATATTACCTGCCTTATTAAAATAATTATATAACAATATAATTATTGCTCTTATGTATATTATTTTTATATTTGACCCCGCTTTTAATATAAGACTGGCGAATTACCCTCGCTTCGCTCGTGTGCGTCTTCAATAAATAACAGTAGTTATTGTGAGTACTGAATGTTTCTTATGACTTATGAGATACACTCATGCTATGGCAGACTTTTTCGTGAAATCGCAAATTCGAGCTTTGCGTAATTTTTAAGGGAACGGCTTTCACGCTGGAACCCTAAATATTTCCAGAATAATACAAACCCTATGGGGTAGCCCTATAAACTCTTCTAGTCTTCAGTAAAAGAAAAATTACAATGGGTTAGGCCTTTCCTAAGATTGCCTCGGATAAACAGAAAGACAGATAAACAAAAATTTTAAAAATGGTTGTTTATTTACTGTTATCATATAAATAACTCTATGTACTTGAGAAAACATAGTTATTTTAAAATAACAGACAGACACTTCAATTATATTTACCTATATATGTATAGATATAAGAATATAAAATGGTAGGAGATATGTGTTTATAGTTAAAAAAAAAAATATTATTGTACTTACGCCCCTCTAGAAGCCTTAGTAGTCGTGACGAGGCAGTGAGCTGCCGTCAGTACGTATAGACTACTAATGAGAGTTCCCCCGCACAAATAAGGTCTTGTATATTCAATTATTGTCAACCATGGGTATTGATCAAGCGAAGTTGGTGTCCCACCTGTAAATTGTTTATATGTATAAATTTATTTATTAATATAATTTAATTGATTTAATATAATACTTTCTTAGATTTACACGAATATTTGACATTTTAAATAAAACTATCTTTACGGATTTTTTCACGGATTTATAAAATAAAAATCAAATAAATCCGCGAAAAAATCCGAAAGTATAGTTTTATTTAAAACTAGCAGAACCCGCGGCTTCGCTCGCGCTAAAAGTACAAAAAGAATCTCTAAAAAATAAGTTTCATACAAACTTTCATCACCTATTTTACCTCCTTATAGGATGAATTTCGAAAAATGCCAAAGTACGTATTTATTTAATTGTATTCAAGAACATTAATATCTACTAAGTTTTTAGTAATTCTGATCATAAATATTTTTTTGGGCTGTATTAAAACCTGGTTTCACGTGGGAATGAGACAATCTTCCGCCGTAAAAAGTAGCCTATGTTCTCACTCTTCACACAAAAAATACGCCAAACAAACACACTTTTACATATATGATATTATAAAATTTAAATATTTTTTTTTTATTATTTGTTGATATTGTGAATAAGTATTATAATACTTATTCACAATATTAAACAATTCACAATATTAAATTATAATTTAATTAGTTTCCTTAACTGTGAAGTCGTACTACTGTTTTATATTGCAACTAGCATTGCCCGCGGCTCTGCCCGCGTTCAGATGACCAAAAACCAAATTCTTATGTTTTACGGATTAGTATACTTTTTCATTGAAGTTTTTGTATTTTTTCTCAGAAATGAGATATTTTCCTGCGGTAAAAAGTATCCTATATGTTGCCCCGGATAACCAGCCAAATTTCATCAAAATCTCCAGTGATTTTTCTGTGATGCGGTAACAGATAGACAGACAGACAGACAAAAATTCTTAATACTATAGATTCGGCCTCTGAATCGATATTAAAGTCTATTTCGAAAAGATTTACCAAAAAATATTGAATGTACAGATTCGGCTTAGTTACAATTTTATTATATGTATAGATGTTGTTGAAGGTACGAGTAAATATGGATGAAATGCTACTGCTACTGTTGCTATGTATATGTCGGATTTTGGTTGAGGATATTTATTACTTTCTGTTCAAGGCGGGTATATTATAACACGAAGAACGTTCTTCTTTAAAACACTACACTGTGAAATCTATTCTGTGGGACTCGAGCCATTATTTTTATACCGGTCAGAAAAGCCAGTACTTCCCACTACAATCCAATGGAGTCTTTCGTCTTAATGTTACTCGAACGTGAATTAAACACCAAGGCAGTTGTCAAGTATATAATAATTAATTTACCTATAATTTTATTCCCCGCCGTACTTTCAGTGCCACAACATGGAGGTTTCAGATCAAACGGTGAGACCTTGGTAGTACATTTTTGTAACTGACCCGCAAATCTGTCCTTAGCATTGTCAGTTTCGAATGTATCGCAGCAAACGCTGTACGGGGCGTCACCCGTACACCTATAAAAATTAAAGAAATAAAATTTAATTTTTATTTTTACAAATTTAAATTCAACTTCTATAATATATTCTGTCTTTTTTCTGGTTCATAATTAGTAATATTTTTTTAAAGTTAGTTTAAGTGATTGCTGCAGATTGAGCTGAAACACTAGCTTGTGCTTGTTTATGTTGCTTTGGTTACAGCTCACAGTTGATAATATGATGTTTTAAGCTTGTCTGATGATACTAAATTAAAATTAAAAAAAAATAATAATTTAAAAACAAGTTTTTACATAATACAAATTGTGTAACGTAATAAATGGGTTTGATTTAACTTAAAGTTATTTTTTATTTTTTAGGTATTTATTGGTATTCTTCCCAGCAAACACTTTCATTTGATATCCATATCATGGTGCATAAAAAAATTGTCCATGGGAGTCCGCCATGTTGGATTTAGAAAGGCGTCACTTATCGTACCATGCATTGTCATCTAAACTAAACGTGTATGCAAAATTTTTGCTCAATCGGTTGAGGATAACTGCTTTAAAATTCATTTGCAAGATTTGACCCGAACAAATATATGTACATACAAACTTTGCAAGTTAAATAAAAGCTTTGAAAATAGGTGACCATAGAGAATCTTCGACTACGTATCGTATTGTGTACTAGCGACTCGCGCTCGCTTCGCTCGGGTTCTTCCCTAGCTTGCTATACAAAACTTCATCCCCAGTCTCACCCCCTTAAGGGATTATTTTCGGGATAAAAACTATTTCACTCACTCACTTTTCATATTATGAGATTTAAAAAAAATCTTATTTTAGTAAAAAAAAATTCTTTTAATTTTCTTCTATACAAAGCTTGTCCCTAAAATAACAAACGAAAAAAAAAGAATTATCCAATTTGGTGCTGTCGATTGGAAGTTATGCGCGTACATACATTTCGGTGATTCATTTTTATTTATATAGATTTTAATGAAATCTAGTTTTTTTGCTGAAAAATATCTTTCACTTTATTTTTTAATTTTCAACGCTATTTGACCTCTAGCATACAATATAGAAATTCGGTTTACTAAATTGCTTAATTTATTGCATAAAATGGGAAATTGATTGTGGTATAGAGAAATGGTAAATTGTATGTATGTATTCAACCATTTTTACGTCCCACTGCTGAGCATGGCCCTCCCACTACGAGGAGGATCAGGCCATAGTCAACCATGCTGGCCAAGTGCGGGTTGGCGGACTTCACATGTCTTTTGAAAACTTGCTAAATTCTCTCAGACATGCAGGTTTTCTCACGATGTTTTCCTTCTCCGTAAGACAAGTGGTAATCATGATTCGCACATTAATATATCAAAGGTGCGAGACTTTTACCACTTTTGTTACCACTGGACTAACACTGTTAAAGGTAAATTAATAGAAAAATAATAACCGTGATTATGGACGAATAATTATTGTTTTAAGCAACTTAGTGACGTTTCATGTAAGTGCACGATTGTACGTCGAACAATCTATATCTATACCTCATATTAGATTGCAAAGTTCAAAGTATTTAAAGAGGTTCAAGAGGTCAAAGTATTTAAACTATGTATTAAAATTGTTATCTATAATATAACAAAATGTCAAATGTCAAAAATATCATATTTTTTTATAACTTACAATTAGTTTAAATCGATTGGATGTCACGAGGCAAAAATGTACCTTTTACGTAAACAATGGTGTAGAAGATAATCCAGCAAGTTTATTCATTCTATTTTTTACAATTACTACTGGATTACACAAACGCCAACAAGTTTACATTCACGTGGCTTAAAATAAACGTTGTTATTTTACTCAGAGAATATTAATATACTTAGAGATATATTGGAATACGTTTATTTTCGTGAAGTATAAAAATAATACGTTAAGGCATTTTTAGAGGGCAAAATAGAATACTTCAAAAGAAATGATCTTTTTTTTCTCTTAATTTAAATGAGATTTGATGAGATTTTACTGGACCACCCTGTTGGTCGAGGTCTGTCCCCCATTTTGATCTTACGAAATAAATGAATGCCCCCAAAGTGTCTTCTAATAATGTCTACAAATTTGTGTATAGTTGATAAAATTGTAAAAATGAAAAATTGAAGGTGCAACTTCATATAGGCTATTAAGTAAAGAAATAATAAAAGAGTGAGAGTGTCGTGACTATGTATAGTGTAAAACGTACAAATCGTCGCATCGGAAACAAAAAAAAATCAAAATAAAACTATAAGTCTGTAATCATATTGAAAAATTTCAATTTAAAAAAAAATTGCCTTACTTTAAAAGTAAACTAAAATTTGTGATTAAAAATTTTATAGATATTATTTTTAATAATTTAAATTAGTTTTACCTAGATCTCTGTACAAATTCTAAATCTTCTTTCGTGGCTCGTGTCACCATTTGGGATAGTTTGGGACATAACGCAAGCCTGACACAAAATCCAAAGGTTCCAGATCTGGTCGCGCAAACTTTCTGGTATGCCGGCTTCGGTGATGACGTAGTTGATGTTACCTTTTCGATAGGACTTATTGTAATCGATTCAGGAGGACAACACACCTGTAATGTAAGCATTAAATGTGATGAAAATATTCTGGTTAGAAAATCTTTCTCTTCACCACTTTTTTCATGAAATTAAGTAATTAGCAGGGAAAGTAGAGTAACTATTGAAATAGGTCATTTTCTAAAACACATACAAACATACAAATATTATAAATTATTTTTAACACATCTTTTTCAATTTAAAAGCTCAATTGACTCTCATGACATGGTTCGTATAAGTTCTCATAAAAAGTTCAATTGGTGGCAGCGTAGCAGTTTTCGTCGGAAATCGGGCGGGTAGCAATATTGCTGTGGTAAACAATTTAATTACTGCATTAATCGTTTCATGGTCGTGAAACCTTGTCTTGATGATCAAAATTGGCCTAAATCATGCGAATTAATATCATTGAATTTCGGGTTTTTAGAAAGACTTTATGCCAAGACATCTTCAAACAACCATGTCTTCATATGTGCAAAATGACCCTGGACGAAATTATGTACTATTTATTACCAGTTATGGAATTATAAGTACTACCACTAATTATAACTATAGACCAATGGGGCCGTTGAACAGTAATGTAATGATTTCTATGTAATACAGCGTAAGACCCCCTTCATATCATCGTAGAACTTTCGTTGATAGTTTTTGGATACTTAGATTATGTTACACTAGCGCCTAGTGGTCATATATCGATCATAAACATACATATATTTTATGTATTCCCAAAAAAAATTTTTCTATACTTTTCAACAGTTTTATATGAAATTACAATACAACACAATTCAGTACCATTATAATTAAACTTAAACATTTTCGGTCTCTACCTATCTGTACATACATATAAAAAAATAACTGTTCGCCAAAAATCTTTATTGACAATCATCTGAATTAACTAAGGTCGCCAATCGCTACTAAACAAAAAAAAAACACTTGACAAACAGAGGAGAAAAAGCTACTTAACCGTTTTGACGTTTTTTTTTTTTTCTTTTTTTTTTTTTTTTTACCGTTTTGACGTTGCCTTTTTATATATACTCGTAGGTATATAGACTAAAGACTCACCCTCGCTTCGCTCTGATTCGTCCCTACTTACGTTTTAAGGTTTGGTATAATTTTCTCAAAGATGAGATATTTTCCCGCAATAAAAAGTATCCTATATGTTGACCCGGTTAACTAGCTATCACCATACCAAATTTCATCAAAATCTGTCAAGTAGTTTTCTCGTGATGCTGTAACAGACAGACAGACTGAAATTCTAAAAACTATAGATTCGGCCTCTTTATTGATAATAATGACTATTTCAATGAGATTTTTCAAAAAATATTTAATGTACAGATTCGGCTAAGTAGAATTTTATTATATGTATAGATATTAGCTATTTTAAATAAATAACCTCATTCTACATACTTTAGGTATTTCCCCTTCGAAACCACAATGCCACTGTTTGATGGACTCGCGCTCTTCAGCTGTCAGCGATTTTTGAGGTTTTAAATTCTTGCACTGAGTTATGGGTAGGCAGGTACCATCTACCTTTGTTGGTGTAATGCAGTCCTCTAAAACAAATTGTTCTTTTTATTAATTATATATTATTATTCCCTCCACGACCGCGGACACGCCGACGTGTCAGTTAACAATAGATTTCTTAGAATTTTAATTAATTTCTTAGAAATTTACCTGGAGGTGTTAAAATGGGATTTTTATAAATGCGAAAGTTATAATAGTAGATTATAAGTGTATGTGTGTATGATTGTTACTATTATACGCTAAAACGCGGGACGAATTTGGATAAAATTTAGCGAAACAAAGTTATATTTATAATTTATCTAAAGTTACATTTAACCAAAGTTGAAAGACGCTAGAAACTAAAATTTCTAAAGGGTTTGTGTTTTACGAGTATAACACGGAGTTCAACATCCAATTTTACTCCTATAGAAAAAAAGAACCTGGGCTACCGAGCTTCGCTCGGAGTTTTTGGCCTAAAGTACAATTTTCTTTTTTTTCTTAGAAACTAAAAACTTGAATAAATATTAAAAAAAACAAAAGTAAAAACTTTGTATGCGACCGAGATTTGCAGCTGGACGCCTGATTGTTTGTCTATCACCTTGGCCGCTTGACCACGATGCTTATACCCGAGCGTGCAAACTACTGACCATACATACATTTGCGTGGAATAATGGAGAGAAAACTGCATGAATACTCAAAAACGCGTTTTCTCAGACATAAGACTGATCTAGATCGATATATTGCCCCCGAAACCCCCTATGTATAATAGCGAAAGTCGTCTGTTTCATGAAAATCGTTGGAGCCGTTTCCGAGATTCAGATTATATACATACATACACAAGGATTCCTCGTTTAAAGATATAAGATTATACATTTGTTTTCTATTTCGTCCCGGACAGACATCGTTTAAGTAAAAAATAAATAAATAATGTACAATTTTGTACTCTATATGTACTTTTTCAATTTTATAATAACATACTCACATGAATAATTCGTCACACTATGCGTGTAATCATTTGTCACCGGTAACTTGTTTTTTTTTTACTTGATATTATATAGTTTCTGCCAAAACAAGAAATAACGTTTTTGCATTATGTTTTTTGCGGCGTAAATGAATATGAGCTATATGAGTACGTTTTGCCTTTTTAAATAAACGTAGTAGTGGTTTCCCCGGCAGCCGTAATTTGATAGATTTTTATATATGAAACTATATTATATTTCTATATATGAAACTAATAGTTTAATTTTTTTTATTGACAACACTAAAGCTCGTCAATAGCTACTAAACAAAAAAAAGAAGATTTTCGGTTGACAAACAGAGGAGAAAAAGGTACTGAATAGCTTTGTCTTTGCCAATAATATACAGATTACTAGCGACTCACCCTCGCTCCGCACGGGTTCGACCCTAGTGAAAATTTAGGTTTGTATGTTTTTTTTAATGCCGAATCATAAAAAAATTAAAATAAAAAAAAATGTCCAAAAATTTTTTGGCGTGGACCACCCTTATCGCTTAGAGGTATGAAAAATAGTTTACGTCCTATTCTCAGACCTACTGAATATACACACAAAATTTCATAAGAATCGGTCAAGCCGTTTCAGAAGAGTTTTGTTACAAACACTGTGACACGAGAAATTTATATATTAGATAATGCTATACTGACTTAAAAAGAAATAGATACTGTGTTATTTAAAACTTTTTTGTTGCTTCTGGTAAAATGTTCAATGCACCTCCAAACTAAAGGTGCATACTACTTCGTCAGAAAGAACATGAATAATCAATTTGTAAAAAATGACATTTAAATATTTTGTCACTTCCAAAAAAAAAAACCAATAAAAGCATTCGATATTTAAGTTGCAGCATTCGATATGTGCGTTAGTAAACGATCTTTTAGATACCTATAATTTTATTATGTAGTGATCATTGCAAGTCTACAAAGTTCATAACTTTTGGCCATATCGTCTCAGAGTTCACATAGTGTAAACAATTTTAAACTTTGCCGAGATATTGATGTTATAAAATATGGTGTAATTATTGGACATAATAATGTAGAGTCATAATTAAGTTATGTTGTAAAGTTGTGTTATTTTAAAGTAATTTGCTTAATATTTAAGTTTTTGAAGTTTTTTTTTATTTGATATATATACAAGTTAAATTATATATTATGTGAATTATGAAATGTGTCATATGATACACTAATTTAACATATAACTAGTGAATAAATAATAAATTCATAAGGAATTCAAAATATTTGTTATATTGGTACGTACAAATATGTATGTATAATGTTACATATCTAAGTTACAATCTAAGTTCATAGAAAGCTTACTATAAACTTAGACTGACTCATTATTTACCGTTTCGTAGATTACATATTAGAAAATATTGTGAAAGATATAGAATTATTCTGCGTCCATAATTTTTTTTTAATACTCAAGGCAAGGAATTTAACGTACACTTTAGACACAACAACACACATACACGTAACACCCGTACAAACTTTATCAAATTCGGTAAAGTAGTTTTTGAGTTGACATATAGATATAATATAATGCATATAATATTTTTGATTTGCATTGTTTACTAGGTACGTTTTGACGATTATAACGAGTAAATAGGCTTATATTATATAATTATACATAGGTAAGTAGGTAAGTACTTAAAAAAATTGAAATCATCTCCGAATGAACTTGATTGGTCAAAAATGCAGAAAAATTCTTTATTTCTTTCTAAAAGTATAATTATGATGAGTTGTTTAATTTACTCGAGAAATGACTGATTCACCATACAAAGTTCCACGCCCCTTTTCAACCTCTTAAGGGATGATTTCCGGCATAAAAAGTCCTATTTTCTTCCCAGGATCTCAAACTATTTCCAAACAAAATTTCATCTAAATCGGTTGAGCGGATTAAGCGTGAAAAGAAAGACAAACAGAAAGACAGAGTTACTTTTGCATTTATAATATTAGTATGGATGATAATTTATTATACAAGATTAACTTTATGGACAACTCAATAGTATCCCGTTAGTGGTAGTTACACACATTATATATACCTATTATGAATAAAAAAATGATAATTCATTGCTGCAGACGTATGAGTTCTTTGAAATAAAGTACACAGAGCACTGAGTGCTCAAATAACTAAAACTAAAGTACTCATGTTATGTTCTTTGGAAACTCCCTATTAAAATATTTTGCTTAGTTTTCAATATCAATCCGATCGTCCGAGTGGAAAATATTATAACTTCTTAGAAATATACATATTTTTTATAAGGAACAAGTTGTTTTATATTTTATACTAGCGACTCACTTCGTCCCTAGGTACGTTTTAACGGTTAGTATGAAATACAAATCTTTGAATTTCTCGGCTTCTCTGTTTTATAATATGCATGTATTATACATACACCTTCCTCTTGAATCACTCTATCTATTGCTTCAAACTGCATTAAAAACCGTTAAGTAGTTAAAAGATCTAAGCGAACAGACAGCGGAAGCGACTTCATCTTATACTATGTAAAGATTTTATAATTATACATCTCTCTACGGTATATAAAATGTGACAAAATGTAAATACGTTATACGTAAGTTTTATTAAATAAAGTAGGATTTAATTAGAGTTTAATTTAAATCTAAAGTTTTTTCATTCAAATGAATATGATAATTATAAAATTGGGTACCTACATACGTGATGATGGCCTCGTGACGCTCTTACTTACTACTTTTTGTAATATAATACGTAGTTATGTATCTAATTAACGCCGAAGTCTAAGAATTCTAAGCATTGCATACATTTTTATAAAAGTTCAAGGACGTTGGAGATAAGCTATGGAGATGATTGGTCGCTAAATATTTCTTTTGCTGTTTCGGTGTCTTGATTTTTGTAATAAAATATGTTTATTTGTTGGTTTGTTTGCACGTTGAAATGATAGTAAAGCTTTAGACATTTTCTTCTAGAAAGAAATTAGAAAGAGGAAATTGATCAAATTTCGACGCGATTTTGTTGTTGTATTTCGTTCGTATACTTTCCGAGTTTTTTATTCCGTCATTTGACGCCAATGATCCAATATCGTTTTATCACTACATGAAGGCTGCTGATTACTGACGTGGTTTGTGATGAATCTGCTAGCACTATGATTTTTAATTCATCGTTATCATACTATAGTCTAGGGTCAGCCGGATGCGGGCTCTTTGTTGATATCAAAATTTCCAGAACGAAACCAATATAACTTAAACGTCTTGTTTAAACTTGTCTATACACGTCGTAGCTTATTCCACAGTCTATTACTCCATACAAACCTCTATCGAAGACATCTAGATAGAGCAATCGTGGCGGGACGTGCGAGGTGGTACGCGGGTGAGCCGCATCCTACAGCAGTCATACTTTTTTTGTATGACAGTTGGGTTTTAGGGTTGCGAGTATAGCTGTAACTTGCTATTGTATGCTACTACAAACCACTAGTTCTTAACCATGAAAATTGGTATATTTTGACAACCCTTGTATTTGACAGCATTCCCGTTAAAATGTAAAACGTAATAAACGGACTCTTATACCTACTGCGTCGTTTGTGATGCATTGGTGGCAATTTTCTCGTAGATTCTACCACAGTCATAGACATAATGATAAAAATCTATTATCAACGTCGCGGCATAAAAAACAAATAAGAAACTGATTCTTTAAAAGAATTGTCTTAGTTATTTATGTCAAAAAAATTAATTTGGATTTGTTTTTTGTAGTTGAATGCAAGGTATCGAAATTTAGAGTCGAATTCTCACTCGAAGGCTTCCGTACCATCGTACACGTACTTTTTATTAATATGACTTTTACTCTATGTATGTAGTATATAAAATTCGATGATCGATTACGAACGTTAAAAAATGATTCTTGTAATTTTTATTTTTTATATTATTAATTGTTTTAGAGGCAATAGAAATACATACTCTGTGAAAATTTCAACTCTCTATCTATTACGGTTCATGAGATCCCCTTGACAGATGGACGGACGGACAGCAGAGGCTTAGTAATAGGGTTCCGTTGGCACCCTTTGGGTACGGAACCCTAAAAATGATAACTTTATAAGTAATGCTCTCTAAATATTTATTACTGTTTGTTCAATTAATTTTTTGGCTTGTTTTTTAAAGATTCATGCGAGAGGCGACGCGGGGTAAAGATAGTCTTTACTTCTATTTTATTACAAGGAAAAGATTTTTTATTTAAAGATTGTTTCGTTGTCACATAACTGTAATCTTACCCATATGAATGTTATTAGATACGCAGTCGTTAGATTTATAAACATATATTTTTTTAATGATAGCTTATACGTTTGCTTCCTCTATTCTGATTGTATAAATATTTAAATAAACATTTATAGATATAAAAATGAATTTGTAACGTTTCTAAAGTTACTACTTATTCGATTGTGATGAAACTTTTGTGATTTTTTGTGTGCACGCTCGCGAAAGTATCTGTCATAGTATTTTTTAAATCGAAACCGTGAACTCCGGGGTAAAGGCAGACCGTGACCATCACCACTACACCAGGTTGTTGTTGAATATGTATATATATATTTATATTGCTTAACCAAAAAATTATAATAACCTAAAATTGCCTCAGCGACCTTGGGTTTGACATCATTGAGAAGATCTGACAGCAAAAGTTCAATAGATAAAAATTATATTCTTTTTGTAACAGCCAGTATTTACTTTTAATTTACGTTATGTGCACTAAATCTTGAAGTCAAGTGATCATAAGTGTTAGCAGTCACTTATGCTTCTTCAGGCTTAAAAACTGTTCAGGTGTTCTAAAGTCATGAGTAAACATGTTGTTTAATTGTTACTGTAGTTTTTATTTGTCCGATTAATTTAGTACTAGCGACTCCCCCTCGCTCCGCTCGGGTTCGTAACTACTTACGTTTTAATGGTTAGTATAGATTATTACATTACTTATTAGTGAAAAGTATCCTATATGTTGACCCGGATAACCAGCTATCATCATACCAAATTTCATCAAAATCTGTCCAGTAGTTTTCTCCTGATGTGTTCCCAGACACACACACAGACAGAAACTCTAAAAACTATAGATTCGGCCTCCGTCTCGATAATAATGACTATTTCAGTAAGATTTTGCAAATAATATCTTATAATATACATATTCCACTAGAATTTTATTATATTATGTATAGATTATGTCGGTATTTCGTGTAAAATAAAATCACTTTTAGTCAAAAAGGTTTGCTTTCGCTGTCAGAATTAAAATATATTTTTTCTTAATATTTGGCTCACATAAATAAAGTTTAAGAAAATATGACAAGTTTCTGGTCGATGCACTTTGTGGAAGTTATATAGAGATCAGATTAACGTTATTTATGAATAAAGCACAAACAAAATGTGTGATAGTAAAAAAAAAGGAATATAGTGGATATATTTCCGGTGATCGATTAACTGTATTGCAAAAGTCAAATGAAATTTTTTTTTGCATTCACCGTAGAGACTTTCTACCACCAGTTAGGAAATATGATAAGAGCAATGAAAAAGCTAATGCCTGAGAAGAATTAATAATGAATTATTCAATATTAAAAATTAATTATTCAACTAAACTTTTACATGCACTTTTGAATCGTCAACTTTATATAGAGCCAATGCAGTCGGCTTGAGAGGAAGCTGCGACTGGCGAGAGTAACTCATTGGGATTGTACTATATTTTTCTTGTTTAGTTATAGAAAATTATATATTACAAGTTTTATCCAACATTGAAATAGCATTGGAGCATCATATTATCATCATTTATATCACATTATACCCTAGATATGCTTTCTTCTAGAAATAATATATTGTTTTTTACTTTTTTAAACACACACACTATACGTACTTTTATACTTTTAAATCTATCAAAATAACGTACCTTGCGCAAAGACCACACAAAACACTGTCACAAGTAAGACAGTACAAATTACCGGTTTCATATTGACTACGCGACCGTTCAAGACGGCCTTTGAAACGATACTAATTTGTATTTCTCACGCTCGATATAGAAGGCTTTAATTTGTCGGACTAAAGCTTGTTAGTATATATACCTATGCATCAATTCTCCTTTGTCTATAATATAGGTACTCCGTAGGTATATACTGAATTATCTAGTACCATGAGAGGCCTGCAACTTTGCCCGCTTAAATAAACTTTTTGATTCTTGAGGTCATTGTTTTCTTAATGAATTTTGAATGCAAAAGTGTATTTGTTTCGTTTGTCTTTTTATCATCTATCTATGTATACACCACAGGGGTTAAAAACTTGAAATTTTGGCGGTTGATGCATTTTATAATGTAAATTTCCACTAAGGAAGGATTTTTAGGAATTCCACCCCTAAAGGGGTAAAATAAGGGAGGTTGTATGGAAATCCGTCATTTTCAAAGTTAGAAGCATTAAATTTCATATACAAGCTTCTGGTTCGAAATAAATAAATATGTATTTCAGGGCTGTATAAATCAGGTCCCTGAGAGGGTAAAATAAAGGTTTGAATGTTTATAAATGGATTCCGTTACTTTTGGAGTAAGAAGCATAAAATTTCATATACAAGCTTCTGGTTAAAAATTAATAAAACAGCGTTTTTGAAAGTATGTCCCCTAAGAGGGTGAAATAGGAGTTAAAAGATTATATGGGAGGTCCGTCATTTTTGAAGTAAGAAGAATGAAATTTAATACTGTATGTAATATTATGTATAACCATAAATAATATTAAAAATAAAAAATATTAATTATTTATTTAAGCAATATTATTGTTTTACATGTAATTTAAAAAGAAGTTAAAATATTAATTTAGATTGCTATTTTAAATAAAACTATTTTTTCGGATTATTTCGCGGATTTATTTTGATTTTTGGTTCCCGACGTTTCGAATGATTTACAGCAATCATGGTCACGAAAGAAATCATTTTTGTAAAAATTGTGGGCAGGCACTGTCTGTAACAAGTGTATAACGCCTTTGAGACGTCTAATAACATTAGTCTCTCCCGTGACCATGATTGCTGTAAAGCATTCGAAACGTTGGAAACCAAAAATAAAAAAAAAATTAAATACAATTTAAAACAATCGATATTATTAATAATTATCGATAATATTGTCATTATTTAAGTGGCTTTTCTGTATATTTTTTCAATTTTGCATAGTGATGAGAATCACGCACAGATACTGTGAGATTTTTTCGTTTTTCCGTTCCATCCTAGTTTCACCATACACTAAAATACGTCGAGCCGTTGTTTCTTTCTTAGGAAAGATAAACGGATAAACCAACAATTGAGCGCATTTATAATATTAACTGAAGATTCATCCGTTTATATAAGGTTGATGAAGATTTCATAATATTATCGTATCCAAAGTAATTTTATTTGCAGTACATATTTGTTTTTTTTTAACTTTTCTCATCTTTCAGTTTAATAAATATAAAGAAAAATACAAATCTTTGACAACTTGCAATATCACCGCAGACTTCGTTAATGTCTTAAGGTTTTCTAATAAATTGTACGTTTACACTCAAAATATGTTAATAATTTATTTAAAAATGTATTAAATTATTGGATTGTCTAGACTTCATGTACAGAAGAATAATAAAATTGATTTAAAAGTTTTGACTGGAATTGAAGCTAATGTGTTAATAAAGTAAAACCTTTACATTCTCTAGCAATAAGGAAATTATATTTTTTTTAATTATATATCACTATAAATATTAAATTAAAATAATATAGTTATATATACAATAATAAGGTTTTATAGCAGAAAAAGATAACTAAATCCTCCTCCGTCATACATACATATATTTGTCATGCATAGCTGTGATGGTTTGTAGAGTATATAAGGATTTCTGTGATGAGTCTCACATTCTAATTAACAGATGATAACATTAGTAATATTGCGTTTGATAATGTCCATATAAAAAGTTTTAGTTACGTGGATACTGGATGATAGCATCACTATTCACTATTAAAAGTCCCCTTTCCGCCGTCTGTCTATCTGTCTTAAAGCGAAAAACTCAAAAACCACCAAACGGATTTTCACACAATTTTATCAATAGATGGAGTGATTCATAAGGAAGGTTTAGGTGTATAATTCATTGAGGTTTTGTGTAAATTGGTTGAAATATGACGATGATTGTTGAATATGTCGGAAAAATCATGCTGACTTGGATCAATTATTATCATGGAATTATCCCTCTTAAACAGATCTATTTAACTGTAGCAATGCTATATGTGCGTGTCTACGCACGTACCCGAGCCAATCGAGGATATGTCACTAGTGTCCATATTAAAAAGAAGTCATTAGAGACTGCCGACAGAAGTGAACACTTAAAACTATAAACAAACATTAATTTTGGATATTCTAATTGTTTGATCTTAAATTAAAATTTGTAAATTAAAACTGTTTACATTTATCTGGTTTGGACATCTATCGGCACTCTTGAGTGTTCGCGTTAACACGTCACGTGACCATGTCGATGACGAGTTACATGAATTTACTATCCCCACTCAAACCTGCCTATAGAAGTTTTCACTTCAAAAAAGGTTTAGTTAGACACATGGATACTGGATGACGTCTCGTTAGGCATTACAATCAAAAGAAGTAGGTAACTACGCATTATATATGGACGTTTTAATTGTGAATAAATTTTGATACAAAATTGGTATTGTTACTCATCGTCGTCATGATGCATGCTTTTAAGGGTATATTGAAATATTTTCATATAATTTAATAATTAATTGTAGTTTAATAATATATGATTGGCGTTTTACCTAGAATATGTAGCCTGAGCAATATTTTTAGGTTTAAAACTGATTAAATTGTTAACTTTATTTGTTTTTATCTCAGGTGTTGCAAAATATGCATTAAATCCAAGACAATTATTAAAGACGAGCGCCCAAAATAATACTCAAATTCTTACTGTGTCCAGCCCTTTTTTACGTCCCACGCTTAGCACGGGTCTTCCCTTAATGCGAGGGGGATCAGGCTGGCCAAGTGCTGGGTGGCGGCCTTCACGTATTTTTGAATTGTATTTTGATTATATATTTGATTTGAAAACTGTTCTCTTACAAGACAAAACCAATTGTGATTGGGATATGAAAATATACGTTTCGTTTCGTTTGAGTAAATTCGCAGGGAGAAAGTAGATAGCAATAAAACTGCCCAGATATTTTTACATGTAAGTATGTATTATAATTAAAAAATGTAAAATTCATTTGTCAAAAAAGTATCACTTTCTTAGAAATATTATTCCGCAAATCTTAGTTATTAAATTGATTAAGATGAAACAACTTCACGTATCCAGGGTAAAAATGAGTATACTTTAGTGTAAACGCTAGGGATGCCTTCTGTACCGCACGGGACTGCTCCAAAGCTGACAATACCTTCCAAGGTATATCGGCCATCATTTTCAGACATCAAAGGGCCGCCGCCATCCCCCCTGCAAGAGTCCAGTCCTTTCTCGCCACCTGCGCAAATATGATCCTCACTCACGGCTGCGTAACGTCTGATGTTTCGTGATGCGTAAATTTCTTTGCATTTCTGTAACAGAAAGCAGAATAATCATAACAATGACCAATATCATAACAATATAATGATAACAATGAACAAATTGGTTTTCTTACCTTAAAAGGCACGTAGGGTAGCTCTACATAATGTTTTACAACGTCGTCCTCGTGGTCGCTCGCAGGCTTGCTTCCCCAACCGGCGTTGATCAATTTCAAGTCGCTGGGGGCTGACGCCGTAATGTCAGATTCGGGTAGACATATGGGTCTTATGAATTCTGAAAATAACCGAAAGTATAAATGATGAATCACCATGAGATGATGAGATCTTTAAGTAGAAGAGCTTAGTGTATTCTGGGAAATATCGTTCTATCTCGTATTCTTCCCACTCGGTAGCGGTTCGCCCCTAGGTAGGTTTACACGATGAGATATTTTCACGCAGTAAAAAGTATATGTTGATATGTTGATCCGGATAATCACCTCTCAGCATACCAAATTTCATCAAAATCTGTCCAGTAGTTTTCTCACGACGTTCCCAGACAGACAGACAGACAAAAATTCGGCCTTTAGATTATTTTTAGTTCATACCTACATTGGAAAGATCTATATATAAAAAAATTCTAACTGAGTCGAATCAGTACATTAAATATTTTTTGGAAAATCTTATTGAAATACATAGTAATTATTATCGATAATAGCTATGTATTACAATAAAATTTGCCGAAAAATATTTATTGTGTGGGAAAATCAGTAAAAGGGCTGCTAATAACTTTAGTAGCTCTTTGGGCTTTGGACTTTGGGTCTATTAGATATATTTATGTATATATACAACCCTAGGAAACGTATGAATAATACTAGTGACTCACCCTCACTGCGCTCGGGTTCGTCCCTAGGTATGTACGTTTAAACGGTTAGTATGGATTAGATAGACTATATTATATACATAGGTATAGAAAAGTAGGTAAGTACTTAAATCATCTCATACTTTACCTTGATTGGTTATAAAGGTCGGAATATTCTTCATTTCTTGCCAAAATTATAGGATATAATACATTTTTTGTCCTTAACTTGAGAAATGATTTGTTGCTAATACAAAATTTCAACCCCTTTTTCACCCCTTTTAAGTTAATTTTAAAAAAAGAAACGGACAGAAAGACAGAGTTATAGCTACCATTATACGGCACTTGTTGTGCGAGCTTTATCACAGCGATGTCGTGGCCATGATACTTATGTTTGTCGAACTCAGGGTGGGAAATAACATGATCAATAGGAATTGTGATGGCACCCTCATTGCAAATCTTCTTGCCGGCGACGACCAGGCAATCGGGTCCACTGTTGGTTTTATTGAATTCACCCAAACGAACATTTTTACTGTAACAAAATGAAATATAACAAATTAATATGCACTGTATTATTATTTTAAATATAATCTTTTCGGATTTTTCGCCGATTTATTTTGATTTTTGGTTCCCAACGTTTCGGATGCTTTACAGCAATCATGGTCACGGGAGAGACTAAGGTTTTAGATGTCTCAAGGCAGGTGTCTGTAACAACTATATAATGCCTTACATTTTCATAATTTCTGACAGTATTAAGCTTAGAACTAAGTTTATAATTTACTGAACTATTAATTTGACGATATTCTTTTGGGTTATTCTAAGTTTATTCCAAAATAACTCGGATAAATGTCTTCATAACCTAAATTTAGAATGATACGTGAAATATTTAGTTACAGTAATACTTACGGGGCGTGGTATAGACACTGTGCTGCGGTCAGTACATATCGCGAACTGATAAGAACACCGGTGCAAGTGATTCTGCCTTCGTTGTGTTCTATCAGAGCTAGCCACGGGAATTGATTGATGGCTGCATTACCGCCTGAAATTACATGGAAATAAACTTTTAAGTTTTTTTTAGAAAATAAGCCTAATATTTCAGTAGCGCTAATAAATAGGTAAGATATCCATACTTAGTATTATAAATGTGAAAATGTGTTTGTTTGTTTGTCCTTCTTTCACGTCGAAACGGAGTGACGAGTTAGCGTGATTTTTTGTGTCGAGATAGTTGTAGTGCTGGAGAGTGAAATAGGCTACTTTTTACCGCGGGAGATTACTTGAAACTTGGTATTGATGCCATTAAGGTAGTAAATAAAATAGGGGATGAAATTTTGTAAGAAACTACCTAAACTACACTAAACTACTTTTTAGAGATTTTTTTGTAGTTTTAGCGCGAGCGAAGCCGCGGGTTCTGTTAGTAAAGTAATAATTGATGAATGACGCATACTTTTAGCAAACGAATATTAGCTAAAATGGCTAGTTGAATGACCTTATTATGAGGTCCTTCGGGTAGGCATGGAACCCTAAAAATAAACTTTTATCGGTTGAATTGCGAGTTGTATGGTTTTATTTCTATGTTCCAACCTAATCCATTTAGTGGGTCAGCCAATTTACTTAGGCTACGAAGGTTAGAGCCAGTTACTAAAACTCACGTTGGTAGGTACTTTTAATATAGCTTTCTTTACATTTCTGCAACATTTTTTTTGATTTAGTATTAGTGAGAGTCGTAATCAGTTTTTTAAGATCCTGCCGATGTCTTTCGTAAACTAGTTAGATTCTTTCAGTTTATATGTTATATAGACTTGCAACGAGTATTATATTCGGCCATACGCTGAATACTGAATATTTGGTGGTATTTCTGGCCGAATAGCCAAATATTAGGCAAAAGTATTCGGTCAGCGCAAAACTTGTGGTGGGAAAACTTTTATCGACGTCTTTGTTTTTTGTTTACTGCCAGGAAGTAGTATTTATTCGGAGCGTCTTTTCTCTGTAGCTGAAATTGTCACTTCCAAATATTAATTATGATAATGCAAGTGTATAGAAAATTATTTGATAGTTTTTTGATTAATTTTTGTAATACAGAACTTAATTATGTTCCTATGACTACTTTAATAATTATAAGAAAAATATATTATTATAAAATAAATCAATATTTTCATTTTACACATTAACTATATGATTACAACAAAACATATTACTTAAGTATTCGGCTGAGTAGTATCTTAGATATTCGGTATTCGGCCGAATAGGAAAATAGTAGCCGGCTAGACCGAATACCGGATAATAGCCGAATATTCATTGCAAGTCTAATATTAAATAATATAGGTATTAAATTAGGAGGAAAACGACATGTTTTCCTCACGTTGAAAATGATTCATACATGAGAATATCAGAACTGTGAGACCAGGTTTTTAATACGATTCACTGGTTTCTATATATAACTGGATTACCACTTGCCTACCACCACTTTTTGTAAAATTACTTTTTGTATAATTGTTAAAATCAGTTATATTTTAAAAATTTGAAAATACGTACTAGTGCTACGATGGTCATCTGCAAGGTCTAATCCACAGCAATCCGACGTAACGCTCGGCGGCTCATCTGTTTCCTTGCATGTTTCTGAAATATTATAATAATGTATTTTGTAACCGACTTCCAAAAAGGAGGAGCTTCTCAATTCGTCGGAATGATTTTTTTTAATCAAAAAAAATGTAGACTGACTTTAAAATCACTTTAAAAGATATAATTAAATATATAAAAAATATTTCAACCATTGTAGTGGAAACTTCAGGGGAAACCTGTTCATTAAATAAATAGTTATGAACATACATATATTGTAAATAGTACACAATTCACGAAGATATCTCCTGACATGCGCAAATCCTGCGCAAAAAAATACAGAACACGCCCGAATTGAGTAAAACTTTATTTTTATAAATAGGTAAAAATTACCTACCGTATATAATTTCATATGCATTTAGTAAAAGCTGTTATTTTAACGTCTGGGTGTGTAGATGTATGGATGTTTGTTACTCTTTTACACAAAAACTAATATCCAGTAGTTTTTGATTTTAATGAAGCTTCACAATAATATAAGTTCATACATCAGAATAACACAAAGCCTACTTTTAATCCCGGAAAAATGTAGCCGTGGGATAGATTTATTTTTGTTCTAAGCGCATAATAATTAAAATGTATTGTTTCTCGGCAAGCAAATAGAGATAGGTATTGAAAAAATACACGTATTGAAGTTATTAATATTCATGATAATAATATACGATTGATTTATAGTTGTTATTATGATTCAAATGACAAATGTTTTAAAAGTTTAAATGAACACAAGATAAACATAAAAGCTGACATTTATAATATTGCCGTACAAAAAAAGAACTTTTATATGTATATCTAAGAGATGTGAATGGAAATGTAATTTAATCAAGAAGCTTGTTAGAATGTAGATTGTTAGAAGTGATCTGGAATTCAGCCTTTTTTTTTAATATCACAATGCTGCGCACTGGCCTCCGTTCAATACGACGGCGATCAGGCCATAGTCCACCACGCTGGCTGACTGCGGGCTAGCGATGTCTTTCGAAAGTATGCTAAGTTCTCTCAGACATGCAGGTTTCCTCATCATGTATTCCTTCACCGTAAGACATAATTTATATATATACGGTTCTTTAATATCCCACTCAATTTAATTAATTATGTTGGTACCAGGGTCCGGGACAAGTGTTATAGTCATCTACCGGCCAATAAACAAGCTCTAAACGAAAAGTGATATGGATAAGTTGCTAGCATCTCTACATATAATAAAATTGTAACTGAGTCTAATCTGTACATTTAATATTTTTTGGAAAATCTTATTAAAATAGTCATTATTGTCGATACAGAGGTCGAATGTATAGTTTTTAGAATTTTTGTTTGTTTGTCTGTCTGCCTGGGAACGCATCACGAGAAAACCACTGGGCAGATTTTGATTAAATTTGCTATGATGACCAGTTGGTTATCCGTATCAACATATAGAATACTTTTTACTGCGGGAAAATATCTCATCTCTGAGAAATCAATACTAAACGTTAAAATTTGCTATATATTTGCTGTTGAAGAAGGACAATTCAACAAATAACATTGTTGTATTTATATTGGCAAGGATGTCATAATTAATTAACATTTAAATTATTATGAATAATGGACATGTAACAAGCTGTGCCATTAAACGTATGAGTTGTTGTTAAGCGCAACAAAAACTTGTTTTCAATTATTTAATAAATGATCTCCAAACAAACATTTATATGTAAATTGCATATATCAGTATATAATCAAAGGGATATAATAATAAAGGTGATATAATAATATTGACGATCTTTAAGCTTTCATGGTCACTGACATGATTTTCATGATTTGAAACGTGATATTTAACATGTTTTTAGGTTTTTGCTCTCCAAGCTCCTTTGAGTCTCCAATACTTCGACGCCCTCAAGCGAACGAAGCCCCAAAGCGTACAGGAAAAGTAAAGTTTTCAATATATCCACCCGTATTTTTTTTTGTAGAAAGCCCATGATCATAGTGATTGCAAAAATGCGGAAAATATCGGGAATTCAAACGAGAAAGCGAGAAACATAGTAACTATCCTGACATATCGTAAAAATGAAGCAATATTTATCTCAATCAATCAGCGACCACACTCGGGTTCGTCCCTAGTTACGTTTGAACGTTTAGCATAGACTTCTCAGAGATGATATATTTTCCCGCAGTAATAAATATCCTATATGTTGACCCGGATAATCAACTATCATCTTACCAAATTTCATTAAAATCTGTCAAGTGGTTTTCTCGTGATGCGTTCCCAGACAGCGAGACAGACAGAAACTCTAAAAATTGTAGATTCGGCCTCTGTATCGATAATAATTTCTATTTCAATAAGATATTAAAAAATATATTTAATGTACAGATTCGATTCAGAATTTTATTATATGTATAGATATGTTTGTCAATGTATGAACTAAATATAACGAGTTCAAGTATTATTAATATAAAATCTAAAAAATTGAATACAAAAGGTCATACAGATGAGTGGTCCATTTGAATTTTTTAAACAATATTATTCAAATCAAAATATACTTTATTCAAATAGACTTTTACAAACACTTTTGAATCGTCAATTAGAACTCGGTTGTTATTTAAAGAGCTGTTGTATCGCAGTTTGTTTACTAAAGTACAGACAGTTTGGCGTCGTGCGGTTTCTATACAAGGTACGGTTAAGGTATACCAGTATTAAGCTATTTACACCATATGATTACAATTTTCTCATAACTGATATGGGTTTTACTTTATTAATTATGTTGAAAAAAATGGGTTATATGATCAAGAAGAACATTTTGTTGGAAAAAATACATATTATGTATATTTCATCCTCTTAAAGACTACTATAAGATATCCTTTATAGTGGTTGTTCATATTAACAACGGAAATAGAAATACTTGCAAAGTTTCAAGTCAATATGACAATTAGAAGTAGGTTAAATGCATCATTAGCTTATTTTTCCACCCTTAGGGGTGGTTTTTTTTTTAAATTTAAATGGGACCAATCTGGAAGTATACACTTTCAAACAACACAAAAATATATGAAAAACGTAATAAGTGCCTATAAAATTTGAGATTTGCTTTCGATTTCCCTGAGATCCCATCATCAGATCGTGACTTGGTGACTATGTGACCACCTGGAAACTATACCCTTTCAAACAAAAAAAGAATTTTACAAATCGGTCCAGCTATCGTCGAGTAATCGGGGAACATACATAAAAAAAAGAAAAGTCCCCGACAAATTGAGAACCTCCTCCTTTTTTTGAAGTCGGTTAAAAATAGCAGGTATACCTATCGTAATTTAGGGATAGATTTTTTTTTAATATACAATATATCAAAAAAAAATTGTTAATAAATTTTTATTTTTTTTTAATTTTAAGAAGGTTTTATAAATTGAGGGAATATTTACAAGAAAATATAATTGCGAGTTGGTACATACATACATATAATGACTTACCGGCTGACACTGCGCACAAAGCTCCAGCCAAAATTAAAATAAGATGACTCATTTGCTTAGACATTTTCCACTCGTCTAACCGGCACGAAGTCTTAATATTAACTAACAAGAAAACAAAGAGTGTCTCGATTTTTATATGTGATATAACATCAACATGAGAACCTAATCAGGGTCCAAAATGTCTGAGCTTTTGCTTGTTTATCTCCTAATTTAGTTTATTTGGTGTTGACACGTCGGTCTGATGCAAAAAGTGCAAAAATATAATGTAGAATTATTTTTAAGCTTAATTTTGCTTGACTTTCAAGTCTTTCTGATATTCATGTTTTTTATACTCTTTAAGTAAGTGTGAAGTTTGAAGTTTTGTCATTAATAATGAATTTTATAGAATTGTAACGCCATCATGTCATATCTTATTATTATAAATGAGCAATTGTTGTATATGTATATAAAATTACGTGTATCTCGGAAACGGCTCTAACGATTTGGATAAAATTTTGTATTTAGATAAGGTTTTCCTTTATAATTTTTATATCTTTGTCGAAAAACGCCAAGCGAAGCACGGTCGCCCATTAGGTATGCAAAAAGTGAGTAGGTACAATAATCGAACTTGGACTACATCTATACTTATATTTTAAAGAGACAGAATTTGTTTGATTCTTTGTTTGTATGTATGTTTGTTTGTGTGTTTGTTTGAACGTGCTAATCTAAGGAACTACTAATACGATTTGAAAAATTCTTTTTGCTTTAGATAGCCCGTTTATTGAAGAAGGCTAGAAGTAGGCTATGTATCATCATGCCGCTACCCGGGAGCGGAGCAGTAATCATAAATGTCAACAAATCGAGCAGACTTCCATAAATTCAAATTCAAACACACGAGCAGAGGTAGAATTAAACCAGAAGACGTTAGTAAAAGAAATAAGCGTTACAGCCTTTTACAATTATTAACGCGTAATATAATAAATCTCTCCAAAGGGACTGTAAAAAGTCACACGTTTTTATTTTTACTGTGATAAGTAACACGTAATATATTTTTAACATGTTATTCTCAAATTTCAAATATATATATATATATATATATATATATATATATATATATATATATATATATATATATATATAGAACACGTTTGACAGTTCTAACTGTTTGGCTTACACCTCTACAAAAGTTGATGACCTGAACGGTCCATAATTTCATAAATATATCTAATATATAAAATTCTCGTCTAATATATAAAGTTCTCGTGCCACAGTGTTTGTAACAAATCTCCTCCGAAACGGCTTGACCGATTCTTATGAAATTCTGTGTGTATATTGAGTAGGTCTGAGAATAGGGCGTAAACTATTTCATACCCCTAAGTGATAATAGTGGTCCACCGCAAATTTTTTTTTTGGAACAAAAAATATTTTAATTCTTTTATGAGTTGGCATTAAAAATACATAAAAATCTAACTTTCAGTCAGTCAGGGATAAACCCGAGTGGAGCGAGGGTGAGTCGCTAGTATATTATATATGTATCGCATCATCACTCAAAATGAAGTTTTGACGAAGTGATTAAAAATTAAAGCATCGCACAATTTAATGAGATAATAAAATACATTAAAACGCAAATCGAGAGCAGGTGTTTAGAAGAAAGTTCAATAACCTAACCATGAGGTATTGGTACCAGTTTTATTTACAAGAAGCCGCAGTTTTATATTACGTATGTATGTATATAATTATGCAGTCTTGTTCGGTTGATTTCGATGTTTTTGTTTAGTTTGTTTTTTATATAGTATTTATTTACGATCCCGATATTTGATAAGTAAATGCGTATAAGCTAATATGATCTTTCAAAGCGCGCCTTATACAAGATTCTTCTTTAAAATTTATATATATATGTATTGAGCTGTTTGTTCGTTCGTTCGTTCGTTTGTTTGAAATCGAGTCATAAATTATTTTCTTATAGAAATCTACATTGCCTTTTTAATATATTGTAGTGTTTTTAGTTGATTTGATAATCGATCTTCACGAGATCTTTGAGAGAGAACCCTTGGCCAAGAATGTTCTAAGGTTTTAGATATTTCATATCTTAATAGCAGTAGGTCTACTTATTTCGTTAAAGAGTATTTTGCAGTCTCCACAACATTTAGTGCATTTACGGATATGCCTCTATTGTGCTAGATGATCCTTTTCATTAATAAACTAGTTCACAAATGATTTTTTTCATTATAATGTATTTTGACCTATCGCTGCTGATACGGTCAGGGTCTTCATAAATGTTAATAGATTCTACTCTGCTTCTCCGTACACTAGTTTTGTATCATTTCTGAACTATTTTATTCCGCGGTTCCACTCGAATGTATGGGAGGGTGGGGTGGTAGAAAAGGTAGCCTAAGTTCGTCCCCGTGATGCAATCTACGTCCTTGCAAAATTTCATCAAAACGGTTTAAGCGGTAAACTATAACAAACATACGAACAGAGCAACTTACATATATATAATATTAGTATGAATTTAAAATGTACTCGTATAGTGTGTAGCTTCTTGTTATTTGTTTAGCATTCTGTTAAATTTTAAATGGTTCAAAGTGCTCATATTAAGTGCAATATGAATATGATATACTGTTGGTGTAGTGTAGTACACTACAACAGTATACATATATTACAAAGTACTAATCTTTACATACGATAAAATTGTAACTAAGCCGAGTTTGTACATTAACACCTCCAGGTAAATTTCTAAGAAATTATGTAGATTTCTAAGAAATCTGTTGTTAATTGTAACGTGTCCGCGGTCGTTAAAGGATTAAATATTTTTTGGAAAATTTTATTGAATTAGACATTATTATCGATAGAGGCCGAATCCATAGTTACCTACCTGTAACTTATATAAGCTCCTGTAAACTAACATATGTATGTATGTATGTATATACAAATTAATAAAGTTTATCGATATAATAAATGGACCTTAGATGGGAATATTATGTGCATATTAATAAAAGATAAGTACTGACCATAAAATATGAAAGATAACAATATTATGTTAATAAGACTTTAATCCAGTTATAATTGTTATAATATACCTATAAAATTCCAGTGAGTGTGTCTTTGTCACTCTTCTTCTCCTAAAGTGTTTAACTGATTTTGATGAAATTAATATGGTCGGTAGGTTAGTTAGCAGGTAGCAACTGTTGTCGAGATATAGACGTATTTTTTTATATTCCGACCAAACGAAATTTGTGGAAGATGACTGCGTCTCGTATCTACGTAATCCGCAATAGAAAAATGAAATATGTTAATTCACATTTATAACTAACGACTTGCCCTCGCTTCGCTCGGGTGCGTCCCTAAGTGCATTTTATTTTTTTGCGAGGAGTTCTAATTATTATTTTTTTCAAAAAAAAAATAGCCTAAGTTGCTCTTATGACATCAGTTATTTGCTATCGAAAGTTCCGTCAAAATTGGTCCAGCGTTTTCAGAGAATAGCCGGAACAAACAGACATACTGCTGTCAAAATTTTTCAAATAATGTTTTTCTTATAAGTACCGTATATAATTTGATATGCATTTAGCAAAAAGTTGTTATTTTGACATATTTATTTGTATAGATAATAATTTTTATAGAACTTTTTGTGATATAAGCGTAGCGCAAAATTTCATTCGAAATAGAAAATATAAGAACAAATGTTCTTGTTACAGGAGCAACAAAGGAAATCGGTACAGCTCTCACGCGAGTATGTCTTCGACACAGAGCCATCGAGTCACGGATGAAAACATTTATAAGGTAAATTGTTCTTATATTATTTTGTATCTTTAATATTTTTTTTGTTCTTGTGATGGTTTTTTTTTTAAATTGGATATTTGATTTTGTTGCGTTGCTTACTTTTTTTTAATATGTGTAGGATTCATTTATTTGTCATTGGCGACGCTTGTGAAGCGGACTTTAACTGCGACTCAGTTTTACACTAATGAAGTTATTATCGTTGTTTTTATTATACATGTACTAAATGTTCAAAATAGATAAATATTATATTATATTTTTCATAGCCACGCTTTGGCGTTTCCCCCGTAGCGGTACGATAGATTTTTTTACTATGGAGCTTTCAAGACTGTATGTTTGTTTGTATGGAACTTCATAATATGGGGAATGGAAATTTTTTATTTTATATTTGGATTGAAATGAAATGTGTTAGAAATATTTTATTTGTACGCTATCCTGCCTACGTCACCGATTTTTTAGTATGGAGAGAATTTGAAATCCCATGGAAAGGCCAGCGGAATGTTTTTGCGTTTACCGGACATGCTATAGAAATTTAATTTTATTAATTAACTTAAGTAAGGTCATAATAAGGTTTATTATTAACACTTCGCTCGAGTGCGTCCATAGGTAAGTTTTAATTTTTTGGTGTGGAACCCTAATTCTTTTTCTAAAATAAAAGTAGCCTAAGTTACTCCTTATAACATCAGCTACCTGCCAGTGAAAGTCCCGTAAAAATCGGTCCAACCGCTTCGGAGATTAACGGAAGGAAGAGAAACGGAAGAATTAACCTGAATTCGGAACTGACAGACAGACATACAGACAAAAAAAATTAAAAGTTGCGTTTTTCGTATAAGTAGGTACCTTATATGATTTTATATGCATTTAGTAAAAAGCTCTTATTTTGACATTACAAACAGACACTTCAATTATATTTATCTGTATATAAATTGTTATTATTTTTAATTATATTTATTTTAATAACACATAATAACTAATTTATTATTCTAGTACTTTAATGGACCGCCTGATAACACCCCTGGCTGATCGTACGGACGAATGGCGTAGGGGTTGCAACGGATCTGGCGCTCTAAGTAGAGAACATGCGAGAGAATGTAAGAGAGCAAGAGCAGAGTTACGGAGGAGAGTTCACGACGCCCAAAGGCATGCCAGGAAAGCTAGGCGCGCCACCCCCGATGTGAAACGACGGGCCGATGTCTGCTTGCAGGTTGGTGGTTTCCCTATTCATATTATATGTAGGTGCATATATGTATGTACCTATGTCCTCCTGACCGATTTTGGCCACGGCGGCTTATCTCACTGAGACTAGCCAACTGCAGGAGATATTATAGTGTACAAGTGTACGCGCAGACACAGGTGCACTCTCTATTCCTGTCACTCTTATACTCCGATGGAACGAAAAGTCTACACGACCAGTAAGAAAGAGGCGCCGGACCGACGGCTTTACGTGCTCTCCGAGGCACGGGGGTGGAACACCGCCAACTTTCCAACTCGGGGTTGTTACTGAGGTTTACTATACAGAAAGATTCAATAACCAAACTTGGCCCGACCCGGTACTCGAACCCAAACCTAAGGATCTGCAGCTGTGCATCATAGCCATTAGACTACCGAGGCAGTTAAAAATAGGCTATAAAATGATAATAAGTGATTAGATCTAACTGTGAGTGCCACAATTTAGTGTTAAATTACAATTGAACTTATGTTATGATACCTATATATAATGTGCACATATTTTTTTATATTTATAGGATGTTCAAGAGAGAAAGCAACAATTGGAAGAAATGGAGGAGAAGGCTGTCAAAGCAGCGCTCATTGAGGAAAGGAGTCGGTTCTGTCACTTTGTGTCACTTCTCAGTCCCGTGGTGGTAAGGAAAAAAGTTGTTTATGTTTAAAACTAGCGATTTACTCTCGCTTCGTAAGTATAGATTTCTCAGAGATGAGATATTTTCCCGAAGTAAATATTATCCTATATTTTGACCCGAATAACCAGCTTCTATTATACTAAATTTCATCAAAATCTGTCCAGTGGTTTACTCGTGATACGTTCCCAGACAGACGGACATAAAATCTAAAAAATATAGATTCGGCCTCTGTATGAATAATAATGACTATTTCATTAAGATTTTCCAAAAAAATATTTAATGTGCAGATTCGAGTCAGTTTGAATTTTGTTATATTTATAGATAACGTTAAAAATTAAATCTTAAAAAATAGAAAATATTCTTTAAAAATTAAATGTTACTATAACTAACAAAATAAATAAAATAATCTTTAAATAAAACTTAGTAATTTTTTCAAGATGCTTATTAGATGTGAAAATAATTTAATTATTTGTTTTCAATTAGATTGAAATTTATAATATATAGGAGGAAAATTACCCAAAATGAAGTTTCGATGTTGAATAAAACTCATACCACGCGATAGCCTTGGACTTCCTTGTTTATTGTTGGGACTCATGTTGCTAAAAATAATACTTTATCTAGGTTCGAAGAATTTGCTTGTTGTTGATACATGTGTATTTTATACTGGTCCAATTACCTTGCTTTGGTCGGATGCATCCATAAATGGGTTCTGTACATAATATAACAAAAAGGCGGCAAATTATATAACACTAGCGACTCACCGTCAGTCCGCTCGGGTTCTTCCCTAGGTGATTCTTTAAATTGACATTACTTTTTATTTATGAACCGATTGAAATAAAACAGATACTAAATGTTAAGTGAAGCTCACCACGATATATTAGTGAAAACCGCATCCTAATCGGTTAATCCGTTTCTGAGATAAGCGCGCACAAATAAACAGACAAAAATTCTAAAAAATCATTGTTTTGCGTTCTATTGCGTAAATAAAGTCCCCCTATGATAGTTTTTCTCAAATATCTTCCATGTACAGAAAGCGATCCGTTACACTTTTATTATAAGTATAAATTAGTTTACATACATACATATGTGTTAGTTACTCTAGGTAGTAATCTATCAGAGTGCTGAATTTCATCCAAATTCGTCAAGCCGTTTCAGAGTGAAGGACTTATGTACTTCCACGACCTCGGCACCACACCCAACAAAAATAATAATAATAATAAATATGTACTTCCACAGTCACACATACAGTCGCATTTATAGTGTGCCTAGCAATTCAGCATCGCTCCGCTCGGGTTTGTCCCTACTTACGTTTTCAGGTTTAGTATAGATTTTTCAGAGATGAGATATTTTCACGCAGTAAAAAGTATCCTATATGTTGACCCGGATTACCAGCCATCATCATACCGGAATTTATCAAAACCTGTCCAGTGGTTATCTCGTGATGCATTCCCAGACAGACAGACAGACAAAAATTCTAAAAACTAGATTCCGCCTCTGTATATAATGTAAATTTTAAATGTAAAAATGACTATTTCAATAAGATTTTCCAAAAAATATTTAATATACAGAATCGACTTAATTAGAATTTTATTATATGTGTAACAGATTATACGTGAAATTGGCGGAGTAATCTGTGCTCAACTGGCACGCTTTGAAGCCATTAACAACATAATTGAATTGAATTAAACTTGTAGAAGTAACAAACAAACATACATACATACATACAATCACATATACGAAGTATCGCAGCTATAATAGCAGACCGATATTTTGACCGACTTCAAAATAGAGATGGAGTACCTCCAAGGTTTACGTTTTTATGTATTAATTGCAGGAGAGTGAAGTGGCAATGTTAGCTGAGGTAGGTCACCTCCAAGAGGGCACGGAACAGTTGTCAAGACAGACTTCGGAGCCTAGGAGTTTGCCGGCTGCAAGCTTACAGGTAACAAGTAACTTATAGTAAGTTACCCGAGATACACGAAGTAAATTTATACATATACAAGAATTGTTCATTTAATATTATAAGATAAAAGTATGATTATACTAGCAGAACCCGCGGCTTTGTTCGCGCAAAAACTACAAAAAAAACTATAAAAATGTAGTTTTCATACAAACTTTCATCCCATATTTTACCCCCTTATGGTATGAATTTCAAAAATGCTAAAACACGTAATTGTATTGAAGAGCATTCATACCAAGTTTCAAGTAGCCCTAGAATGATTCGAGAAGCCATAGAAATTAAAAAACATCCTAATTTCAATAGGGAAGATGGCTGGGTACTACCATCGTCATGGGATCCTGTTATTAATATAATAAAATCAAATAATAAATATAAACACAACAGACAGGCAGATGTAGTAAGTTCATACTGTGTAGATCAAAATGACAGCTTATCAGACTAATATTTTTGATTTTTCATTTGTAAAAGTATATATTAATAGTGTTGCTTAGTAAGTTGTTTTTTAAATAATAGCAAACTAAATTAAAATTATTATCCTTAATTAATTTTAACTTTTTAAATTACACATAGAACAATTATATGGCTTTAATAATTAATACTACATTTTATATTTTTCTATATGGTTATAAATATAATAATGGCAACACTAAATATAGATTACTAATTAATATTTTAAAATTGTAATAATTATAAAAATAATAGCAAAATTAAATAAATAATTTTCCATATTCAATTATAATTAAAATTATAAAAATGTTCAAAGTTAAAAAATATTGTAATGTAATTGGTGCAATTTTCATTTTGTTAATTGTGGGTAGGCTGTCTGTAACAACTATACATTCAAGACATGTAACACCTCAGTCTCTCCCGTGACCATGGATGCTGTAAAGCATTCGAAACGTCGGGAAACAAAAATCCAAATAAATCCGCGACAAAATCCGAAAAGATAGTTTTATTTAAAATGTCAAATATTCGCGTAAATCTAAGAAAGTATTAAGTTTCAAGTAATTCTGATCATAAATATTTTTATGGGTTGTATTATGACGTGTATTCCCGTGGGGATGAGATAATCTCTCGCAGTAAAAACTAGCCTATGTCACTCTCCAACCATCCAACTATCTCTACGCAACAAATCACGCCAATCCGTCACTATGTTTCGACGTGAAAGAAGGACAAACAAACAAACACTTTCACAATTATAATATTAAGTATGAATTGTGACTCATTTATATTGAACACGTTTGTATCATGTGTTATGGCAATTTTCCTTCCTCCAGTAAATTCCTAAAGTTGTGAAATATTTTGGCTTAATTATTTTTAATCGATTGAATTAAATATTTTTTATTATCCTCCCAAAAAATTACCGCGGATAAAAACTAGTACGATATGGAATTTTCAAGTATTTAACCAATGGATAAGTTTCCCATTTTTGTATTCTATTAATTATAAATATTTAAGCAAAATATAAATTACTTAAATATGTTGTGAAACTTTGTAGTTGTGCGTGTAAGAATAATTTTGTTTCGACGTCACAAGACCGGGAAGGCCGAAACTTAAATTAATTTCATGTCATTTATTGATAGTTTTTTTTAACAATTATTACTTTCGATCTATATTATAATTCCATTGTGTTAAATATGAATTATGATATTATCAACATCAGGAAACTTCTCCATTTTGATGTTATGCAGATCTTATTAGTAACTTTTTTATTATAACCGTGCGTGTCGCATTCACTGTGTTATACGAACTGTCTCAGACACACATACATACACGTTAATAATCAATCATATTTATTCATTCAAGTATTTTAATTTTGTGTTAATATAGTTCTTAAAGGTTCTTGTTATCCAGAAAAGTATCTTACGTATCTTTCCAAATCTTCCTTAAAGTTTCTTGTTAGCCAATAAAAGTATCTTCCCGTATAAGGTTCATGTTATAATTACGGATAAAAGATACTTTTTTTTGTTTTTAGGTTATTTGCGATATTAAGTCATGCTACAGTGGCTGGGAAGGGGGATCGGCTCCACACTCTCCTTCCGCGTCTTCCCGCCTCGGAAGTCGGAAATCTTCCCTGACATCAATATCTTCCTTGACAAGCCAGTGTTCTGATCAACATGGTAAGGGATTAAAGTTTTTTGTTATTAAATATCTTATAACTTATATTCGGTGAAAGTCAGTAACCAAATGGTTAAAGAGCTTGGAAAAAAAGTGAGGCGGGTTCAAATCCCGGGTCTTGCGCATCTGATATTTTCCTATGGGTCTCAATTTTATCATGATTACTACTCGATTTATGGTGAAGGAAATTTAGTTATTGAGTATTTCTTGGTGGTATTTCACCCTCCGAGAGCACGTAAAGCCGTCAGTCTTGCGTCTGATTGGCCGCCGTGGCCGAATTTGGTCGGGATATCATCATTTTTATTTATTTATTTATTGAAATTTCAGTACATACATAGCAAAAACAGTTATAAACCATAATAATTGCAGAAATCCACCAGCAAAATTACAGAAAAAATGTGTACATACATACAAAAACTAATTAAAAATAACATTTATAAAAACAAAAATATAAACAAGCTTTTTAGTTCAATTAAATAAGTTTACAAAAAAATAAATTATTTTAAGTAAAGCAAAAAAAGAATAATTGATACTAATGTTGCGAGGCATTGTAGGGGTTCAACATATAAAAACGAGCACACTCAGTCATAAGGGACTAATTCATCATCATTAGTTTTTCTGTCAAGAAATTCTCAGTAACAACCCGCAGTAGGGAAACTTATTCGCTTTTATTGATTCGATTGGCCACCATGGCCGATATCGGTCAGAAGTACATATTGAATACATGACAATGACACAATTTTGAAGTGAAAACTTCTGTAGGCAGGTTTGGATGGGGAGTAAATTCATGTAAGTCGTCATCCACATGGTCACGTGACGTGTTAACGCTAACACTCACAGTGCCGATAGATGCTAAAATCCAGATAAATGTAAACAGTTTTAATTTACAAATTTTAATTTTAAGATCAAACAATTAATTTGAATTTCCAAAAATAACAACTGTTTGTTTATAGTTTCAAGTTTTAAGTTTGACTGCTTTTTATATATATTTTTTATATTTTCAGGTGTTTCAGGGTCAACAGTTAGTTGTTCGACACCAATATCGAGCGCTTCGTCGAGCGTCACGCCCGCGCCCGCTCCCGATTCTCTACGCGGCTTGTCGCAGGTACGATATAGCTTTATATCGTAATAAAAAAATAAATAAATATGTTGGGATATTAACACACATCACCATCTAGTTCCATGGTAAGCTACGAGGCTTGTGTCATGAATATCAGATAGATGATACACTTATACATAAATAACTTTAAATACATACATATTATAAATATAAACACCCATGACTGGGGTACAAAAATTCGAGCTCATCACACAAATGAATGCCCCCAGCGGGACTCGAACCGCGACGGCTGCCATAGTAAGTAGGGTCACTACAAATTGAGTCAAACGTGTCGTCGTATTGTACTAGTTATAGGCCGTGGTTTCGCCTGCGTAGTAGTAGTCTTTTTACTTATTCTCTATAAATAAATGACTTTAAACTGACTGACTTTACTTGTTCCAATGCCCTATAATCAATTTCTAAATTCGTAGGGATACATACCCTGCATTCCAATTTTATTAATAAAAAAAATTGCGATTAAATTTTTTTAATAAAAAAATAACATCAATCAATATATTTGCCTCATTCGGGAATCGAACCTACGGCCGTTTTACGTAGCAGTCGTATTTTTTTCTATTTTTTTGTTTTTTTTTCTATTTTGTTTTGTTTCTTTTATTTTTTTTATTATTATTTTTTGTTATTATTATATATAGTCGGCGCGCATAGCAAGTGTATGCAGTGGGGATTCGGGTTTTCGTTCTCAAGACGCTTTACAACGACCCTGTCTCTACGTTGATAATGTAATTTGTTTTTATTATTTATTTGTTAATATATACTTTTAATGAATATACTACACTGTCCCATATACTAAACTGCAGCCGAATAATACTTCAAAGTCGATAAAATTTCATGATATAATTATCTTTTCTTAAAAAAAACACAATTTTTATATCTGTTCAAGAAAAAACACGATTTTTCGAAAAAAGTAAATCGGAGTGAAGCTCGGTTGTTCAGGTACTTTTTATTAAGCATCGAAAAACAAATATAAATGTTCATTTTTGTAAAGATTTATTATATACGAGGAACTCACCTACGCTTCGTTCGGGTTCTTCCCTAGTGAAAAACAAAAACAAATCTATTTAACGGAAACCGTATACTTTTCCGGGGATAAAAAGTAACCGATGTTCTATTCCAGACTATCTCTATGCCAAATTTCATTTAGATCTGTTCAACAGTACTGGCGTGATTGAATAACTAACATCCATCCAAACTTTCGTATTTATAATATTAATGGAATTTTTGTTCAATGAAGTACATTAATATACCATTCTTATTATAATTTTCCAGGCTTCAGACAATCAAAGCGTTAGCAGCGAGTGTGTCACACCATCAAAAAATACGGAAGATGAAAATGTCGAGGACAATGACGTCACGTCCGCTGTTGGTAAGTCATAATTAGCATATTATTAAAAACTAGAAGTTTTTTTAATTTATTTTTTCTTTTAAAAACTAGAATTATTATTAAAAACTAGAAGACCGTGGGAACTTTATATTGTATCGTGATTTTGCAAACGTTTTTGAATGAATTTTCTCATCTCATTTAATTCCATGCTTTTTAGGATACCTTGTAGCATTTCATTGCTTATTTTTCTAATACAAAAGTAGCCTAAGTTACTGTTACTCCCTATAATATCAGCTATCTGCCAGTGAAAGTCCAGTCAAAATCAGTCGAGGCGTTTCGGAGATTAGCCGGAACAAACTGACAGACAGACGAAAACTTTAAAAATTGTGTTTTTCTTATAAGTATCGTATATAATTTAATATGCATTTACTAAAAAGCTGTTATTTTGATCTTACTATCAGACACTCTTTATTTATCTGTATAGATGATTTCCCATTATGTTACTGAAAACAACGTAATAATATATTGTCGACTAGCACTTGATTTTAAATGTATCGTACAAAGTGATTGATTTTTTTGATAATAATTTTCAGCTTCAGCAACATGGCCGGATTTAAAGGACACTGCACAGTTTGAAAGAGCGGCTTCTGCTATAATGGGGGGCAGACCCCATACTATATCTGCAGGTATGTTAGGTAATATGTGTATATGTTATCTATATTATATCACAGAATTGTATATAATATAATAAATATTTTTTTGTTTTTTTTAAGGTTGGTTTTAAAGTGTAGTTAAAATTGGAATTTTAACATATAATTTAATTTTTCAAAAAAAAATTTATATTAATATGACAATATTTTTTTAAATTAAAATGAGAAACGAAAGACCAAAAAAAACTAGAAACTTTAGCAGGTGTTTTAATACTTTTCGACCAACTTCAGAAAACAATGATGTTCTTTTCTTTGGATCTATACAAGTTTTTTTGCATAATTTGGATTAACCGTTTTTATGATATCAGAACGTTGGAATAAAATTTACTCACAGACAAAAATTGAGGCATCAAATAAAAAAAAATAGCATTTGGAATATTTTTTGTACACCAATTCGTCTAAATTTAATATATTTGTTTTAAATAATCAAAAATTATTTTTTTTAGCATCCGAGCGTGGTCACCCTCGCCCTGCATTAAGCGTCAATACATTCACAGAACAAACCACAAGGGAGACTATATATGCTAGACCACCATTGCCGACGGTAAGTGTTGTGTTACCTGTGGAATGATAGAGGTTAGAAACGTGCTTAACATGTTTTAATAATTAATTGTAAGTGTCGCATGTAATATGAATGAATAAACGAACGAACGAACTAACAATATAAATAAAATAAAAAAAAATAAAAATAAAACAAGCGAACGGACGAACGAACGAACGCACGAACGAATCAATGAACGAATGAAAGAACGAACAAATGAATGAACGAACTTTAATTATTATACACTGCGTACAGTCATGTGCTACAATATATTAGTAACAAAAAAAAATGTCTAAAAATAAATAAATCAACAAAATAATGAATAAATAATATACCTCGATTTAAGTTTATTAAGGTGGAAATGTTAGATATGAAAGCCTTGCAGTGCTAAGAAATTATTTTTATGTCATGTCATTGCAATGTATGTAATCTAGTGAATGTATGATGAGACTGATATATACTTATGTAAAAAATATTCTAATCCGTACTAATATTATAAAGAGGAGAGATTTGTTTGTTTGTTTGTTTGTTTGTTTGTTTGTTTGTTTGTTTGTTTGCTGGTACCGAATGGGCTCCGGAACTACTGAATGATTTCTATCTGGTAAAGTTTTTCTATACAAGAAACGTTACTGGTTTGTGATTTACCGGAATTTAACTCTTACTAATAGTGTGAATTCATTCATTGTTTCTTGTATAATACTTTACCAGACCAATATCGGGACGAGACCGAACGAACCGTGATCGATTCTATAATGTGGGTTGGGCCTAAGTCGGGAGCGGCTCTCGCACCAATGCCCTGTCTAGACGTCTTCGTTAGACGACTGAATGTACTGGTAATTTTTCTTTTTTAATAATATTATTATCTAAAAAAGTTTACGAGTAAATGAATGGAAGTTTGTTATTGACGATGGGATTTTGTGAAATTTGGAATAAACATAGTTTATAATCTTTTTAGAGCTATTATTAATGTATTTATATAAATTGTTGTTTATTTTATTCAGAGATGTTCGTCGCTAGAAAGACCGTCTATTCCTGCGAAGACGAACGCTAATACAGCTAATATGGAGTTTAAGGCGAATAAACCATCGTCTCTTCCACCGCATCTTGCTAAAGGTATTGTTTTATTTTATTTTATGTAGTACAATTATCTGTATGCTAGAGATAGTGGGTTCGAGTCCCGCGTCGAACTAAAACTTATTTGGAAACATTTTCACGAATTTCTGACTTGAATAATACATATTAATTACACAAACACTTGTTTTAATTATACATATTAATGTACATGATATATTAATCTATCAAGAAGATGATTTTACTAATACGTAGTTATAATTTTTATTTTTGACCGAGTTCAAAAAAGGAGGAGATACTCAAACCAGTTATATATTTTACGAGTATGTATGTCGTTTAACTTACGGTAGTAGTAGCCCAGTGGTAACGCGCTTGCCGGGAAAACCGAGTGAAGCGGGCTCAAATCCCGAGTCTCGCACCTCTGATATTTTCATGTGCGAATTAATTCCAATATTATTACCGCTTGTCTTATGGTGAAGATAAACATAGTGAGAAAACCGGCATGTCTGAGAGAACCTAGCACTTTGTCGAAAGGCATGCTCAGTGCGCCCTCACTTGGTCAGTGTAGTGGAATGATCTACCTCGTATCGTGGGAAGGCCCACGCCCAACAGTGGGACATTAAGAAGAGTTGAATATATTGCATGCATAATTTGAATGATATATTCACTTAATAAATTATATCTCAAAGCACCAGGATAAAATTCTACATTAACGAGTAGTAAATAACTGTAAAATAGTCATTGAACACACAATTTTTTCTTACAGAAATGCCTCAAGCCCTATACGTGAATATGTCTGAGCTAGCAACATTAGCGGCGTCGCGCGCGCAGCAACACAACGCAGAGTTCCCACATCAGGAAAAGGTAAGTTATCTATATTATATCTATAATATATGCTATATTGAATACTAGCGACTCACCCTTGCTTCGCTCGGGTTCGTCCCTAGATTGCTGCCCCATACAAACTTTGTATGAGAGCTAAAGAAGATGAAAGTTCGTACGAGAACCTTTCTAGGGTCTCAAACTATCTTCTCACCCATCTAAACCTTATTCAGTACAAACAAACAAAAAAACTTTCTTCTTTATAATATTAGTATATTATGTAAATTATAAATGAGAAAGTAACTTTGTCTGTTTATCTGACTGTCTATTACGCTTTTACGCCTAAAGCGTTGAACGGATTTTGATGGAATGGGACCTTCGAGAAGGACATAGGGTAATTTTTGTCGCTAAAATTAAACTTCAAAGGGGTGAAATAGGGGTTGAAAGCTTATATTGGAACCGAATTATTTCTTGGTTTTGGGTTTGTAAAAATGTTTCTTCTAATACATGGGGTGAATATATTTTGTAAATAAATTCTAAATACAAAAATAAATAAAACGAATGATTGGTCAGTTAATTTACATATAATATACGATTTTATTCAGTGTAACATTATTTTATTAATCTATGTTTTTAATGTTTGATTAGTATTTCTTACCCCCCTTACATTTATATTTACTATAGCTACACCTCTAGACTTACAACTTAATCTATCTTAATTCAACTATCGATATCGTTTATAGAAAAGTAAAAAATATATATCTTTATTATGAAAATGACACGTCAACACTATGAAAGTGGTACGCTTTGTATATTTTCTTTGAAATTGAATGACGACATTTAACTTCCAAGAAAATAATACAACTCTCGTATGTATGTAAGAATTGCTCTTAAAATGATTTTAAAGTTAGTATAGGTTTTTGGCTAAGATATTATTATTATTATTTAGTTGTCTATTAACGATAGTGATTGTAGAAAGCAAAGTTGTCTAAGCCTTTTGTAGAAAAAAAATAAAGTTTTTCGCCATGGACAAAGTTGATGAGGTAGCAAAAGTACTTTGTAATACTTATAGTACATTTTTTTTCTATTGCATTTTCATAATGATATTGAAAAATACAAATGAAAAATGATATTGAATGAATTTATTACAAACCAAAACTAATCTTTTTGGACAGAAAATAATTATTTTTATGAAAATGGTCATTTGTATTAATCTCTTCTTCATAAGGAGATATAACTTTTGTTTATATTGAAGTGTTAATTTTATTCACAGAGATTTAACAATATTACCTTTGACTTGACCAATTTTTATGAAACTCGACTTATATTATCTAAAATTAATCTTATTTCTACATAAGCAAACATAACTACTCAAAAATCAATTAAGAAAGAAAGATTATAATAAAAATGCTTTTAGGGCATGGCGTTTGAAAATTACGATACAAAAAAAAGCTTAAATATATGTTAAGATCACAGACTGACAACTTATAAATACAGAATATACTTGCTTTAAGTTTATAGTGTGCGTTTACTTTTACGATTATTAATTGGCAATATTAAATACTCTCATGTTAGTGTTTGCGTCAAAATGGTATAATGGTTTTTCTCGCCTGTGTCGTTTCACAGTTCTGCAACAAAAGATAGTATATAGTTCTTGTATTTTTTTTATTGCTACATATTATAAAACAAAGTCTCCCGTGTGTGTTTGACTGTCTGAAAGCGACAAACTCCAAAACTACCGAACGGATTTTCCTACGGTTTTCACCAATAAATTTATGAGGAAGATTTAGGTATATAATTCATTAAGGTTTTGTAGGTTTTTTTTGTATTTATAATATTACAGAAGCTTTCAGAGGGTTTTTTTTCAGGCTTAATTTGCGAATATCATTATACCGGTTTTCGGTCTTGTTTTTTTGTTAATATTTTTTATTATTGGTCTTTTTCTTTCGGAAAATATTCATAAAATATAAATAGCCTTATAACCTTTCTAAATAATCCCTCTGTCTACTACAGAAAACTAGGTTTATTTCTACTTAGAAACTACAGTTCTAAGTAGTAATTATAAAGGTTATATTAATTTTGTAATTTGGCTACAGACTCTCTAAAATAACACAATATTAATTACTATATATTAATATCTACATATTAATATTCAAATCAGTAAAAAGTTACTTACATTTTATCCCAATGGAACTTAGAGGCTAAAGTCTCGGATATCTGGCCCTCTTTCAACTGCTTTTTCATAGCCCTTTCGACAAGACGTAAGGATGTGAATATGTTTTGTACCGACGCGGGTTGACGTGCTCTAGATGTCGTCTGTAATGAAGACAATGTATACTTTATTAACGAATACTTTGCTTCCCTATGTGGAATTTCTTATTTTTAATATTTTATACAGTTATTGCCATCTTTTAGTATTTTTTATTAACATTAGCCTATGTGGTACTCCAGATCTGTATTGTAAATACCGTAAAGTTGTCACGGCCGCTAATCTCACTGAGACTAGCTAACTCCAGGAGATATTATAGTGCAGCGCGTGTGTCGGTGTGCGCGCAGACATAAGTGCACTCTCTATTCCTGTCACCCTCAAAGTCCGATCGGACGATACTTCGATACGACCAGTGAGAGTTAAGGCGCAGGACCGACGGCTTCACATGCTCTCTTGAGGCAAGGGTGGTGAAACACCACTAACTTCCCAACTCAATGGTGTTACTGAGAGTGGATTAACAGAAAATCTCAGTAATTAAACTTGGACCGACCCTCGATTCAAACATAGGATCTGAAACCATATATAGTAGCCACTAGACCACTGAGGCAGTACTGTATATGTACTTAATTCCATCCAAATACGTCCAGCCGTTTGCTGTTTGTATGGCGCTTTTTTGTATTCTAAAAAATGGTACTTAGGTATGTACAAAAGTCGTTTTGCTATTTTTTATACATACGAGTAGATTATGTATATTCTACTTTATTTATATTTACCATAATTTCGACAGCATCAAATAATTTGGTCAACTCTTTTCTCTCGCGGTCGTTCAAAGTCGGATCTTGCCAGTCGAATACGCCGCTCTCTTTCAATTTCCTTTTAATATTGTCGATGGTTATCGGCATACCTTGATCCAGAATTTCGCCAGATTTGTATACAGCCTTTGCATTTTCTGATTCGTGTGGACTGTAAGTTCATTGTTTTTCTAATTATTTTCTTGTTAGACTAATTTCTAAATAGGGAGGTGCTCGATTTAGATAGCTTGTTTTGGTAATCGATACCTTCTCTGATTTTGAAGTGATTTTTTGGGGGTCTTTTAAGGAATAGTTCAAAGGTTTTTTCTATATAATGTCAAGAAAACTATTCACGCCTACGTGGAATAGTTACATTTAAAATGAGTCAGTAAATGATTCAGACAATATTCTGACCTATGAAAATACATTTCCCCATTCTCGAATGTTATACGAATAAACAAACATAATTGCTAAAAACAGTTGATTTCAGAAAAAAAAACTGTAAAATTCCAAACATCCTTTAAAAATAGTTGTATCAAAAAATGTTGCATATACGCCGTAAACCGGATGGCATTACTTATCTGCAATGTAATAAGAAACATAAGTTTTAACATCAATGTCCAATGTTTGCTTTTTCGAATTTTTTTAAATAATGATAGCCAATATCTTAAAAAGACATGCCTACTTTATGCAGATAGATAAAATGAAGCTATTATCATGATCTTTAAATATATATCACTATTCATACACTCTGGGGACGGAACCACCCATTGTCTTTTCATACAAATCCGTCCATTCATTTCAGCGTTAAACATAAACAAACATACACACATGACGTCAAACAATTGGTTTTCATTTATCATAATCTAATAACTTTAACTAACAAGTGAACTCACCATCCCGAACTAATGTGTAGCAAGCTTGCCAATCTGAAAATAATACATAAATCAATTTTACGCTTGAATGTTTTGGAAAAAATACGTCATTATGACTAAAAAATTGTTCGAGTAATTTACGTATGGACTATATAGTAGGTTTTGCGCGCGGTACTGTGTGGTAATACACGAAGTTTTCTCACCCTTTGATTATTATGAAATAAGTTAACTATCGCTTGGGAAACCGAGAAAAGCAGGTTTAAATCCCGGGTCTCGCACCTCTAATATTTTCATGTGCGAATAATGTCCAACATGATTACCACTTGTCTTACGGTAAAGGTAAACATCGTGTGGAAACCTGCATGTCTGAGAGAACCTAGCAAGTTTTCAAAAGACATGTGACGTCCGCCAACCCGCACTTGGCCAACGTGGTGGACTGTGGCCTGATCCCCTGATATTGAAGGAAGGCCCCTAGCAGTGGGACGTTAATAAGGGCTGCATACGTACAACTTACATAGTTAGTTATAAAATTTTATTACGCGAAGCTAATTTAAAGTGGAGCGTAATAAAGTAGGTAGATATGTATACGTGAAATATTCAGATATTGTTTATTGGATAAGCCTAGAAATATCGTACTTTTAATGGTTTCCAATTTAATTGATTAAATTTTTTTATGAGACTGAATCATATACTACACACAGCGATAACATATCTCAGTAGTAATTATTTACACTAGTGTTCGCCCACTGGTCGAAAATCCACCATAATCAATTATTATCAATTTGAGAACACATATGCTTATATAAATAGAATTTATATATCTGTATAAAAAAGTATTTTTTTTTATTGTTAAAAATTAATTTTATTTTATTATATGACTAAAAAGAGATATAAATAATAAATGTATAAATCGATTTTAAATAATCTTTAAAATATATTGATACAAATTACTTACAAAATATTTAATATTCTAACTCTCGCACTGTTCATATTCTTGCATTTGCAATGGTAGCGACTCGGACGACTGAGAGAAATTAGTCGCGCGTTGTAAACTCCACGGTTATATTGCGTACCATTCAGTCATAGTTGTACCGCGATCGAATATCTTGATACTTGATGAATTATTATTATAGGTTTAGTAATAGATAAAATACTTTTCCGACTAAATTCTCAGATATCGTCATACTGATAGATTATTTTTGCAAATTGTTTATAAATTATCTGTTTGTTGAAATGGTCTCTATTTGTGAAGTATGTATAAAAATTCGAGCGGTAATTGCTGAGATTAGCTCGACTAAACTAACTCAACCTTAATTTATAATATGTAATAATACGTTGTGACCTTTTTCTTCAGAATAGTAAATTTTAATTGTCGTTTATCTATGTTATGTTTTTTTTCTCTAATATTATTCAAACGCAAAAAGACACAATGCTGGTCAAAAGTAATGTCATATTTCAAAAAATCGTAGGCTTTTTTGTTAGCATTGCAAAAATATTAAGTTGCTCTTTTATAATTTACCAACGATTTCCAGCATGTATATAAATTTTCAAAAAATATTTTGTAGAGAATAAGTTTTTTTTAGTATTTATTTTTCTCACATATATTCATTGACTATCAAGAGCAGCAATCCACACTATACACATCCAACGTAGAGAGAACCCATTGTTTCGAGCCTCAAAGAAAACTAAAACATAAACATTTATAACGCATACGCAAATTATATTTGTGCCTCCGAGTTATGCCATTGGTTCACATAACAAGTGTCCATAGAATTATGCTGTTTTAATTGAATAATAATCTTTATGAAAATAAGTATCTAGGTAAATAAGGGTTTCGGACCAAGTGTATTCTAAATACCATCGAGTTATACTATAGGTATTTGAACAGGTTTTTCGTAGATTGTTATTGTTAACGCCTTCGCTTGGAAAGCCAAGTGAAGCGGGTTCAAAATCGAATCTCGTACCTCCAAGAGACGCGATATAAATGTTACGAGTATGTGTAATTTAGTCCAATGTGATTACCTACCACTTTTTAATTTTTCTATGAACTCGCAAAAGGCATCTAGAGAACCGAGGTTAAGACGTCACTAGTACTTATATATTCTTTTATTTCTCAGAGATGAGATATTTTACCACAGTAAAAAGTATCCTATATGTTGACCCGAATAACCAGCTATCATCATACCAAATTTCATCAAAATCCGCACAGTGGTTTTCTCGTGATCCGTTCCCAGACAGACAGATAGAAATTCTAAAAACTATAGATTAGGCTTCTTTATCGATAATAATGACTATTTCAATAAGATTTTCCAAAAAATATTTAATGTACAGATTCGACTCAATTGGAATTTTATTATATGTATAGACTAGTATACGCATATTTATACGTACGTTAACATATATATTTTCAGTATTATGTTACATTTCACTTATTAGCAATAAATAAATTATAAATAAATTGTGTAATAGGAAGAGGCTAGCGTCTGAGATACAGGTTCGGCTTAATTCAGACGATAGTGTACTTAAACAAAGATTGTACTAATTATACAGTTTTTAAAAAAATGTCTTGCAACCCTTTTGTATTTAAGTCAATAAAGATATTTTTATTTATATATTTGCAGGTTTGCTCCGAAAGCAGTGCAAGTGAATCCTCCCTAGAGTCATCTAGCGGTTATGGAAGTCAAGGAGCGTTTGCGGCAGAAGACCACGCTCATCAACATAATATGATACAACATGCTGACGGTGAGATAGCTAGTGTATATATATATGTACATATATAAATGTGTTCTAGTGTTTGTTTGTTAATTTTGTTTGGATATGCTATAGTATAGTTAATTTTTTAAGGTTTTTTTATTGTTTTTTTTATTACTGCTTGTCATAGAGTCAGTGTTGGTGAATTTCTTGATAGTTGTTTTGAGATTCGTTTTTATATACGAGTACAATGTACAACTATCATAGCAGTACTAAAATATCGTATTTCATACGGGAATCGAATCTGCTAATTTCAGCTTAGTCTTATAGAAGAAGCTTCAAGAATATAGTTCAAAAATCGACATTGGCTCTATCAACACTTTTTTAATTTTATTAATTTGTTTTTCTTTTGAACGAATGAGAAAGTTCTCAATTTGGCTCGTTTTTTTTTTGTTGTGAGTGAACTGATTTAAATGAAAATTATGAAAATTGTTTTTTTTTATAATTTCAAGAAAAAATTAACTTTTTTGAGGTTATCTTGAAGTTGGCTTAACTTTTGTGTTTTTATTATAATTTGTTTTTTTTTTGCTAAGTTTTGTTTGCCTTGCATGCTATTGTTTTGCACCAGTTGAGTCAGAAATCGTCACGTTAAGGAGGGATGATTCGATCGCGACGGCTAGAGAGAACTTTTCGATATCGCTCGGGAGTTTGGAAGAGGCGGTCAGGTCTTTAGACGAGGCGGTGGAATCACCCACGTTTGCGACTATCGGGAAAAAACCCGCTGTGCCCAAAAGACGACCGGTTTCCATGTCAGGTAGGTCAAATATAGATTTTTGTAGTAGTAAGTCTCAGACTAAAGAATTATGTAAACGGAGTCCGCCAAACTAAATGTCAAAATCAAAAATAGTAGCGTGATTTGTCGCTTATGCTCTTTGTATTTATTGTTGATTTCTTCAAAGAATATTTTATATCTTTTTTTTCTTTATTATAATAAAATCTGTTAGTTCTTTTTAATAAATAACATTTTTATATTTATTACTCAGTATGCAAATTGTGCTTCAGAGTTATCAATGAAAAAAAAATTGGAAATAGTTTTTTTAAATTTATTCAATTCATCTATGTTTTCCTCAAATAGGGAATATGCAAGATTATTTTTAAATTTTTTAAACAATAGCTTACATCGTTTAAACGCCATCCATTTCGCGCGTTTGGCGTGACGTCACAGTATGAACTTTACAACTACACATAAAAATGATGACTCAATTTGTAGCGACAAAACCGCTAATCGCTCTGTTATGCTTTGACATCATATTCGGTCTGACCAATGGCGTGCGTTTCAACTACTTTGAATTTCCTACCTGTTTTTGCAATTTTTAATAAATATTTTCTTAATCAAAAATAAATTACATTAAAAAGATATTATAATAGGCTTAATTCAAAAGCAATAAAATATATTTCACCTTTATTTAAATCTCACGCATATTCCCTATTGTGAATAACGATTATGGTCGAATTTCAACCACTAGGCGAACATTAGTATGAAAAAAATGTCATAGTTTTAAATCTAACGCTTAATTTCCGCGTTGTCTGTTAGTATAAAAGTGACTGGATTTTAGTTCTTCTTCTTTTTTTGGTGAATAGTAAGATAAATTTAAATTTACAGCATCAGTTTGGTCCAGACGTGGCTCGTCGAGCTCAGTGGGCAAACCGCCCCCACCTGTTAGAAGATCTTCCTCTATTTCTAGGCCGCAGAGACCACCTTACCATCAGGTATGATGTACGAATTGTATACTCTTTATTGCACCAACAGTAATATAATAAAAAAAATGGACAAGTGCGAGTCCGACTCGCACACCTAGGATTCCATAGCATAAAACATAAGAATAGCTTATTAATAGCATTTTTTTGTAATGTAACTACAAAATGTTTTTCGGATTTTTTGGTATACTGTCTTCTATATTCTACATGACAATTTTATTATAAATTAATTAAATTGAACTGATTTCAATTAAACGGTTAGTATGAAAAGTGTCTAAAAGGTAAATATAATGTAAAATGTAGTGTAATGTAAAAAATGTAATAATTATACTAAAAATCTTTTCCAGAACGTACAAAATCCAGTAACATCGGATGCCGACAACTTGCCTCCGCCCCCGGCTTTTCTTTTGCAACCAGAGAGTGACAATAATGCAGGTATTTATATTAGAATATTTGACAGTGTGGAAAATATTTTCTTAGTAACGACTTGCTCTCGTTTTGTATGTAGGTACGAATAATTTTGTAATACATTGTTTTCACATAACTTTATTGGTGTACGCGGCGCAGGTCAGTAAAGTTCCCAGTTGGCGTGATTTTTTCCTACAATTTCCAAATCTTGAACACTCATCGTCATATTTCAGCTAAGTCGAGTAGCCAATTCTGTATACTAAATTTCATTCAAATACGTCCAGCCGTTTTAGCTTGAAGAAGTTACAGACATAATTCGTTGGCTCACAATTACAAGGTTCTATGTTACAATTTTAGTACCTATTTAATTATTAATGCTACAAGGTTCTATGTGCCATTAGCTACAGTTTTGCAAAAACAAACCACTAGATAGCGGCACTATAACTACAAAATATTCAATTTTACATAGTTCTATGTTGTTTTATTTACGAAAACAAAATAACGAAGTTCTATGTAAAAAATACTAAACTTTATTATAATTAACATAGAACCTTGTAATAGTAAGCCCACGATTATTATGTACATACAAACATACATACACATTTCATATTTTACGTTTGTTCATAGTACGATTTTTTTCAGTGCAGGGAATAAACGTAGCGGAAACAGTGAAACAGTTGACCGAACTAAAGCACATGCCGGCTTCGCCGGGTCTAGTGCGTCGGATGCAAAACCAAAACCAAATTCAGAACTTAAACCAAAATGAGAACCAAAACCAAATTCAAAACCAGAAGCAGAACATTAACCAAACTTCAAACCACCAACTGAGTACATTTCAACAGGCTAAAAGTAATTTCTCGTCGACAACAAGCCTCAACAATTCGGGCAGTCTCAATCCGATATACGGACAAACGAAATATATGTATGTAGAGAATTCGATGTTCGCAAGGAAAAATAGTTTGAACAGCTCCAATACTGATTTGTATGGAAGTAATACAGGTGAGGGTTTCTTTTTCTATTTATATTTTTCTAGTATTTTCTCACGGTTTCGCGTGTCTTCATTATTTACTAGCATTTCCCGCGGCTTCGCCCGCGTTCAGATGACCAAAACCCACATTCTTAGGTTTTACATATTAGGTACTATACACTTACAATGCAGTTTTTGTATTTTTTCTCAGAAATAAGTTATTTTCTCGCGGTAAAAAGTATCCTATATGTTGACCCGGATAGCCAGCTATCATCATACCAAATTTTATCAAAATCTGTCCAGTGGTTTTCTCGTGATGCGGTAACAGACAGACAGACAGACACAGACAGACAGACAAAAATTCTAAAAACTATAAATTTGGACTCAGTATCGATAATAATGTCTATTTCAATTAGATTTTCCAAAAAAATATTTAATGTACTGATTCGACTTAGTTACAATTTTATTATATGTATAGATATGTTATCGCTCGGATCTTCGAAGGGTCGTAGCTTTATGTAAATCTTTCGTTTCTCTTCGTACCTCTGATCTTCGTTTATTTATGAAGGAAGGACTAAAATATATAGAAATACTAGTGGCTTACCCTTACTTCGCTCAGGTGACACCTAAGGTGTTTTTTGTATTTATAATATTTCCACACTCGCTTCCCTCGTTATTTTTCACCCGTTATTTTCTATAAATATAATATATCAGAATATAAATTTAATTTTTATGTATCTAGCAGCAAAAATATCAGACTTTCATACTATCATTTCACCCCCTACAAGTTTTGTTTTCGCGACAAAAAAATCTAATCCTTCTCTAAGGTCCCATCTACGTATATTATGTGTAACATTTTTTTTAATTGTATCACTCTGTAAAAAGAATGAATAAAAATATTGTATTTAAAGGAACGAAGTTTATCTTAATCTCTAAAATGGACAAGGTTTTGAATGAGAAAAGTATTAAAAAAATGCATTTTTTTAAATGATTTTTATCTACATTGCGGTAAATACAAACAAAATACTATAATTAATTAACTTTTAATACATAGTCGCTTAAGTTCTTATTTATTCAAACGACCATTACATATTATTCTACGAGTACTTTGTATATAGTAGATAGTTTTGTCCTTCTTTTTTTTAAATGTTTAAGATCTATATATGTATAGATAAAATAGAATATCTTCTCGACATTATTAAAGAAAAATGTGTATTTAATACCAACAGAATTGACATTTAAAAGTCAATAATTCTGTATTAACTAACTCTTTTGGTAAATTGGTCGTTTGGACAAATAAGCACTGAGACTACGAAATGTTTATATATCGTATATGTATATAAATTGTTTCAGCCAAAATTAACACAATAATTTTACAAATTCCAGCGAATATCTATGGAGAAAGTAAGGGATCGCCTCACGGCTCGACCCCCTCGACCCCTAGTTACGGTGAAACTACGACGTTCTCCAGCTTCGGACCGAGGGTCAATAGTGACTCGCATTACGGACAGACGGGTGAGTTTTTATATGCATATGTTATATATATATATATATATATATATATATATATATATATATATATGTTTTTCCCTTTAAGTGATGATTTCCTGGATAAAAGTATCATATGTCCTTTCCAGGGTCTCAAACTATCTTCTTACCAAATATCATCTAAATCGGTTCAGTAGACCCAGAGATTGGCCCCTACAACGTCACAAACTCACAATCTCACAAACTTTACCTCTTTATAATATTAGTGTAGATGTTAAATATTCGCGTAAATCTAATAAAGTGTTATTCTGTATAAAGATTTTATATTGCTAAATGAAATAAACTGACCATCCAGGTTTCAAGTTGCAACAAGACAAGTACACGAACAAGGGTGGTATATACGCGCAGCCCGCGCTGTCGGCCGCGCCGCTCGCGCGCCGCCTCTCCGCGCGCTCGCACTCCGCTGAGCGGCACCATGTTGAACGTGAGTGGCTTTGTGCATATCCAAAAAAATTTTTTTTTTTAATATCCAAAAATAACAAGTGTTTGTTTTGTAGTTTAAAATTTTCACTTCTGTCGGCAATCCCCATGACTGGTTTTTTATATACTCTTTACAAATATATATAAAATACGTAATCGATACTAATTCGTTATAAAATATTAATATATACATACTTTCGCATGTATAATATTATTATTGTCTTTATGTATCGTCTGTCTGTCTTTCACTCACTCTGCAAAAATGACCACCACCGACGAAGACTAAATTTTTACTTTATAAAAATGGAAAATATTTATGGGCCATTTCAAAACTCCACAGTTTATCCCTTAAAGATTACGTACTGATAGTTTGAATGAAACCAGTTTTAGAAATATTACTAAAACTTTCAGAACACGCCTAGCGTGTTCGCGGCATAGTGATAGAGATCTGCACAAACACGCCAGGTGTGTCGTTGGCATACATTTTTTACTAATTTATTTCTACAGATGGCGGTCTAATAGCAAGTTTGAGCGCTAAGCTCGCGCCGCAACTCTCACCACGGACCACTCGCCGGACTATATCTAGTATAACGTGTTCCGATTCACCGCCCAAAGGCAAAGGTATGTGGTATTTGTAAATAATATATATTTTAAACATTGTTATAGTTTTAAATAAAACTATCTTTTTGGATTTTGTCACGGTTTTATTTTGGTTTTTGCTTCCCGGCGTTTCGAATGCTTTACAGCAATCATTGTCACGGGAGAGACTAAGGTTTTAGAACTTTTTGATAAAAAAATGTGTGTGTGAGAGGATCCCTGGTTGGTTCAGTTCAACAACTGGAAAGCTTTGCAGTCGTGTTCTAGAATTTTATAGTTTTATTATTAGCGGACCCAAGATAACGTCTATCAGGCATGCTAGTTCTATATTAAATCTATTTGATTTAACATCTCCAGGTTATGGTATATATAGTCATATGCTGTACTGTACCTACACCGCACTATATTAACTTATTTTCCCACTTCTGAAGGGTTTCTGGAAGAAATCTCTTAAAGAGATAAGTTATCCTTTGTCAACATTTTGTTATTTTATTTTGTATAACGTATATTTTATGGTACATAAATAAATAAAAAAATAAATAAAAATAAATTTCTAAGAAATTAATTAAAATTCTAAGACGTCTATTGTTAACTATAATCTGTCAAAAACGTTATTAATATTAAAGGGCTATTAAAGTGTTCATACAGTCGGTATAAATATGCGTTTAAGTATGTTTATATCTGTATGTATGTGTGTCCATCGGTCACAGGCGCGCCGGCGGCCGCGCAGCCCGCGTTCCTGGACAAGCTGTCGGCCACGCTGCAGCAGCGCCTGGCGGGCGCGCGCGCCGCCGCCGTGCGCGACCGCATCAACGCGCATGCGCAGGTACACACACTCTTGTGATGTCTACCATCTATATTTATATTAAAAATTAGCGACTAATCCTCGCTTTGCTCGGGTTCGTCTCTAGCTTGCTTCCCAATACAAACTTCTACTATCCTATGTCCTTCCCAGGGTGTCAAACTATCTTGTAACCGAATTTTATCTAAATCGGTTTAGTAGATCCAGCGATTACCCCCTTCAACGTCACAAACTCACAAACTTAACCTCCTTATAATATATTTGTATAGATGTAAATTACATTTATGACAGTCGGACTCAAAAAACCAAAGTCTTTACTTAATATTTTAAAAATAGAAACATTACATCTAAACTTAATTCTATGAAACAATAGTAATCGATGTCACATATTGAATTCAAATTATTTATTACAATTGAAGTTTATAAGATACTGATACAGAGTCTTAATTTGGAGGCACACGCGTAGCGGTTCTCTAGACATCGCATATGACATGTGAAAGTGTGTTTCTTTGTTTATTTGTTTGTTGTGTGTTGTGTATCTTGAAAACAGCTGTAACGATTTAGATCAAATTTTAGATAAGGTTTAGCTTTTTAAGTTTATTTAGACAAATAGGTGTCTTTTCTACAAACACGTAATTTTTATATCTTTCCTGTGAAAACACCGAGCGAGACTCAGTCGCCCAGATATTTTTGTATAAATATAATCTATTTTTGTATTTCCAGCCGGACCCCCGCGTATGTCACACTTCTCTCATGGAGCAAATAAAACGAGGTGCAACGTTACGTAGAAATAAATATTGTAACGATCGTTCCGCACCAAAAATACGTTAATCTAACATGGAATTAATTAATTATACTCGAATATAGAACTTAAGTCCGTTAAATGTCCATTTTTATGATGTTTGTTCCAAAGTAAACAGGCGTATCTGCCAGTTGACGTGTTTTACCGTGTTTTTTTGTTGGAAGTGGCCTAATTAAAACGTTTTAAGTAAATCCAAATCGTTTTCAGTTTTTAATTTAATGAGTGTTGTAAATGTTATCTTACATGTTGTATTTTATGATATAATACATGTGTCAAATAAATATAAGCAAATACCAAAAATTATGGTTCCGTAAAAATATTTTTTTTAATTAGGCCACTTTTGGCTCATAACATCAATGATACTTACGTTGCTTAATTTCAAACGAAGATAAATCCTATTTTCATATTTCCGAGCTAATAACAAAAATGATCGAAGAAGATATTGTATGGTTTGATATATAACCTTGTTTTGTTATAAAAAGATTAGCCTAAAATTGAGGTTTCGAGTTTATGATTAAATCATTTTTCCTAAAAATAGAATATCTTTTTTAAGTAAAAAAAAATAACATAAAAATACCGATCATTTATTAATATGAATTTATCTTCGTTTGAAGTTATGCAACAGACATATTGAGTAACAAAAAAAAATATTAAAAAAAAATATTTTACGTATTTATGGTATATGCACGTTTACTTTGGGACCGTCAATATATTTAAATCGCCTTTCCTCTAAACTAACGTCCACCTGCGATTTTGATCGTAGTGCCTGATCGTTTTTATATAAATTAAAAACACAGACATGTAATAAAATTTACTAATTAAAAAAAATAACAATAATAACTATGACAATATGAGTAGCATTGGATGTGACATTTTTAGCTTCTGATTTTACTGAAAAACAGGTTTTAATCTATTTTTTTTTTATATTTTCATTTTGTATAAATTTCAAATAGGCACAGATTAAAATTTATTATACTGTTTTGGTACATATTAAAAAATTTAGCCTGGTGCTCTTTTTAATACATATATGAAGAAAAACAATGTCGCCAACCGTCGTACTGCTTAAAATATATTTTTATGTGCAAAAAGAATGAAAATTATGCCAAGCCACGAGAAAAAATAACTCGATAAAAAATCAACACTTTGCAAAGAAAAATCAAATTAACGAGTAAAACACATATATTAATTTCGATGGTATTTAGAAATATTTTCTTATCTGTTTTTTTTAATAACTATATAATCGATATTTCGAAACGATTTTGATAAATTTGTCTTGAATGTGAAAATTTAACGATTTTCCTTAACTAAGACACTAACGACTGCTTTTAGATGGTTCTGACAATATTTAGGATCCCGACATATGTATGTTTATCAAGTAAAATTCTAATGTCGAAACGATTCGAATGTTTTGTATGAAATTTACTTCATAACGTAACTTTAAACTTATATAATAAGACTAACATTTGAATGCATATCGATAGGTAACAAAATTTTAATGAATGTTTTTTCTAACGATTTTTAACGTCCTTCTCAGGGCCGAGCTGTTCTTTATATTCAATGCACAATTTTCAAATAACTTGCCATTTTTTTTCAAGCCACTATAAATAGCTCGAAAATATTTTTATTTTCAGAAATTTTCTCTTTAAAATCGACTGAAATACCTGTAACTATTCTATCCACTGTGTTCTTTCAGCCTCTTTTATAACTAAGGCTTTTTCCAAGCGATCTAAGTAAGTAATGAAAGTTATAAAATCCAATTGAATGTATTTCGTTTAAAAAGCTTAGGTGTATTATATTATAAGTGGTAAAGATAACGTGTAAAATTTTTAATCTCCTTTTAAATGTTATTTCTTAATTTATAACTTTATTTTTAATTTTTTTCTACTTTCCTTTTTTTCTATGTTTATATTATCTATTGCAAACTGTCGCCATTTTGAAATATTAGTTTTTTTTTAAAATTCTATTTATAAGATAAAGCCAGAATATACATACATAATATTAAACAGATCGCCCATTTTAAGGTAGTTAGGTAAATGTGAAGGGAGGCTAATTTATTATTTTTTTACGCGAATAGATCACAATATAAAGTATATATGTATGTAATTTTGTAGACGTTCCTCGTATTTTCAAATATTAATTTTTTTTAAATATTTTTTTAATTTAAGGGTGAAAGTTTGGTGTCTCTTTTTATTTAATTTTTTTTGCCATTTTATTTCTATGATGTGAATTTGATGGCGCTCAAAAAAGATACGCATTTTTTGTTACTTTTTGATATATTTAAACGATGTCCAAACAGTTCACCCTCGTATAGATTAGTGTATATTATAGATATCGTATATATTATAGATTTTTAATTTATTACAATATTATTTTATTTATTGGTTTAAATTTCGTACATTCTATATCAAAAATAAAACTAAATAAACATGTAAATGTTAACAAAAAACTAAGGCCAATTTTTTTGTTACATTTTTTGGATAACTTTGAATTTATTCCAATAAATTTATAATTTTAAACTATTGAAGAAACATTATTATTAAATATTTGATTTAATTTACTAATTTAAATTTATTATTAATCTATAATATGGGGGGTTTATATGCACAGATAATAAATGTTAGTTTTAAGCGTGGTCATATAAAATAGTAGTCTTGACATATCTAATATACAATATATTTCTTCGCTTTCGAAGTCTAATAGATTCTGTATATCGATGTATTATCAAATATATAGTCCAGTTGCAAATAACGGGATTGGAGGTTTTTTGGGGGTGTTTTGGACCCCTCGAAACATTTTGAGGGGTTTTAAGGGGTTCAGAGGCGCCCAAGTGACCCCCAAACCCGTGTGATGGTAGAATTTTCGAGAAATGTTATTATAATGTGTTTAGATAAAGTTTGCGTATGTAATTGATCAATTGGTGAAAATAAATGATTATTGTCCCATTTTTCTTGTTTTTTTTTCTTACCATTTTTTTTCTGAAGTATAATTATAAGATTTTTGCGGGAGACTTAGAATTGTGTGTTTTGTGAGTGTTTTGACATAACTTTATAGTTTTTCGTTCAAGACTAAATATTTATACAATAATATGCATATAAAATATGTTTACATAATTATAAATATAGTAGGTAATTATTTTTAATGCGGAGTTTAATCTTTATTTACTTTTATAAAAAAAATCATGAGACTTTTTATTGCGGGAGTTTTAGCTTTCAACACATATAATATAAATATTTAAATAGTAATAAAAAATATAAATAAAACACGAAATATTTATCTAACATTTATTTATTATCACTAATCAAAATCGTAGAAACAAAACACTCATGATGAATTATCAGTCTTCTCGCGAATGTAGATCCGCCTTATTATAAAACTGACTTATAATAAATTATGTATATAATACAATAATGGTATTTTTAAACTTTCGCTCACTAAATTTGTAGCATTTAATTATAAATTAAAAAAAAAACGTGTGTGTGTATTTATTATGTACGCACGAAAGAAGTTATACTTCTTTGGCGTAACAGAACAAAAATAGCTAAAGATTTCATTCATCCCGTTTGTCACAACTCTCTGTTTGTAAAAGGAATGCAGCTAACTTCATCGTGTCGCTTTTTGGCTGTCGGTGTGCGTGCGCATCGTAAAAATTTAACTTTCATGTTTTTTCCAAACGTGCCAAACGAAGTATAACTTCAAATATATATTAAAAAAAGATACATCGTGAATAGTAAAATTGTGCTAATCTTGTCTTTACTTAGCTGTAACTCCCTAAAATATCTGATCAAAAAATATTTCGTACAAAAGGTAAAATATTTTGCTCTATTATTTTTGTAATGACTATAATTATAACCTAAATAACACTGGAGAGAAGATATTCTTGACAAACTGTTTTTTGGTACCATTTTTCCAATATGGCGGCACGAGCGGCAGTCGCTTAAAGAATATTAAAAAAAAAGATAATTTGGTGTCCTAATTAATATTAAGGTCGCTTTAATTAGGACACCAAACTAACATTCTGCAAATTTAGAACTCTCCTTGACCTTTTGTAGCGAACGCCTCGTTTTATATCGTCTCCGACTTGACTAATGATCTACATAGATTACATAAATAAATTGTCAAATCGATATGAAAGTATTCTAAGTTAAAATCGACATACAAAATTTTTATAGTTAGTTAAATAGAAGCTATAGATACTATTTTAATTGAAAGGAAAGAGAACGGAGAGAGAAAAATATAAATTATAAAGTGAATACTTTTTTCTATCAATATATTGCCTTACTTGACTTATCGTCGCAGGAATTGAACCCATAATATCGTACGCATTTAGCAGTTCCCTTCGTTGCTATATGAAAGAGAAATGGACAATCCCACATACATAATATATATATATTTAAAACATTAATAAGAAATTACAATAAACTATATTTATTTAGAGAGCGAAAGTCTAACAATAAACTGACTAGATAAATCCATTACTTGTAGTAAAATTGTATGTAGTTCGTGTATTAAAAACATATCAATTGAATGCCGTGGTGGGTGAAGCTGAATATTAAAAGTGAAAAGGGAAGGTTTTTAGGCAGTCTACGTCGACTATTTTATACGTGAACGGACAGACGTACGTAAAAATTGAATATATACACATAAATATTTACATTTAATTATGATGCCATTTGTAAGTATTATAATTATTATTAAATTAAAAATAATATAACAGGGATAAAGTTTCCAAAAATCAACAATTTATTTTCATATAACAATAAAAATTTCCATTTTTGTTTAAAGGGATTCAAAAATAGGGTCCTACTTAGAAATAATTTGGTAAACAAGTAAAACTACAACAGAAGAAAATTATTTGGAAATCTTAGTAGTATAGGTTTAGAATATTCATACAATAATTGGGAAATATCGTTAAATTCACAAATTATTATGTAATTTGTGAATTTAACGATTTTTTCGACGATCTGGTCATGTGACCAGATATCATATTTTCATACTTTTTTTAATTTTATATGTGTTTTTTATTGCAGTTATGGAAAATAATACAGACATTGCATGTTAAATGACAAAGGCTATTTTATGTGAATATTTAATTCATATATAAAAACAAATATACACATTTTCTAACAAGTACCTCTTCAAAAAGCAGGGCTCAGAAACCCATTCGCTTTTTAAACCGGTTTTGGTCATTGACTCCAAAGGTTAAGGTTTCGTTTACGTTCTTTAACCGGTAAAATCCGGGTTTTTGACGAATTCAGATTCCATGACCAAAACTAACCGGTTAACATGAGTTTTTATGCGTTTACATTTGGCGCGTCTTTGCTAATGATGAATGGCTAGTAGAAGGAAACATGTACGTTTCTGCCTTATGAATGAATTAACCGGTTTATTTCAATATCAAAACCGAAATCCAACCTTTCTCTAAGAATAACCGTTAACCATTATTATTTCAATCTACTAAACCGTTCGTTTTCATGAACCAGTTAAAAATGAGCTATGTATTAACCATTACATTACCGAAATAAACATTTTTTTTAACCGGTTCCGAGCTCTGTCAAAAAGTGGTGTCGACGGGTCACGTAAGTCAAACAATATGAATAATAAATAAATAATATTCAAAAATCGAGACGAGAGAAAATGTCTAAACATAAATTCGAACTTACGCACACCACATAAAGCACATTTTTTTTATCATGTTGATGCTATGTTTTTAAAGCATTTAAAAATTATATTACAATAAAATTTTGATTTTTGGTTAGGCCACTTTAGTACCGAAACTTTAAAAATATTTCAAAACAAAATGAAACCAAAATTCTTACGCGAAACTTACTAATAGGTACAATGTATGTATGTGATATATAACAATATAGAATTACAATGCAATAATGAAGCATGAATTTTTACATAGCAAATTTACAGTATGGTCTTTGGAATTTGATTCCTAGCTGTATTCTATACCTAGTTACCTGTGGTGCGGCGTCCTACACGCTTCTGGAAAAGAGGAAAACATAATATATTAAAAAAACATGTGTGTACTTATGTACGCACGTAAGCAGTTATACTTCTTTGGCGTAACAGAACAAAAATAGCTAAAGATTTCATCCTGTATGTCTCAACTCTCTATTTGTAAAAGGAATGCAGCTTCATCATGTCACTTTTTGGCTGTCGGTGTGCGCGCACATCGTAAAAATTTTACTCTTATAAACTTTTCCAAACGTGCCAAAAGAAGTATAACTTGAAAAATTGCTACACAATAAAGAAAATCTACATATTTTTATTTATTTATATGAGACCGCCTTCGAGGTATATACCTATAACATATGTATTTATAAATTGAAAATATCACATCGATGTATGTAGTATCTCCTTTTATTTAAAGTCGGTTAAAAACGAATTCCTTACTGTTTGAATTTGTGAAATAATACTTACTGGCTGTGCTTATTTTCAATAAAAACCCAAAAAAATATTTTTTTAGGTTTGGGTAAGGGTAAGGGTCCCCCCCAACGTGCGTTCACCTTGTCGTGGTGGGGGGGCTCAGTAATGCCCGGCAACCCAACCGGGCGCGAAGCCAAGAAACGCACAGGGAGGTGGCCCACTTCGGTGGGCGGTGGGAGGTGGCCCTCTTCGGAGGGCGGTGTACCATGCGGGTTGCTCCTGGTACTTCTCTGATAGCAGAGTGGACCTTGGAGCAACCCCGTGGTTGTTGTGGTCTGCTTTGGCAGACCTGCCGTCGGGGCGTCGTAGTTGAATGCGTAAGCGATCCTGCGACGCCCCATTAAGACGGGGGAAGGCTTTGTTGGGTTTTAGTGGGTAGTACTGGCTTTGCCGGTGAGTCCCACACCTCGTGCGTAAATGCATTTCCCAACGTTAAAAAAAAAAAGGGTAAGGTTAAGGGTTTGAAACACTTTGAAATTTCTTGAAATGTAATTAATTTTATTTTATGAGAGGAATTTTCCTTCAAAACTTATTGGATCTTATGCATATATCCTTTGAGGGCTAATCTATTTATAAAAAACCATCAAACCAGTTTACGATTTTTGAAGTTAAAATGCAAAAGAGACAAAAGAATTGAGTACCTCCTCCTTTTTAAAGACAATAATTACATAATACTATGTATTGTTTTAAAGAAAACTTTTTTGGTAAGAGCCTTCTTTACTTTAAATTGATGAGAGTTTCGGCCACATAATGAGAAACCGAAAATACGACCTATTACAACTCATCATACAGGACAAGATCTAAGGAAAACGAAGTGTGGGTCGAAGAAGAACATGTCAGTTGAAAAACCTATACGAATTGTTTGGAAAAAGCACCCATTCCTTATTCAGAGCCGCGACATTTACGAGACATAAGATACGGGTTGCCTTAATGATCGCCGACCTCAGAAAGAAGATGGCACTTTAAGAAGAAGATAATAGTTTAATATTTTAATAAAAAATCTATAATTGTCTTTCTTTGAAAGAAAGGCTATATGTGTATACTCACTCCTCGGTACACTTTTTAAAGTAGACTTCGATATGCTGTCACTGTCTTCTGATTCTGAACACACTTGAAAACTTGTTTCTGAAAACAACACAAAATAATTTAATATAGAGCTTAAATATTATTTTTTCAGATATAATTGTTAAAATAATTAAACTAAAAAAGAAATTTCATCTATACATAGTATAAAACAAAGTGTTTGTTTGTCTGTTTCTCCGCGTACTTCTTCTAAATAACGCAACGGATTTTGATACGATTTCCATTTATGGAAATAATGACAAAATGAGCCAAGTCTGAACCTAGACGATGTTTTGTCAAAAAACCGTTTGCTACTGGCTAAACTTGTAGAGATACACTCAATGTCCTAGAAAATTGTAGGACTTAAAAAGGCCTACAGAAACGTCCACGATAGCATGTGTTTTATCTCCCAAGGAACGTACACAATAATTATTTTTATCTATATAAATTATGATAATTAAGTTGTTTACTTACTCTTGAATAAAAAAAACATCAGTATATAGATACTATTATATGCTGTAAGTAAGGGCAGCACATTTCTCGGTCGTTTTAGCCTATTCATACTAAAAATACACTTGAAATAATCCAAAAAGAGAAATATTTACAGCCGTAAGTTGCCCTAATTTTGTTTTGTTATTCGCACGAATTTCTGGATCTATTGGGTCAATTAAAAAAAAAGTGTTTTACAGCCTATTTATTGAGGAAGATTATAGATATATACCACCATGCTAGGACCTATGAGGGCGGGATGATTCTACGAAATAAACGACGTGGGCGAAAAGGTGAAAAACGCCAGTATTAAATAATTTTTGAAAGCAAGTTGGGAGTTACCAGTGTCATATCTCTGCTTCATGTGTCGACTGGGCAGGTCCTGGTTTTCGACGTGACCGAACGTGCGGAACCCGACTGCGAACTGCGCGTACGGACTTATCTCGTATAGCTCTGTAACCAAAACGTAGTTGAACTTAACAATATTTAATTAATTATTATGATTATAAATGCGCCTTTAAATCCTTTACGCTGCTTTCTCGCCCTCGTTAGTTATAAAACGGCTAGACAGATTTCGAAATTTATTTGATTGAAATCTAATACACAAGTAAATAGTTATCTGGAGTAACACATGTATTATTAGTATATATGTAACTTTTTATGTATGTTTATTTACATATAATAAGTTTTAATGACTTGATCTTTATGCACTTTTAACTTATATTTTGTGTCTTTTTCTATCGGTTGCCTGTAAGAGATTTTCATGTGCATTAAAGTGTTATACATAAATTATGTATGTATAAAAATTAAATATTTTATAGTTTTATGAAATATTAGTCGTATATACTTACATTTAATGAATGGGTAGATATGGATTTTAAAAATCAAAAATATTTTACCGTGTTTGCTATTATTCCGCACATGTATCGGTGCGCTATATATCCTGTTCTGTGCGTTTATAGCGTTCTCTTTCACGTTGGCGAGATTGCTGTGTGACGTGTTGGCAGTGATGTTACCGCTCTCGGACTTATCGACTGTTATTGAATCACGGTATTCAGTGAAAGTTACCGTCCTGTAAATGAAAATGAAGAGTGAAGTGTCTTTCTTTTATTAATGTTTTAGTGATGCCCTCCTGATCGTCTATTCAACTGCGCGGGAGATAATAATTATAGTCTGTGTGTGGGTCGTACATAGATCACTAGCACTTTTAAAGTCTGGTGACATTTCGATATGGCTTGCGAGAGATAGACACAGAAATAACTATACCTAGCCTAAAATGGGATTTGAACCCAGCACTTCAAAAACTGCAGCCGACATTCTAACTTTACTTTAATTCTGTGTATGCTGTGTTTATTTGTAAGTAATCACTACTTTAAGTTTCTAGTTTTTAGTTCTTTTTTTATATTTGTGTGCATTATTGTAAGTGATTGTAAATAAACTTAATAAATAAATAAATAAGTACTAGACCAACAAAGCATTGTAACGTACACAGAGTATATGACCATACACGTAAATTGCGATAAATTCTTCCCATCTTTGGCGTAGAGAGTTATTTAGTCTAATCTCAGGTGCTGATTAAATACTAAAAAACTTACATCAATGAACGTTGTTTTGAAATGAAATTCAAAAATGCCCTATTTTACGTACCTTTGACGTTTAACCAAAATATAAACGCAGCAAATAAGGCACATAGCAAGTAGTATTGAACTGAAGACTATCACAAGCATATTCAAATCGAAGAGATCTGACGGTGGACCGACTTCACCTGGAAAGAAGAATGCCAGATTTTGAATTAAAAAAAATATAACTAATAATATTAGTGAGTTAGTGAGTATGTTTGATACTTCTGCACGCTTCTTTTGCTTTACGGAATTATGTATATAGAGAGAGCTTATTTCGGTATGGATAAACCCTTGGTTATTTTCTATCGATCTACAATTCTCGAGCAAACCTGTGGTTAAGAATATATAAGATATATAAACAAAAAATGACAATATGTAGAATTTATAATGTTTTGCCATTTAAAAAAAACTTACTGCCATCCTCATTTTTCGTAGCATAGTTATAAGTAGTGGTGACGCTACCAGCTTCATTATTAGCCGTGACTCGAACCTGGTACCACGTGCCTGGGGAGAGATCGGATATAGGGAAACTTGTGCGATAGCTCGACTGATAGAGCGCGTACGACGAGTCAGCGTATGCCTGAAATAATAAAAAGAAACAATGTATGAAAAGCCATTATCTTTATTTATAAGTTCCTTTGATCTTATCTTCTAAATTTTTTTATGAGGGGCGATATCGACTTCTTTTCTACGGAAACCGGAATGTGGCAACGAAATTTGTATATATATTCTAGCACTTCCTATACTAATTAATACCAAATATAAACCATGTTATTGAATTATAATCACTAAATGATCTTACACAATCTTAAAATCTCCCAACACCCTGAGTTTGAGTTTGTTCAGTTTGATCTCAGAGTACTGTAAGGATTTTCATACGGTTTTGACTAAAGAAAGTAAGATATTTTAGATAGGCTTTAGGCTATAATTTATAAATATACTGCGAAAATAAGTAACTAGCTAATTTTGTATTTTGTCAGAATCGTCCTTTCTAAACTTTCGTAATATTATAAATGTGAAGGGCATATAGGTAGGTCTTGCGTCAATAGTATAATTTATAATTACCATAGCATTATGTGCCCTCATCCATCCCCTTGACCCTAGTAGACGGTATTCAACATCCCAGGACCTAAGTTCGCATCCCGCGTCGTCCCATCCGGCTAGTTGTACGTAAATATGAGAACAGTTGCTCCATAGCCATTCGTTTGTCGACGGTGGAATTGGTGCTAGAAAAATGATAAACTTCCTATTAAAACGGTGCTTTGAAAAATCTTGAAAAAATGCTTTTTCTTAAATGGAGGAAATGTCTCTCTTTAAAAGTATTTTCCTTAATACTTTATGACAATTTTATGTGAAAATTCTCAAGTCAGTTTTATGTGTTTTTATTTTTGAAATAATTTTAAACAATTTACACATGGATTTAAATATACATATACACAGATAAACTATGATTCGAAGTAACAAATATTCTTAGTATAATATAATAAGTATTATAGAATAAAACTTTTTCTAAACATACCTCCACCGAGAGTACTGACATCTAAGTACGCAGGCTGAGATGTACCGACTTTATTTGTAGCTGTTATTCTTAAAGAATACTTTGTACCACACTTCAAACCAGTCAAAGCATGTTTTTGAACTCCAGACAAGTTGGACAACTTGTTCGCCAACTTATTGGGCGACCATGCTTCTTGCCACGGACCACTCGATTCCTTCCACGTTAAACTGTAAGCTAAATTAAAAAAAAAATTATATCTCAAATACATCGTAAATAAATACGCAGATACCACTATTACTCCTAAACATTAGTTTTCATACTTAGAAAATGTCGCTCGTTCTTTAAATTTTCGTCAAATCTAGTATATAATATAACACTACTAATCAAACTTACTAATCTTTTGGCCAGAACTTCTATTTCCAGTGTAAAATGGTTGCTCCCATTCCACCAATAAAGAGTCTTTATAAGGCGTAGCTCTCAGTATAGGCGCTTCGGGTAATGGCAGTACTATTACCGTATATTCTACCGAATCGGAACCGTAGAGATTTTTGGCCAAACAAGTATAGTTTCCACTTAACGACTGATCTATATCTGTAATGTGTAAAATAAACCAATTTGTAGATGGTTCCAACGTAAAAAGTTATATCTACAAAACAACATTTTATAGGATATTTTCTTAAAAGCTCAGACTCATATTAGGTTTTGACAAAAAATCTCATAATATCTATAGAAGTGTATTTCGATAATATATTATATGTATATTATGTATTGATGCCTCAAAGTAAATTATAACAATTTAAAATCACTTATCTGATAGATGGTTGTTTGCTTAGGGATTGTCAATGTTTAAACGAAGTTTCAAATGAATAGAGTTAATAATCAACATTTTCCAATAGACTATGTGGCGAAAACCGCTTTATGTTTTTCTCATAAATGTATATATACTTATAAAATAAATAAATTTTAAGCCCATTAGAAGTTCTGTTCTATTCTATGTTTATTTTAAAAACATGTATAATTTTAATCTATATGTATACGTACTGTTAATAAGCAAGCTATCATCATGGTTCCTTGTGAATCTTGGATGGTGTGTTATGATATTATGTTTGTGATACCACACGGTGCGGGGCGGGGGAGACCCCACGCACTGGCAGACTAAGAGGAGGGACGACCCGACCCCTACTGAGATGGTTCCTCCTAGAGACGCTACTCCTGCTACCACTGAAATTGATAAAATGTTTTTTTTTAAAATACCTTTTCTATTTTTTAGTTAGTTTTAACTGATCATATTTTTTTCTAATAGTAGAGTGCTTTAAAATAGTAGAGAAATAACTATATATGTAGATCCATGTCCGCCCTTACAAGATTACCTTGTGTTGGGGGCAATATACAGATTTACATTCAGTCAATGACAAATAAGCTTATGTGACTATACAAGTATTAGTTACTTACAGGATTGAACCTGTGACCTTTAGCTTAGGTACATAGGAAAGAACACCTTACCTCTCTGTGCGGGAGTTTGTGATATACGTTTACTAGCAATTCCTTCTCCTACACTAGTGCTAGCAGTCACCCACACTTCGTAAGGTCTTCCTGTTGTTAGATCTTTCACTTCTGTAGTAGTTTTGGAAACGTCCACACGAAAGGTTTGAGGTGATCCATTACTGTCAAATTAAAGGATATTTTATATTTAAATACTTTCCTGTACTTTTCCTGATATTATTAGAAGGGTAATTACGATTATATACATATATGTACTTATATCTACAATTTACATATAATTTAGCTTAAAAATATTGATAAATTAGTCTTAATTATAGGAATATATTCTTCATTTAATAGAAAAAGAAATGGTTTTATATACACAGCACATGAAAGAACTTACCCTGACGTTTGTTTCACATAAACTGTATAATATATAAGCTCCCCATTAGGATGGTCGGGTCTTTTCCAGCTCACCAATAGAGAAGTGGCTGATAGAATTAACACTTTGATATCTGAAGGCGCTTCTGGAACTGCAGGTAAATTACAGAATTAGTTCGTTTTAAATTCAATGAAAATCAATGTTTAAGATATCTTTATGTTAAACCCATTTTGTTTCTCTGAAACCTTGTTATTTATTGAGTTTTGAGGTTAAAAAAATTTACTCCAAATTCAATTATTAGGAATTTAAAATAAACGATGTAAAAAGTTAATATACAATGGTGATACAAAGCAAATTGTAATTGTAAATAAAAAAATAATTTATAAAATAAGCCCATTTTTTTGTAATTTTATTATGAGTACTTACCATCTTGTAACGTTGTACACACTATGGGATATGAAAACGGTCCAGCTCCATAGCTCGAGAAGCCAGCCACCTTGACAGTATAATTTGTGTATTTTGTTAGACTTTGTAGGTAAATCTCTGTGTGAAGAGACGTCTGATTTTGCCAAGCACTTTCTGAAATCAAAAAATATATTGTTTACAACGACTAACCTTAATTTGGCTAGGGTGCATCTATTGGTGCCAAGAAGTACTCTATCTGTTACAGACACATATAGACATACACAGAAACATACACACAGGCGCAAAAATACATACACACGTAGACACGTACGTACACGTGCACACGTACACAAACGCATGTAGTACATACATATAAATTTTGGCATTTGGACTAGTAGTCCTATTAGCTATTAGCAGTATTGTACCATTTTCTTAATATAGCCTTCACATAAATGAGATTTTTTCTATCTTTAAATTCTCTCATTACTGAGTTACAACTTTATTCCTTCAAAGCCCCAAAAACATCCTAATACAAAAAGTTACTTTCTGAATCCTTTCTCTCCTGCAAGCAAATATTAACATATACATTATACATATATGAATATCTTTTACATGTACCTTCAGTAGCATATAAAATAGTATATCCAATCAAAGAGCTTCCTTGACCACGTATAGCTATAGGTTGCCATCCGACTCGCAACGAAGTTGATGACACTGCAGTACATTCTACTGAAGATGGCGCGTGTTCTGGAGCTGAAAATAATATTTTTTTGTCATATGCTTTGCCTCTCCTGGGCTGGTATTAAAAACGCCAAAATATTTCATCCTTTTTCGCTAATTAATATCGCTCGGAAATAAAATATATATCTATGACAGTAAAAATCACGTTTGTTACTTAACTGATTTATCATATAGTAAAAGGGAGAAAAAAAGTCGCTTTATTCTCTATTTTCCACAAATATCAAGATAAATCTTATTGATATATTACTAAATGCGACCATACATATTTTTGAATCAGCCCAACCACTCACCTCCTTCCAGAGTATCTTGGAACACAGGTAGAGAAAACGGTCCAGAGCCTGCACTATTGAAAGCTGATATACTCACTGCGTATCTAGAAGAAATAAAAATAGGTGTTAATATTTTTTCATTTTTGTATTCCATTCGTTTTTCACCGCGATTCTTAAAGTCAATATGAAAAAATTGAAAGGTATGAACAAAGTCACTTTTTAAACTCATACTCATAGATTAAACAATTTACCTAGTATTTTTTAAAAGTCCACTCAAAGTGGTTTCCTGTTTGCCAGACTGTTGAGAAACTTTAAGTGTCCTTGTGTCGCTGTCCTCTGAAACTTAGGACAAGGTAAGGTTAAATAATATTACAACCATTTTTACTAAAAGGATACACAAACTTCAAAATCTTTAAGTTTATTATTAAATATTAAATGTGGAAATTATTAGTACTTAAAGTTTTTATAAGTATAAACTTAAAAAAAGAATATGAAAATAACAAAGAACGTATCATAACGCTATTCTATTCTTTTTACCATTTTAGAGATATTTTGTGATATAAAATGCCATGGTGTGTTTTTATGAGTTAGTTTTAACTTACATGAAAACTTTATTCCTACTACCACTATGTAAGTTTTTTTGGCAGTTAATCTTATGATCAAGAAATTTCCGTTCCGTACAAATATACTTAGTTATATATACAAAACAAATGTACACTCAATTATTTCTGTACAAGTCATGTCCGCGTGAAAAAGTGGCAAGAATGCCAGCCGCATTCCCCCGATGAATGGCAATGCCGATTCTGTGGGTGAAAAATGAGCCAGCCTTCTGTCACCAGTAGAGGCGATCAGACGAGGAGTTATGTTATATTATGGAAGTGGAACATTATTACACTAAATAAAGATTCGTTTCGTTTGGAACCTGCAATAATCGACGCTTAAGGTCAGATGTTTCATTTTTGACTCTTTTTTGTACGTTTATCTTGCCAATTTATCGCTCAAATATAATAAAACTAGATGTTAAAGTCTTAAATAAAAAATATTATATTCACTTACTTGTTCCAATATTTTGAGGAACAGCTTTTATATGGTATCCTGTAATTATTCCATTATGGTGGTCTTTGGGAGGAGGAAGCCACGTTATGAACAGTTCTCCAGGGTTTTCTGTTTGTTCTACTTGAATGTTTATTGGTGACGATGAGGGTGCTAGAAGATGGGATTTTTTATTACATAATAATATGCTACGGAGAGTTATTCCGTTGTATGATTTCAACGGACATGAACCCAAATTATAAACTTTATATCCTAAATTTTATATGGTAATCTCATAATTGCTAAAATATTGTCATTTAATCGAACTATAAATAAAATTAGAAAAAAATCTTTTAATAATTATTTGTTAAGTATGACTAATTTTTGCATTAAATATACATTAAGAATTTTTTTTGCACTAAGCATAAGGATTTCGTGAGGCTTGGCCATTCATTGGCAACTTCTATCCAATAAACTATCTCTTAAGCAAATCTTTTTTTGAATAATAGTATTAAAAGCTTGTGTTTTTACCTTCTTCATGTGTTGTGAAGTGTATGGGCGCCGTGTACCGACTCATCCCGACTTCATTACCCGTCGCAACTCGCACTGCGTATGCAGTCGCTGGCCTTAGATTTTGTAGTTCAATGGCTTGACGAATGTCACTGTCTTTTCTGCAAAGAATAGTTGGACTGGTATTCGTACTGGTACTCGGACTGGTATTCGTACTCAGTTACGATTAAATAATAGCGCACTGGCATAGTTCTATTTCAATTTTCAACTACGTAAACGGTTTCCCAAGTGTAAAGGAAGCTTAGTATGTGTTTCATCATTTTACTTTATTTTATATACATATCTTTTATATTCGTGTATCTCGGAAACTGCTCTAATCATTTGAATCAAATTTTGTATTCAGATAAGGTTCTTGTTTTTTGATTACTTTTTACCTTTGACCATTGAAAAAACGCCGAGCGAAGCTCGCTCGCTCTGGAAATATGGATATATACACTACGAAATCATTATTATAATATGTTATACTTCACATTGATAGATATAAGGTTGGCAACGCCTCAATGGATTTTAGCATTCAATATACATATTATTAAGGAAGTACAGAAGTAAGTTTTAAATACAACGCAATTTTCATTTTTTTCCTTTCATAACCAAAAATATAATACAGACCTAGAAACGTTAATATTAGCAGCGTGTTCCCAGCCTGCATCAGTGAAATGCGCAGGCACATATTGTAAAGTGTAGTGTTTGTGCGCGCGCGCATCTCGCCAGGACACTGTTGATGTACGGGAACGGACTGATTCTATTCGGATCTCTGATGGAGGAGTTGGAGGTTCTATAATAGAAAAAAACATATTTCTGTTTTTGAATTATGATTTAAAAATGTTATTTACCACTTTCTAATTTCAGTGTATTATACAGTTTATAGTAGTGGTCTTGGAAAGACAGCACAACGGACTTAAGCTCCCAGACATCGGATCTATAAGACTTTAATTGCAAAACTCATTTTGAATATATCTATATATAATAAGTCGTAAACATTACGAGAGAACTTGTACATCTACAAGAATCTAGCGAGTTTTCGAAAGAGATATTGTAATTCGTCTCTTCCTTTGCATTGAGGAGAGGCTAATGTCCAACAGTTGGAAGTTACTATGGCTGCTTTCTTATTAGATATTATATTCTTTATTATTTCAATATATAAACGTTTATCGTTAAGTTATGCCAAATAAATTCTAGCAACAACCATTCTTACAAAAATTCTTACCTAAAATAGTTAAAAAGATGTTGAAACTCGCTACTCCATAAGGATTGCTAGCACGACATTGATAGAAGCCCGCGTCGCTTGCTTCTGAATACTGTAAGCTGACGACACTTGTAAGGCCGAGGGAGGTCTTTGATTCCGAGTGTTTTGCTCTGAAAGTGTAAATACATAATATAAATAAATAGGTGCACCTACGTGTGTTTGTGCAAAAAAGTTTGTCACCGATTACTTTAAAATTTGGCCACAAGTATTTTTATATGTTGACGGTTTTATGTTATCTGTTTTGTTGTAATTTGTTTCTAGATAGTGCTGCAACGACTACTACATAGAATCGAATCGACATAATACCAATGAGTATTTGGTTATACAGAATAATATTCTCAAAATTTCCATTTAAACGGGCGAGACTGCAAGTAAATTCTCATCGCCTCCCTCTAAATTATGTCATGTTAAATTTTGCTTCCAAGGGGCATTGATGTTCTGATAAGAAAGTATGTTATTACGTCTGACCATTGCTTAAATCTTTAAAGCAGAATTACTCAGTTTTCTAAACAAAGTTAATAAATATAAATATTTTTGGACATTAACACACAGCATCTAGTGCCATGGTAAGCTACGAGGTTTTTGTTATGGAAACCAGATAGTTGATACCTTGTACATGACGTATAATAACTTTAAATACATACGTATTATAAAAATGGGTGTTTATATTATATAATAAATATAAATACCCATGACTGGAGTATAAACATTCGTGCTCATCACACAAATAAATGCCCCTAGCGGGACTCAAACCCGCGACCGGCAAGGGAATTAGGGTCACTTCAATCTGAGTCAAGCGAAATTATTTTGTTCATAAAATAATATACCATTTTTGAGAGCAAGATCTCTAAACGTACTGATATTATATAATATGTGAAAATTATTATTTAAAATAAAATGAAAAAAAAAACATATTTTTCTTTAATTTACCTGTGTTTTTGAGCATCTAAGCTATTCCCGTCATGTGTCCAAACTATTCTGATGGGATCGTCTCCCAACGCTCTACATTCTAACGTTACAGGATGGCCGAGTCGAGATGTTACGTTAGCTGATGGCGAATCGAAGTGAACTGGCTCTGAAAATTAAAAAGTGTATGTCTGTATGCACATATTATACTGTACCTTAGGAGTAAAACAACTATTTTTATAGTATCTTAAATGGTATTTAACAATAAATAATATTAAATAGATCCATTAGGGTCTGCCTATATTTGCATGTACTTGTCAATCTTATTTTTACTTTGTCATCAGTTATTCTATATGTATGTATTCAGCCCTTTTTAACCTCCCACTGCTGGGTACGGGCCTCCCTTCAGTACGAAGAAGATCAGGATATAGTTCATCACGCTGGCCAATTGCGGGTTGACGAACTTAACATGTCTTTCGAAAATTTGCTTGTTTCTCTCAGATATGCAGGTTTCCTCACGATGTTTTCCTTCACCGTAAGGCAAGTGGTAATCATGTTAGCAATGATTCGCACATAAAAATATCAGAGCTGCGAGACCCGGGATTTGAACCCGCTTCACTCGGTTTCCCAAGCTAGCGTGTTGCCACTGGGCTACCACTGCCCTCACTATTCTATATGAGCCTATGCATTCGTTTTTGATTTTTCAGAATGACTGACTAAATTTAGCTTCATTGACTTTCCTCTGTCTAAACTCATTTAAGTTTTCGACCATTATATGTATAATATATATTACGCAGCAGTAGTACCGCTATGATTTGTTTTAAACAGACCTGAACAAATATTAATATAGTAGGTATAATAATACAAACATTCGTCCCTTTGCGAGATAGACCTGTGATCACTGTTGTAGTATACTAACATTTGCCCGCGGCTCCACTCACATAATTTTATGTATAAAGGCTTTCTAATCTTTTTACTTATATAAGTATAAATTGGTAATGTTATTGGTTAGTTAGTCGATTGATATTCAAAAATGCAAGACTGCCCTTAAAAAGAAGCGCACAATTCGAAATTATGCGCTTTTTACAAATCTCTTTTGTGCATTGCTTTTCGGATGACAAGATTAAAACGCACGTTGTATCGTTTAAAAAATACTTTACGTGCTGTGTGTAAGTTCGAATTCGTGTTTAGGTAATTAGAACTCGATTTTTGAATTCTATTTTTTTGTTTGACTTAACGTCACATGTCAATGCCACTTTTTGAAGAGATATTTGTTAAGAAATTTGTATCTATGTTTTTGTATATCAAAGTACCAGATAAATTTCCCAATACGCAACGATAGTCGTGACGTAACTACGTTACAAAGTAACTAACTATTAACTCAATATATCAAAATCAATCCCTGGAGAGAGAAGACATAAAGTATCACAGTTACGTACGAGTCGAATACGTTTTCATATAGTAATATTTTCATATTACTTGTCGTAACTTATGATCTATTCATCTTTGAAATAAATTTAAACATCTCTCTACATTTAAACAAACCGCGATGGAATAGAATGTACTAGTTTTAGCACATACTTCGTACTTAGTTTTTGCTTCGTTGGTTTAGTAGCTAGTATGTACGACTGCAGATCCTAGGTTCGAGTCCCGGTTCAGGACAAGCTTTATTACTAAGTTTTTTTATTAAGATCTTCTCAGTAGTAGACCGGAGTTGGGAAGATGGCGGTGTTTCACTCCCGTGCCTCGGAGAGCACGTAAAGCCGTTGGACCTACGCCTTAACTCTCACCGGTCGTATCGAAATATCGTCCCACCGGAGCACGAGAGTGACAGGAATAGAAAGTGCACTTGTGCCTGCGCGCACACACTAAGTACATCGACACACGCGCTGCACTATAATATCTCCTGCGCAGTTGGCTAGTTTCAGTAAGATTGACCACCGTGGCCGAAATCCGTCAAGAGGACATAATAATAATAATTATTATTATTTAGTTTTTATTTTCAATAAAACGTTAAATGTAATAACTAATAACTACATTATGTTGATAAAATAAATATTTTACAATACATTACACATTCCCATTGAAACACCATAAATAACAAAAATAAGCAAACTTCATAACAAAATTCTTAAGTTTACTTACTATTAACACTCATCCATACAGTTTTACTTAGAGGTGTTCCAACACCGTTTTCCACATTGCAGGAGTACAGCCCTTCGTCTGTTAGAGATACCTCCTCAATAACCAGGGTTCCGTTTGGAAGGCTTAAAATCCCACCACCCGCGAGTTCCAATACTGGTTGCCATGTTCCCAGAAGTGCTAAAACATTTTTATAACGCATTTAATCATATATAAAAATGTACATGATCGTATTTCTATTCAAAATGCAAAAATTTGTATGTGTGTATGTATGTTTATTACTTCTTAACATTGCAACGGCTGGACGGATTTGGATGAATCTGTTGATAATACCACAGATAATATAATACTATACTAGATAATACTGTTAAGTATCTATGGACGCCACTGAGCAAAGCGAGCGAGTGATTTACTCACTAGTTTGTTTTTATAAAATGGATATAACAGAAATTTAGTTTTCGAATTGTATTAAGAAAATATTATTGATTCTATGAAAGACGAAATGAAAAATTCAACAATTGTATAAAGTTTTAGTACAGAAAAAAAAATCATAATATGTGAATGAAATGGTAAGATAATTTATCTTTTTGAAGCCGCAAAGTATATATGCGGGAAAAGGATACAAAAGAGTACCTAAATTCTTAACTTCAGAATGTCAATTTCTGAAGAAATTTTTGTTCAATAGTATGGTGAGAAGTCATTACGAAGTTAGTCAAATTAGTAAATTATTTACTACAAGTTGGACGTACAGTTATTAGCTTCTTCTAACCCGAGGGAACTATTTCATGTACCGAGAAAATAAGCCTGTCTGTTACCCTCTGGCCCATAAATTGTCTTAATGCAAATTACGCCAATACGCCGTTGCAATACGAAAAATGTCAAAACAAACATAAATCTTTGACTTAAATAATAATAATAAATTATATTAGTATTTTTAACTAGAAGACTCTATGGAGATTTTATACTTAACTAGCGACTTGCCCTAGTTTCGCTCGGGTTCGTGCCTAGGTTGATTCCCCATACATACTTTCATGACCATTAATCACCCCCTTAAAGGACGATTTCCGGAATAAATCCTATGTCCCTCCCAGGGTCTCAAACTATCTTCTTACTAAATTTCAGCTAAATCGGTCCAGTATTTTTTGAGTTTATTCGTTAAAACATACAAAATACAAATCTTTTCCCTTTTTAATATTATTGTAGATTTATTGTACCATTTATATGGTTTTAAGTAATACGTATCATCATGTTTAGTTATTTCATGGCATCTTTGTCAAATACATAATTTTGTATTAATAATAAATTATAAAAGGAATGTAGTTCGGTAAATTTCGTTTGACTAACGTTAGATGATTTTTTTTTAAAATATTTTTATTTTGCTAAGTAACGTTTAGTAATTACCATCTTTTTTCATCCAATGTACTTGTGGTTGCGGATATCCGCTCGCGCTACATGAAACTGATCCCTTCCTTCCCAAAAGCAGCGAGGAATTTGTAGGCTCTTCCAACCATTTTGGGGCAACTGTAAGAAAAAAACACTGGCAGTCTAAATTTAGGTTCCCGGGGTACCAGACCCGTTGCGTTATCCGCCATCTTGAATTTAAGGGTTGATTTTTGTTTGTGAAATAACTCGTTTATTTTCAATTTTAGATGAAAACTAGTTATTACAAAAGTTGTTTAAAATCAAGTTTTCTACAATTTTGGTCCTTATCAATTTTTTCGTAGAATCGATATTTTTCGATTTATACCTGAGAAAAGGAGGGGATGAAATCCTATCATTGTATTTATATTTATCTACAGCAAGGATGACACGTGTATGTCTCCGACTGCATAATACTTTATTCCTTCGTTAACCACTTTTCATCTTTTTAGTTAGCTTTTATGCCATTGGGGTTTTTATTTTTATTATATATTTTTTTATTATATATCAAAAAAATCCATTCACTGTATTTAAATAGTTTGAGAAGTGTATATGATAATATATTCCTATGCATTCAAAAAGTCTTTAGTATAAATCGTACAGAACTTAAAGTTCACTACGAAAGTTAATGTTTGTATTTTCATTTATAATATACTTGACGCCAAAGTTTCAGTGAATGCTATACGAGTCGTTCGTGACAGTTTAATTAAATCAAAGTTACTTAAGGCAAGTTTTCATCTAAAACTCAAGATGAGATTAATGTGAATGTACATAATTCGGCTTTAGAGGAATTTTTAGTTTTGTAGATTTTTCAGAAGGTATGCGGAAAATTGTATTAAGCTTTTACTAGTATTATTTTTTATTTGAGTAAGTTCACAACCCACAGACATACGTCCGTGCCTTTTTTTGAGCATTTTTATATTTTGTTGTTATTTTTATTTTATTTGAGATGGATTCGTGGAGCTTTTACTAGTAAGTACTGATTAGGTATTTTGTTATTATTCTAACTTTTGCAGTTAAATTTTAAAACTATTTTTGCGGATTTTTTCACGCTTGGTTTATTATATATTGATTTTAGGGAGAGATTGAATGAAAATATTTGAAAAATAGTTTTATTACAAACCATTCAACTATAATTATAGTTTAATAAAGGCTTTTAGGTAACAGAAATGTATGGGACTTAACAAAACGACTCAAGCTCAAACTGGACGGTTCAAGTAGCAGCCATTGAAAAGTTTCACTGTCCACTCCACTTCATTATTAGATCAGTTCACTTGTATCGAAATATTGTTTTGTTCTACTCTCACTTCCGAATTTCACAAAACTACGGTTCAAATACATTGTCGTTTAAAAGTAGGATAGAAAGGCATTTAGACAGATCGACGGACGGACCAACAGGGTATGGTAGGACAGATTTGCTAGAGGAGATAGTATAGGACGGATAGGGTAGGGAAAAACAGATAGGGTAGGATCGATAGGGTAGGACAGACAGGGTAGGACAGACAGGGTAGGACAGATAGATAGAGTAGAATAGATAGGGTAGACAGTTGGTTAGGCTTAGTAATGAAATTGGGAACAGAATCTTAAAAAAACGATGGGCTTACCTTTTATATATAATTCAGTGGATTTGTTGACCTTAGCAACATGATTAGAAGCTACGCAGGTGTAGGTCCCGCAGTGCTCTAAGGACACTCTTTTGATTACTAGCGCATTAAATAATTCTGAATTCCTCTCCACTACCTTAAAGTGAAGTATGTTATTTTTACACAGACAGATAATATTATTTTACACCACATTATTTTATTATGTTAATTTTATGAATGCAAAAATATATGAGCTTGTGTGAGTGTGAGTGTGTAAATTTGAGTGACATTTAAATTGAAGATAGTATATGTACTTCTTGGACAAATACATAGGCTATTATTTATGTATTTTTCTTATCAACATTTTTAGTTATTATCAATATTAATCGTACATAAGTACTATACATATACATATGTACTAAATTTCTACTTATTTCAGAAAAATAGGCTGTGACACACAGTGTGACGAATGATTTTATAAGAAAAGACAGTAATAAACCTTCTTTTTAACAATATTACTTTTACCTCAAAAGATAGCCTGATTACAAAATAAGTAAATAAAAAAACAGGATAAATGATCCTGGAAATAAATTTATATCCATCCATAAAACATTAAATTATAAAAAAAACGGTATGACATACACACAAATAAACACTAATAAAATATTTTCTATTTTCAAGTCGATCAATAATCATAAAATTGTCACGAAATAATATTACCTTCAACGCACTTGGAATCCTCTTCCCATCTTTCAGCCATTCAAAATGTATGGGCAAATCTCCACTCCTCACGTTGCAGTAAATGTTCACAATTTGTCCTTCTTGTAAATTATTACCTAAAAGCAAGTCTTCAAGAACAGGGGCTTCGATTACTTGGATTTCGAACGCTCGTCTTGCCATTTCTCCTGAAGGTGACGTCACAATACATGTGTATACAGCCCCATTATCCTCCTTAGTGATTTCTGGTACGGTTAGAACACCATGTATATTGACTAAGCTACGACGAAATTTGCGTTTCTGATGATTTTGACGTTTGTACCGACTTTGGAAGAGGTTGTTTGAGTTTACTACCTTACCCTTGTACTCCCAGTCGATTTTGCTGTGGAATTATTTGTTTCTATATGTAGTAGTACCTTAGTGATATTGCTTAATATATGAAAGTAGTATGTCTGTGTGTTAAGTGATCATACTCATAAAGGTTTCATACAATTTGCTAAGAGCTAGTGTAGAGTTTTATATATTAGTTTAAAGTCTAAAACTACTGAACGGTGTTTATTTTCATTTTAATGACATATCGAAATCTAAAGATTATTAGTATAACATTATGTTAATGCATAATTTGATAGTTTTTTGAAAAACTTTATTCTCCAATATCAAAGCTAAAATGATTAAGTTGAATTAGTTTACACACATACATATATATATATATATATATATATATATTTATATAATAAATGAAATACCTTATGGGATATCCATAGTAGGGGCATCTTAGGTTTATCGATTCACCACTTTGCACTTTGATAGGTGGCAGTGATCTAATATAAGGGGGTCCTAAAAAGTAAAAACAATTTTTTTTATTGAGTTAAGAATATTTATTTGAAATTATTGACTACGTATTGGGATAGAAAGAGAGAGAGAGAGAAAATGGAAAATAAAAAGTATGAATATGATAATTTCTCACTTTTTTCTCTGTTTTACTAGTATTATGATTATTTTTAATTATATATTTTTTTAATTTAAAATAATAAGTAAATAAACTTATTTATTTACTATTACTAAACTAATTTAAAATAAAAAAAAAACAAAAATAAATGTATAGTAGCTTTGTAAAGGTACTTTTAAATAAAAACATAGCAAAGTAGGTACGAGTAGGTAGTAGATGAATGTAAATATCTATTTGAGCGTTAAAATTTTTATTTATTCAAAATATTACCCATGCAATAAAAAAAATCTCATTAAAATTTAACCAGGCCTTTTCATAAATTGGAAGAAACAGACACAACTAAATTGGAAAAAACATTTACATTGATAAATTTTACCCACCATACACATCTAATCTGTTTTCATGACTTGCAATGTGGTCGCCTTCCTTCGCCGTGCAAGAGTACAAGCCACCATCTTCCACTCTCACCCTCGTAATATTCAACTGTGCCACTACTGAGTTATCTGATGTCATTATTTGTCCTAATGCGTACCTGTTAGTAAAAATATAGATTTTATTACTATGATAGAAACTTGTATGTTTGTTTGTTTACATGTCAGGGATAATTTTTGAAAGTACTGGCTATTAAAAAAAGTCGGAGGTGTTGTAGGAAACTACGTAGGAACGTAGTTCCTCTCGCTGTTTGGCCATGACTCATAAATTAGGTCTTAAAAATTGTGATGTATCATAAGCATCAAGCAACGTACATTGTACATGTTGAAGTTGATAATAAAAACTCCTCCTTTTAGGAATTCGGTTAAACGTGTCGTGACGGTAAAAATATTACACTTTTTCCCCTTGAGTAAATTATCTATTTTTTAAGTGACAAAGGCTTTATCCACCAAGCAGAGAACCAGTAACAAAAAAATAAATATTTTGCCATTTCTTTTAAGGGTAGACAGATACCAATATATTGACATCTCATTATATTTACCAACCATAGACGATTAACTCCTGCGCAAATCTAAGTCCCAATAATTTGCGCAATGGATTGTGTTAACCTATATGTTACACTGTCGTGAAGTTACTATCGTAAAATCATTTTTCTAAGAATATAAAATTTGGTCAAATAAGGGCGAAACTCACGAGTTTTGAACATTATGAAATATAAAAAAAGTTTTGACGTTAGGAGAAATTATTTATTTACTACTAATATATTGATAAACAGAATATAGTTGCACTAAAATAGTATAGTATTAATATAGATTTTTAAGGTTTGGCCAAAGTTTATACTTTAAAGCTATTCATACAGCCAAGCCAGCGCGCGCTTCAAAATAGTTTTAAAACGAAATCTAAATGAAATGTTAGAAGAATTTTCTAACAACGTTCGTTTCGGGAATAAAAATATAAAAATCCACTTCATTATGGCACGCTATTTTCAGAATCAACATAAGATTTTCATGGCATATGTAATTAGTCTAAATGTAAGTGGTTATTAATATTACTTAGATGGACGAAGTTTTATTTTTATACTCATTTTTAATTGTATAATTACTGCTAGTGATGTATCTATATGTTACTCTAGATTATAGCCTATACATGTTCTAAATTTCATCTAAACCCGTCCAGCAGTTTCAGGTTGAAATAGTAACAAACACACACAAATATTATACAAGCTTACGCATTTATAAAAATAGCCTAAATAAGATACTAATGTTTTCTAATTGAGTCACGATGCCAATCTGACTGAAACCCCACAAGGTGGAGATATTATAGTGTACACTTACAGTGTACACTAATAATACACACTATAATATGTATTTAAAGTTATTTATGTATAATGTATCAACTATCTGGTATCCATAACACAAGCCTCGTAGCTTACCATGGAACTAGACGGTGTTGTGTGTTATTGTCCTGACATATTTATTCATTTATTTATAGTGTGCAATGGACATAGGTGCAATAATGCATCCAAACACGAGAGAATTCAACAAGGAACATTTTTTTTAAATAACATTTACTGCACTAGTAATCTTGTTATTATACAATACTATAATATCAACACCTATAAGGAATAACGTTGTAACAATATCGAATTTAGACATAAAATATATGAAAAAATAATATCTATTTTATATAAGTAATGCCATAAGAGAAATAAAAAGAGAAATAAAGCTTCGAGTACATGTTACGTGTATTTTTGATAGATTTTTTTTCGTTTTTTTTTATTCTCGACTCATTTCAAATGTTTTACAGCTAACATGATCACGAAAGAGGTTAGATTTGAGACTTGATGTAGAGAGAGAGAGAGAGAGAGAGAGAGAGAGAGAGAGAAAGCCATGTAGAGCGTACTAAATCAAAAAATAAAAATTACAAAAGAAAAAACCTTAAAAATTGTTTATTACAATGTCAAACATCGCTTAATCCTAAGAGAGTTTTGTTTGAAACCTTATTACAAAGCTACGATGGTGGTATTTGCTATCAAATATCGATACAAAGATCAGAAATTTTGCAACGCGCTTAGATGTTGCCAGAAATCGATTGTTTGACTAATCTAATTCACACAAGTGTTGCAGGATTGAATTAGAATTTGACAGGCGATTTGACTTGCAGATGTGCTCTAAATTGTCGATACTCTTGATTGGGTTTTCGTTTTTATAATTTATACCCATTTTACTTTATAATTTTTAAAATTCTGGAAGAGACTGTTTGTTTTGCCAAAATAAAAGTCTATATCTACTTATGTTTTAAAGAGGTGTTTGCTTTTTGTAAGTAAAAAATATTTTTTGAATTCTTTCAATAAGAGAATAAAATACTTATATGGATTATTTTTTGTTAATATAACAAACGGCTTACGTGGGATCAATAATATCACGTAAGCCACTTGATGTAATAACAAATTTGTTTGTTGTTGCAAATTTTATTATTGTAAAAATATTAAGGAACATTTTCACTCCATCACGATTAACAACAGGTGTTATCATATTACACCTGTATTATCTATACATTAAACACGTATACTTTGTTGACTCTTCACTACACGACCAAACTAAAGATATTATTTTTATATCTATTATTATAAATACATAAATAATTAATACTCTTGATTTGTTAAGTATATCTCGACTTGTTTGGTAGACTTTGTTTATTATTTAATTTCTTTAGATCATAGAATAGTCTTTTTTATATATAACTACTTCACACGAATTTTCGCATGCGGTATTAACCTTAAAAGGTAATGCGTTTAGCAATAAGAACTTTGTAACATAACATAATTATTATTGTCATAAAGTAATTACCACTGGTGAATCTTAATAAATAAAAATGATTGAGGAAGGCTTTCAAGCATCAAGCTGCAGCTTTAATAATTTCCCATTACCGTGAAGAAATTCAGGTCATAGTCCATCACGCTCTCAGACATATAGGTTTCCTTATGATATTTTTGCTCACCGAAAGGCTAAGGCATGTTGAAAATGACTGTTAGATGTCGAATTATATGTATGTACTCGCTCCGTTCGGGTTCGTCCTTAGTTACGTTTCAACGTTTAGTATAGATTTCTCAGATATGAGATATTTTTCCGCAGTAAAAAGTATACTATTTGTTGACCCGGATAACTATCTATTATCGTACCAAATTTCATGAAAATCCGTCTAGTAGTTTTCTCTTGATGCGGTCACAAACAGACAGACAGGCAGACAAAAATTCTAAAAACTATAGATTCGGCCTGTGTATCGATAATAATGACTATTTCAATAAGATTTTCCAAAAAAATATTTACTTCGGCTTCGACTTAGAATTTTATTATATGTATAGATATAAATAAATTATGCAGGTATATTCCTTACATTGAAATATATCATAACAAGTAATATTTAATTATTTATATCCTACTAGAGCTGTACGGAATATTTTTCCATTTTTCAATTCGTCTCTCTGCATCTAATCGAATATTGTGAAACAGTTCGATATAAAAGTTAGGGAATTGGATTTCAATACGTCACGCCGTACTTCACTCTCGGTGAAACATCGTCGATGCATTGTATGAAAATATTGAGTAAATTTTGATTTTGCTTGCTTTGAATGATATTTATTTATACCAAATTAAAATTTTTAAAACGTATTTTTCTATCAATTAGGACGTATTTAAATAATTGTTGTTTCAAGAACTAAGAAATCACGTTTTTCGCCAATTATAGTGTTAGATACTTCAAAAAGAATTAAAAATGGCCCTCAATATGTACATATATGAAGAGTTCTTCATCCATCCTTTGACTCCATTATAAGATCAGTTCGATGGTATCGATGGAAGATAATCAAAAACACTTGCAAGATTTGATTTCATAGTTATAAAACGCTTTAAGAAGCGTCTTAAATATGTAGATTATGCATATTTATATCTGTTATCTGTAGGTACATATAATAATGTCGTGGAGTCAAAGTTACACTATATATCAAGATTTTTTTATTTGCGTGTGAGGGATGTTTGAAATGTATCGAATTGAAGTTAAGTTAATTTTTTTTATAATTATTGTTCTTCGAGAATCGAGAAATCGAGAACTCGAGAACATATTTAAATAAAATTATAATTTTGTACGCGTATTCCTCTAAACTAATGTGCGACCGGTGGTCGAAATTCGGTCATAATCATTATTCAAAATTCGAGGTACACATATGAATAGAATTTACCTATCTATATAAAAAAAACTGTTTCCATTTTTTTTATCGATAACACTAAAATTCGTCAATAATACAAAAAAGTATATAAAAGATAATAATTATAATAATAAAAACAAACAGACAGTCGCGTGACAAACAGATGAGAAAAAGGTACTCAACTGTTCTGACTTTGCCTGTTTATAGATTAAAAGATTAAGATTTTTGTCCGACTTAAAAAAAAGAGATACTCATAATATATACTAATATGATCAAATTTATCATATTTTATCTATGCAAAAATTCCTAGTAAGCCTAATTAAATAATATTACCTAGGATCAGTATTGCTGGATACAATAACGCCGTCCCTCTCCCACACAAATTGCGGCGGTCGGTCCCCCGTAGCGGCACATTGCATGCTAATCTGTGGGGAAAATTTAAATTGTACCCATTGTTTTTGTTTTGTCCTCTATTAAATAAATATAGCTGTGTTTATATGACTTTATAAAATAAAGATTTTTTGCTTTACTGCGTAAAATATTGCAATTATTTTTAAATATGAGAACTAGTTTTTTGAAGGAATAATATTTAAAAAAGGTTAGTTTTGACTTCAAAATGAGGTATTTAATTTGACGGGCGTTTTAATGTATGTACTATGTATGTATGTATTTTACGCTTATAAATGTTGCCAATTGTAATTTTTCTGGTATTTAATGCATAGGAATTAATATTTTCAAGAAAATATATTTAAAGTTATTTTAAAAATATAATGCCGTATAGTAGTATTCGAAGAGTTTTAATAAAAAACGGTTTAACTTACAATTAAAATTAATAATTGCTTCAGTCTTAGGGGGATTTCGTTTTAAACTTATATATTTAATGAGAACTTCAAGTAGTATACATTAAAAAATATCATTATGATATGATAAAAGATAAATAATTGACGAAATAAAGCGTAGCGTACATTAAAAAAAAATAAAAATTACATTTGAATTTAGTGCCTTTTTTAAAGCCTGTCTAAGCCGACTCGGACATGAAAATTGGTAATCCTATGTATGAGCTTCATTTAGTTTTAAATAAGATTGGTCCTATAAACCTATATTTTTGATATTTTTCGGGGAATTATTTTGATTTTTGGTTGCCGACGTTTCGATTACTTTATTCATTACAATAATCATGATCACGAAAATAAAATCGGGGAAAATTCTATAGTTTTATTTAAAATGTGAAATAGATAGATAAATACTTTGTTACACACACAGAAGAAGAGTACAAAAGATGAAAAGAAAAATAACAAAAAGGCATTAAAAGCGGTTTATGAGCAATCTCTTACCGACAACCTTCGGTAAAAGGATTCGTGGAACCATAGACGGGACGGTACAATTAATACTAAATACGAGTGTATATATATATATATACATATATATATATATATATACGCTTACGTACATAAATACAGAATACTATGTGTAGTAACTAAAAATGGTAATATAAATTACATCTCCTCCAGGAGTAACTGTTCTTTCTGTGAAATGTTGCGTGATAATGACACGATTTTCATTTAACGCTCTTCGTGTTCTTTTTCTTCTGTCCAAACCTGCAATACAAGAGAAATTTTAGTTAGTTCCATATTATAAATACATATCTATAACATAAATAACATACATAAAAGGGGTGTGTGAATATCGTTCGAATCGAATCGAATCGAATATCAATATTCGATTCGAAATTCGAATCGAATAATTCGAATTTTCGAATTATTCGAAGAATTTCGAATAATTCGTAAAAATTTCGAATAATTCGAAAGTTTTCGAATAATTCGCGAATTAATAAAATATCTCTGGATCTTCAATTGTATGAATTTAAATTCCTTCAAAATAGTCTACTTACGAATAATATACTTTTTGTTTAAAAATCAATTACCCAGAGAAAACCATTGCTCATTTTTAAAATTTGCAATATATGTTTGAATTATTCGAAATTTTTCGAATTATTCGAAATTTTTCGAACTATTCGAAATTTTTCGAACTATTCGAAATTTTTCGAATTATTCGGGAACTTTCGAATAATTCGAATTTTCGAATTATTCGATTCGAGTTTCGAATCGAATATTAATATTCGATTCGGAACGAATAATTCGTAAGTTCGAATTATTCGCACACCCCTATTACATAACGATAATAACATTATTAAAATAATAATAAAATTTAACGTTTAGTATAGATTTCTCAGAGATGAGATATTTTTCGCCGTAAAAAGTATCCTATATGTTGACCCGGATAACTTTCTGTGATGCGGTAACAGACAGTCAGACAGACAAAAATTCTAAAAACTAGATTCGGCTTCTATATCGATAATAATGTCTATTTCAATAAGATTGTCCAAAAAATATTTAATGTACAGATTCGGCTTAGTTACAATTTTATTATATGTATAGATTTGCATTTAAATTTATATATAAAGGTGTCTTTTCTGAAAAACCCCGACCAAAGCTGGGTCGCCCAAGTCCTAAGAATATTGACTTAGCTTTAAATTTTGAGGTAATAAGGATTCAGTTAATTATTTCGCTAACAAATGCTGTTAATAAAGCAAATTAAGCGAAAATGGAAATATCTTGTTCGGAAATTACGTAAATTATAAAGGATAAATATTTACATCTAATTTCTCTGGCGCACGTGTTGTGAGGGAGTTTGGCAAAGGTCGTTGACTCTTATATATAAACAAACTAGTAAATACTTGCGACTTCACTCGGACATTGTTTTACCGGTCACTTAACATTTCCCGAAATTAGCTCTAGATCAAACTTTAAAATTATAATAAATAAATAAGTTGGGACATTAACACACAGCACTTGTGTTGTGGATACCAGGTAATTGATAAACCATACATATATAACTTTAAATACATACATATTATAAATATAAACAGCAATGACTGGAGTACAAACATTTGAGCTCATCACACAAATGAATGCCCCCAGCGGGATTCGAACCCGCGATCGCTGGCACAGCAAGTAGTGACCCTACAAACTGAGCCAAGCGTGTCGTCAAAACGTGTTTTTAATATGTCCGTACGTACTTCGTTGAGATTTATATTATAAGAAAATGGCAAAGTACTAAAATACTAGATATCCTGATTTATATAAAAGTATTCTTCAAATTTTACTTTCAGAGGAAAACCTATTGAAAACTTTCAAACTGTCATCGACGGTGTGTAAGTTGTATCGGATAATTTGTTATTTATTGGTCTTTGTGCAATAGTTACAATCAGTAAGTAATTAAATATTGTAGTTATCTACAGATAAATAGCCATGGACAAATATTTGTCTCGTCTGTTTGTCAATCTTTTGTTTATTAGCTGTCTAAGAGCTTTAGGGCTTTCAATATATTTTTTCATATAAATAGAAAAAATACAAGATAGTTAAGTATTATTACCTATACATATAATAAAATTGTAACTAAGCCGAATATAAACATTAAATATTTTTGGAATATCTAATTGAAATAGACATTATTATCGATACAAAGGCCTAATCTATACCTAGCTTTTAGAATTTCTGTCTGTCTGTCTGTGACCGCAACACGGAAAAATCACTGGAGGGATTTTGATGAAATTTGGTATGATGATAGCTGGTCATCCGGATCACCATAACGGATACTTTTTACTGCGGGAAAGTATCCTATCTCTGAGAAATCTATACTAAACGTTAAAACGTAAGTAGTTACGAACCCAAGCGGAGCGAAGGTGAGTCGCTAGTGTTTTATAAATTTTCAATAAGGATTTTGGTCTAATTGCGACCATTGGAGGAACACTAGTATTCATAAAGTTACGACTATTCAAATTGAAGTCAGACCGTAGGTGCTGTCACTAAAAATTATTTCCAGAAATTCCCCAAATTCTAGGTAAATGGAAAATTTTCATTAGAATTTCACAAATTATATTGCCTCAATCAAAATTAAGTATCTAACTTGATTTGATATCAGCTGTTAGAGTTAAACGAGATTCCGGATCTCAGCACTCATTACCCTCCCTCGCCGGCAATCTGTCCCGAATATAATTACGTTGGGACGAATTGCAATTTGCCCATCGAATGGACACCTACGCCTATAGATGGAAATATTTAAATATTTTTAACTGACTCAAAAAAGTGAGGTGCTTATTTAGTGTCTGTGAGTTTTTTGATGTATGATCCAAGCATTTTTATAGGGCAACCTATTTTCATGATTATTTTTATTATTGGTTACAATCCTCCAAAGCTGGTAATGAACATTTATAAAACAAAAATCCCTTAAGTTTTAAATTATATAATATCGTAAAAATAAAAATTGTCGTTTAACCGATGAAAAAAGTAGGGATTTTCGACTCGATGCTTTACTGGTTATCACTTCTTTCTCTATCAAATGAGAATACTCATTTTAAGAATTTTAGATTCTTGCATTTGCTAATATCTCAAATTAAATGTTTATTTTTACACGCATATTGAAATGGTAAAAAATAATAATTTGTAGAAAGTTCTAATTTCTCTATTTGTCTATCAGTGACAAATATTATCTACAAGAATGTAAGTTTACCAATAATCCATCTTTACATAACATAAAATGAAGTCGATTCCGCTGTCTTGTTCGCTTAGATCTTTTAAACTACTCAATGGATTTTAATGTTCTTTCAGCAATAGATAGAGTGATTTAAGAGGAAGGTTTATGTATATAATACGTGCATATTATAGTACAGAAAAGCCGAGAAATCCATATATTTGTATTTCATACTAACCGTTAAAACGTACCTAGGGACGAACCCGAGTGAAGCGAGGGTGAGTCGCTAGTAATAATATTATAAATGCGAAAGTAACTCTACATATCAGTCTGTCTGTTTGACTCTGGGAAGGACATGGGATAGTTTTTATCCCAGAAATTATCTTTTAAGGGGGTGAAAAGGGGGGTAGAAGTTTGTATGGGGAATCAATAATTTTCAAGTAAGGGATATAAAACTCATCATACCTATATTAGTATATATAGTATATAGTCTAGCTAATCCAACTGTTAAAAAGTACGCAGAGACGAAGTGAGGGTGAGTCGCTAGTATATAGTATATCATCTTTTATTCCTCCACATTAAGAAATACTCATATAGACTAAGTATTAGATCCATTACAATTTCATTGCCAATTAATTATTCCTTAAGCTATCAAGGTCAAAATGCAAAATTATTAGAAAAACCATTTATCTCGTCCAAGACTCGAACCCGCGACCAAGGCAATAAACATACATGTCACTGAACTATATTATTTGCATGTAAACGGTCATTGGCACCCGCCACTTTAATCAAGGTGTAATTGCTTCGACAGGACACTAATGCGATTGAAACTGTTATTACGGAGTAATGGCTGCGGCGTATCTACCTAGATGTAGACGTCAAATCGTAGATAGATTGCTGAAATTGTTATTTATATTTAATTAGCTTTTTGCGGCTCTGCACGCTTATTTTAAGTTTGCAGGATTAATCTACTATCGGCCGTAGTGTGATGCCTACACCTTTGCTTAATAAATAGGCTATAAAACGCAAGAAGATTTTTTCAATTCGGACCAGTAGATCCAGAGTTTAGCGCGTTACAATCAGTAGTTCATAAACTAATGAACAATTTTGTTTTAAAAATATTTGTAGTCACTGGGTAGGTTCTGACTTATAAAAGGTCAAGGAGAGGTCTAATTGGGCAGAGTGTTAGTTTGGTGGTGGTGTTTGGTACCATTTTTAAAATTTGGCGGCGCGAGCAGCAGTCGCTCAAGGTCGCACATTCGGAATTTTGCTTCTAATTTTTAGAACTCTTCTACACTAATATTATAAAAAGGAAAGATTTTCTTTATTTGTTTGTACCGAATAAGCTCCAAAACTACTGGAGCGATTTAGATGAAATTTAGCTCTTATCAAATCTATCTATCTTCTTAGATAGTTTGAGACCCTCAGAAGGATATAGCATAGTTTTTTCCTGAAAATCATCCCTTAAGGGGGTGAAAATGGGGATGAAAGTTTGTATGGGGAATCAACCTAGGGACGAACCCGAGCGAGGCGAGGGTGAGTCGCTACTCGTATAAATTAATCTTGTATAAATTAAAATGTCTTTGTTCCCAATGATACCATAGGATTACATTAGGAGCAAAGATATGGTTTTAAATAAAAGCTTACATTACATCACAGGGATCCTTTAATGTACCGATCCTCCGGCCTACGAACTTTCATATTTCTAATAATTAACAAAGATAATAAAATTTATTATAGTACTATTCTTTATTGCATTTATATGTAAAATACAGAGAGTAACAAATAATAAAATTAGTTAGCAAAGGTGGACTTATCTCTAGAAGAGATCTCTTCCAGTCAACCTAAGTGAGTTAGAGAGATAGTATTAAAATGCAGGCTAAAGTGCAGTAACTCAAATGTAAATAATTAAATAAATATATATTATATATACATATAACAAAACATTATACATATTATATACATAAATATATGTACATACTACTACATACACAAATACATATCTATATAATATAATGCATAATAATAGTAGTTAATATAATTATTGTGGAATAACTTGGGTGAGAAAGTGCTGTTTTATTTTCTTTTTAATATTTTACTGGTATCAAATTATAACTTAAAATGCCTTATTTTTGTAACAGCCGTGAGACCAACTACAATGTTCCATAATACGATTAACTTATAAATAGACTAGCGACTCACCCTCGCTTCGCTTGGGTTCGTCCCTAGCTTGCTTCCCAATACAAACTGTCATACCCATTTTCATCCTCTTAATGGATCTATCTTTTTACCAAATTTCATCTAAATCGGTTCAGTAGGTTCAGAGATTACCCCTACAACGTCACAAACTCACAAACTTTACCTCTATAATATTAGTATAGATGTCTAAGCACTAATACCTTCAAAAATGATGGGATTTCATCAGAGCATGAGTTTATTTCCTTTGTGCGTTATACAAGGACCCCTTGTGCAAAATTGCGTTCTTTTAGATTCTGCATTTATCTATCTTTAGTACTTTAGCCAGATGAATTTGTTTCAGATGAAATCATTTTAAATTTTGACGGTCGGGCCTCTTTTCAATGTCGAACGATTAAGCTGAAGTGGCCTTTGAAAACTTGGTTCTCTAGACATGCACGTTTTCTTATGATGTTTTCTTTCATCATAACTTTTCCTTTGTAATTTTTTAAATCAGGAGTTTGAACTCGGTTTATTTAGTTTAGCTATTTCTATGGGGTTATCATTGCTGTTATCATCTAGTGGTGAGACTATAAATTATCAATAAGTCAAATGCCTGCTACCTAGACAAGTCGTTTCACACGCCCCATTCGGTATAAATAACGGCGATAAATAATCTGTTCGCGACACCGGTCGTGTTGAGTGGCCTTAACTTCGCAGCATTGAATGTGGATGTTTGTTACACCGTTTGAAATTCAATTAACTTAGAGTTTTAGGGGAGATATATAATAAAAAAAATACTATGTAGAATTTTTCTCGAAGACAATGAATGAAAAAAAAATATGATGATAAGTGGTTGCCATTATCTAAAGGATGATATTTTAGGACAAATTATTATAATGCAAGGACTTATATACTTTTGTAGTGTAATTTATAAAGAAAGGTTGCATTCATGGAGAATAATTGACTTTTTAAGTACTCTATTAGTGGTCTCGCAAAGGGCACATGCAATCACTGTGATGCTAGTAATCATATGCTGTCAGAACAACAATCAGTCCGTCTCTCTCTTTTAGCAATAGACAGGAGTATATACATTAAAATAAGTAATCAAAAAGTACAAAATTAAAAGGGAACATCTGACTACTATTTAAATGCGAAAGTTTATCTGTGTGTATGTTTGTAATTCCTTCAAGATGAAACTAGACGAATTTGGATGTATAGTAGACAGATAGATTTTAACCTGGAGATACTCATATGTTACTATTAGGTACATAGGAACCCAAGCAAAACAAGGATAAGTTCTTAGTAAGAAATATAGATAACACGGTGTGATATAGTGACGCATTATTATAATGCCTATTGTCATTTCGTAGTATGTTTGTTTTGTTTAGCTTCGCCCTTATAATGATTCATGGAACTACCCAGGTCGGTTTAAATAGGGCTTAGGTACTATTTGGTTTCTAACTAATCCCTTTTTAGAAATGACATAGCATGTATACATATAAATAAAATTGAAGTGTCTATCTGTGATTTCATAATAACTATATTTTTTTCAAATAAATAGAGTTATTTATATGATACCAGTACATAACAACCCTTTGTAATTTTTTTGTCTTTTTTCTTTCTATTTGGCCGAAGTAATCTTTCGAAGGGCTTGGACGATTATAGTGGTATTTTTAAAATCTTTATATGAAATATAGAGGAGTTTATAGTGCTACATATAGAGTATGTTTTATTCCGGAAATATTTAAGGCTCCAGTGCGAAAATTAGAAAATATAATAAAAAATAAACACAAAAAAAAAGTTTCTACACTGATAGGAATGCACCAAAGCGTAGCAAGAGAAAGGAGGAAGAAGGTTTTATTTATTATTATAACTATTTATAATTTTTTTTACTAATTCACTTACAAGGTAATAAGAGGACTTTTATTTGATACAATTCGTATGTTATAAAAATAATGAATAACACCAGTTCATAATAGGCCAAAGATATCACGTGAACCTTCTATTTATTAAAGTTGATTAAAAATACGTGTTTAAATTATTTATATCTTTACGTATTAAATAAATTATTAACATAAATAATAGAAACAATAAATATACCAATGTTCTTGGGTAAAAATAAAGTAGTAATATATTTAAAACAAAAGTTACCTTGTGTGGTGTTATTCTTTGATACTGGAATAGAGGTTGATGAATACCTGAAAATAAAAATAATTATATATAGAATACGAGTATAATTGTATTTAGATGTATAAGTATAAAAGAAAGCATTTGTATGTCCTTTATGCCTTTTTTTAATATTGTTGTAACATTCCGCGTACCACCATGTAGGACTCACCAGCTAGAAAAGCTACCCACAAAAATCCAACAAAATCTCCCCCGTCTTAATGGGTTGCCGCTTACTCACTTAACCACGACGTCCCGACGGTAGACCTGGTAAGGCAGACCACAGCTACCAGGGAAGTGTTCCCTTCTATTCTGCTGAGAAGTACCAGGAGCAACCCGCATGGTACATCGTCCACCAATCTGGGCCACCTTTTAGTCTATCTTTGGGATTCACGCTCGATCGAATCACCGAACACTAATGAACCCGCCCACCACGACAAGATATTCCAAATCCATTCTGATACTGATAATTTCTTCATCAGGACGAGCTAACAAAGCTAGCCATTAGACAAACGAGGCAATTCATAAAAATGCTTTATATAAATAACCCGAGTCGTATACAAATGATTGCAAATGGTAATAAAGAATTTTTATTTCATTCACAAACAAAGGCATTTAGTTTGAATGTTGTCAGTTAGCGGTTGGAGTAGCAACGTTCAGCCACTAATTGGTTTTATAAAACATAATTGGTATGTTTTAATGTAATTACATGTAAATTTACTTTAAATAACTCTGTATTTGCAAATATATTAGCATAAACCAGAAGTAGATACACTTGGAAAATATTGCAAGTAGAAGATGTTATGTGAGTTCGATGGAGAAGATTTTGATGTTTGGTGAATTCTTTGCTGATTCAAAACTCAGTTAAATGAATGAGCATCAAATGCTCAAATCTAATCTCTACTTTGTCTTTTCCATACCCTTCCTTCTTCCATTAGCTCTTCAGCTCTCAAACAGCAAGGTATTTACGTTACAAACTTAATTAAAATATCATCAAGGAAATATGATATATGTTTGTTTTCCCCCCTTTTTTTTAATAAAATCATTGTTCTTATGGAAAAAAATACTAGACGTTTATTAAGTTTTGAATAAAACATCTACTTTTAATATTTTAATAAATAAACACAAGTAATTATTTTAGTAAATCTGATATTATATAAAAATAAGATAATGTATAAGTGATAGACAATAAAATAGATTGACAGCTTAACGCTTCCAAATAAGATTACGGGATTTCCATAACATGGTAGACGATGTCAGTTTACTGGATTTTGAACATCATGTAATAAATCAGTAACAATTTGGTATGATGAGGGCAGAATTAGGCATAAAATTTCTATATTCTACAACATTTTATTTATATAACATCCTCCTTGCTGTACTTATAGTGACTTGTTTGTTGTTGATAAATCGTGTTTGTTCATGGGTTCGAGTTCCGGCTTGGGCTAAATGTATTATTAAGTTTTGGTCTTGAGTTAACCTACCTCAAAGGGGTAGAAAAGTATCGCCAGTCGTATCAGAGTCAATGATAACAAGACTAATTTCTGCATGAGCGGCCAAAGTCTCGAATCTAATACATGGTATGAAACATTCGTGGAATTCAACGTGTTTGATACATGCACAAGCTCGAGCAGAGGCCGTTAAGTATTGTCTTTATTTACTTGTAAATTTTTAGCAGAACTAAAGTACTATGAATACGATTTTTTATGTGTGTTTATATGTTTGTTACTCATACACGCTGTAGTAGGTTGACGAATTTGGACGAATTCTAGTGTAGATACCTATAGATCATGACTTGGACTAGTACATACGCTACTGTTAACAAATAAATTTGCAAAAAAGTGACTCGACCTGCTTATATTAAATAGAAAAAAGCGCCTTGAATAATAAATACCTATATAAATAGGCAAAGACAAAACAGTTCAGTAACTTTTTCTACATTTTATTGATTTCCTTTTTTTTTGTTTAGTAGCTATTTTGACGAGCTTCAGTGTTATCATTAAATGGAAACAGTCTTTTTTTGTCGACACGTTTGGTTCAGTTTGTAGTGACCCTAGTTGCTGTGCCAGCGGTCGCGGGTTTGAGTCCCGCTGGGGGCATTCATTTGTGTGACTAGCACGAATGCTTTTACTCCAGTCATGGGTGTTTATATTTATAAAATGTATGTATTTATTATTATATTTATATAGTGTATCATCTATCTGGTATGCATAATACAAGCCTCGTAGCTTACCATGGAACTAGATGGTACTGTGTTAATGTCCCAACATATTTATTTATATAGATAAGTAAATTCTATTTTTATATTATGTTTTCCTCAAACTTTCGGTCGAATTGCAACCATAATCACTATAGATTTTCTTTACTACGCGAAGACTAATCCTTATACATCATAACGTATACAAAAACTTTTTTGTCCATAACATATTTTTTACATCTACCGTTCTTTTATTTACGGTGTCTCGTCGCGACACGAACTGAGTATCATCCATGCATTTTCGCCAAAAATATAATACAGCTTGCTAACTTAGCAAATAAGGAATTCTACACGTGGAGATTTCGTTCAAAAATATATTTTTTATCAATTTGATAATATATTTTGATTTCTCAAAGGTCTTCTCATAATCGTTGTGCAGTTAATGACTATTAACATTGGTTGTATCAAACCAGGCACTTAGTAGGTCGTATTTTTTTCTAATGGAGTTAGTTTTAAAACGTACGTACGTAATGTATATACAAAACTCATATTAAGAGCAATGTTCATTGGCGGTCATCAATATAATATAATTTTGGCTTTTAAATCATACTGATTTTGTCGCAAATTTAATAAATTGATGTGAATCATTTTATTAGTTATACAAGCATTTCTTCTGATTCGTCATAATTAAGAAGAGTAAGAGCGAGAGAGCTCTTTGTTTTATATTGATTCTAAATCATAAAGCATTGTTTTATTTACTAGTTTAATGTCATGTTCCAAAGAACAAAATGTAAACCATTTCTTAATTATGATACTAACGATATTTCTGTTCGGATTTCATTTGCAACACCTTTATTATTCCTCACCTATGCGGTTCATTAAGGTGCGTGTTTAAAACGCCTCGTATGCAAGTCGCCTTATGTTGTGAATAATTCATTCACATCTTCACATGCTTGATACAGGCAAGGCCACGTAGAATGGGGAAGTCAACATTTACATAATTTATCCCGAGAACCAACTTGAGCGGTTTGGAAATTTGCTGTAAATTTGCAAATTTTATCTCCCCTTGTTTATAACTTAAGTATTATTGAGGTAATTACGCGTATGTATGTATGTATGTATGTATGTATGTATGTATAGTTGACGTTTTACCGCCAGTCTAAATTAGCCATTTTCCTTTAACAAGTTCTAAAAAGTATTTGTATATATTAAATCCTATTATTCCATTAATATTATAGATGTGAAAGTTTCAATGAATGGTTATTGCTAAATCACACCAGGACGGCTGAACGGATCTGGATGAAATTTGGTACAGAGATAGATTAGTCTGGAATAGCACATAGGTTACTTTTTATCTCGGAAAAAATTACGGTTCCTGTGGGATAAATTTGTTTTTGTTTTTCACTAGTTGCTAGTTTATATATAAAACTTAATTAACTCTGTACGTACAGACAGCTGTAACTAAAAAAAAAAAAAATATTATTATCTTTAGTTACTATTGCAATGAACTAATGCTACGCGATATAGATATCTTGTATACACATTTTATAGGTTTTTGAACTTGGTGAATTTTTCATTTATATATGTTTTTATAATGGCTTAAATATATATAAACATTATTTTTATGGAATTACGTTGAACTCTTGTACTATATAGTTTTATGGCGACTCCGCACGCGTTTTTCAATTATGTATTACCTACTATATCTTTAAAAATTACAGCTTATGTGTTATTCTGATATATAAGCTACATATATATAGTAAAGTTTCATGAATATCCGTACAGTAGTGTTTGGGTGAAAGAGTAAAAAACATCCATCCATCCACACAAAGTAAAAATATTCTGGAGTTAAAACTATACGAAAAACAAGGCAAATACAGATTCATAAATATATTATGTTTATTTTATCCAAATTAGTACTAATTTGGAAATAATTGCTATTGGTTAAATCATCGAATTACAATTTCAGTGATCCTCTAAGCGGTTTAAAATTCAGAAACAATTAATATTTAGCGCTTTCCGAGAATGATGAGTTAAATGAGTTTTGTAATGAGTAGTAATAGATAGTTTATATTATATAATTATAGTTGAGGTAAAATGACACCTCTTTTTACATAGTATATAAAAACTCTTTAACAAAAAAAAACCGACTTCAAACAGAAGCACTAAAAAGTAAAAAATAACTGATTGGTAGTTTTCATTTACTGTACATACCTAATCAAATATTTTCGAAGTCTACGACTTTGAGTAACATATATGTATGTAGGTTACTGTTAGGAAGAATATTAGCTAAAATGGGGCGCTGCCTGAATAGAATATTTTAGATACAAAAAACAGTGAGAGACGCGATCCGAGGAAAGCGAGGATGACTCGCTAGTGTATTATCTATATACTAGCGACTCACCCTCGCTTCGCTCGGGTTCGTCCCTGACTTGCTTCCCAATACAAACTTTTATTCCCATTTTCACCCCCTTTAGGTATGATTTCCGGGATAAAAAGTATCCTATGTCCTTTCCAGGGTCTCAAACTATCTTTATACCAAATTTCATCTAAATCAGTTCAGTACATCTAGAGATTACCCCCTACAACGTCACAAACTCACAATTCACAAACTCACAATTCACAAACTCACAAACTGTACCTCTTTATAATATTAGTATAGATAAATTTCGTAATAATCATCATCATCATCATGATCATCATCATCATAGATAAATAAAAATTAAACACCGAATTTATGTACGCGTATAACTTCGGTTATACTGCACTAAATTGGATAATACTTTTCTTTTTTTTGTGTTTGTTATTGTCAGGAAGTTTTGTATATAAGAAAATTAAAAGAACAAAATTTTTTTTACGAAAATAAGATTTTTTTTAAATCTTCTGACATGAAAAGTGAGTGAGTGAAATAGTATTTTATCTCGGAAATCATCCCTAAAGGAGGTGAGAATGGGGATGAAAGTTTGTGTAGGAGGCAAGCTAACCAAGGGACGAACCCGAGCGAAGCGAGGGTGAGTCGCTAGTAATAATATATAGAGCTCTCTAACGTTTGTCGTTCGGACGATTCTATTTTTTTAATAAACACGAGTGTAGGAAGCGACGTCGCGTCGAGAGCTTTTGGACCAGCGGAGCGTGCATCTTGTTCAAACATGTCGTACTCGTATATCTATCTCACTACCACATTTTAGATAAGTAACATTCGTTTGCATGATTATGATATTTTTTTATTATGAGTGTAGCATTTAATTTTTAAGTACTTTTTCACATTACACACTTTAAATCTTTCATGTATCGGTACGGTTTCATGTATGGCTGTAATTCATTTTATATATATAAAGAAAAAATCTGTTATTCTATTTGTTTATTATCATTAAACAATCAAATTGCTAAGCTTATTATGATTGAATTTAGAATAGTCATCGTTTGTGTTTTGGAACCACGTCTCAGACAAGTACTTTATCGAGGAGGTGGCAAGTTTTCACAAGATAAAAGTTTCGTGTTTGCTATACTGTATGTAAAATGGTAAGTTTTGTTTTATGCCTATCACTTAGATCCCTTATTTGAAGCACGAGGACTATTTTGGTATCAAAAAAGAGTTATGTATATATTTATCATATTTAAATACTCATTATAACCTCTTAAATATTGTACAAAGTTCCATTCAAATTGGTAAAGTAACTCAAAAATTTCACGCAGAGGCCATAATTTTTGGCTACGAGCTATTATAGTTATACGTATCCAAATAAAACAAAAGGTAGTTAATACACTAGTTGTTCATATACTGTGAATTTAGGTGAAGACTGTGCTTTATAATATTTTGAACGGTACATATAAGTTTAAACTCTTCTTTTTGAAGTGAAATTGTATTAAAGTAGGTATAAATTAAAAGTGACCTTGATACAAAAATATTCACTTTCCTTTATACATAATACCATAAAGTTTTCATCTTTTGATAAACCATCAGCTCCACCTTTTCGGTGAAACACAAAAACAAATCAAACCCACGGGAACCGTACTTTTTCCGGGATAAAAAGTAACCTATGTGCTATTCCAGACTAATGTCTTTCTCTGTGTCAAATTTCATCCATATCCATTCAGCCGTTCTGGCGTGATTGAGTATCACATATATATACATCCATCCATCCAAACTTTTATACTTTTGTTATATTAATAGTAATGAGATAATTTAGATGGAATTTTATACATGGATATAATGTTCGAATATGATATATATTTAAACTAGTATCTTAAATTTTTTGTTGAAAATAGTTTATACAAAGCAGCAATCTATACATATAAATAAAAATAAAGTGTCTGTTTGGAATGTCAAAAAAAAGATTTTTGTTCAATGCATATAAAGTAAGGTACCACCTACTCGTACATAATATAAGAAAAACACAATTTTTAAAACTTTTGTCTGTCTGTCTATCTGGTTGTCTGTTTGTTTCGGTTAATCTCCGAAATGGCTAGACTGATTTTAACGGGACTTTCACTGGCAAATAGCCGATGTTATAAGGAGTAATTTAGACTAGGTACTTTAATTTTAGAAACAAATCAGGGTTCCGCTCAAAAAAATTAAACGCACCCGAGCAAAGCGAGGGTAAGTCACTAAAAACTAATAAGAGAGTATAACTTTTTATTTCTTTACAAAGGAGCGAAGTTTTACGCCATGATCAATTTACATAGCATAGTTATGTCTTCTTCATCTGCCTGGCATTTATTAATCTCGGCTATTGCCAGGTTTTCGCCAGTTATGTTTTATAATAAAAAGAATTATACAAATTAACCGTGTAGAAAGTCACGGGGAACAACTAGTATGTAAATTTATTACGGACGTGATGCAAATTTCAAAGTGCATCGGATGACAACGCTTCACTCGGTTATGAGGTTGCCTCATCGCACCTTCCATACTTAATAAAATCTGTCGCGACATTTTTAATATTGACAACGTGGATATTATTTTTCCACCCTGACTTTTCGCAATTATAAAGAGACACATACATACATACACATACATACATACCACACATACATACATACACATATATACAAATACATACATAAATATAATCAGTCACAAAGTATATCATCTAAATTAACATTAAAGTTGATCAAATTCCTACTGACTAGATAGCAGAAGAAGTAAAACATGCAAATAAAACAATATGCATTGTTATGGGAATATTAAATTTTTCGTGTTCGCAATATGAGATGAAAGGATTTTTAAAATCATCCAGTCACAAAATTGTTGGAATGTATAGCAGAGTAGAGATGTAGATGCTGTTTTGTTACTTTTGCTATTCAATATTTTCTTTCATTTCGAAACAAGTTTTTGCGAATTTTAATTAATTTTAATAACAGTTGGTTCGAGATTTATTTTTTGTCAGCACTAAATTCAAGTGTCGAGAAGCGTTGGTTTTGTTCTCCCTTTTTTTACCGTTTAGATACTTTCCAAAAGCCTTAAACAATAAATAAAATAAATATGTTGGGACATTAACACACAGCACCATTTAGTTCCATGGTAAGCTACGAGGCATGTGTTATAGATACAAGATAGACTAAACATATATCTTTAAATACATGTATATATGTATTAAGCCCTTTTAACGTCCCACTGCTGGGCACGGGCCTCCCTTCATACGAGAGGGATCAGGCCATAGTCCACTACGCTGGCCAAGTGCGGATTGACGGACTTCACATGTCTTTCGAAAACTTGCTAGGTTCTTTCAGACATGTAGGTTTCCTCACGATGTTTTCCTTCACCGTAAGGCAAGTGGTAATCATGTTAGAAATGATTCGCACATGAAAATATCAAAGGTGCGAGAACCGGGATTTGAACCCCCTTCACTCGGTTTCCCAAGCGAGCGCGTTACCACTGGGCTACCACTGCCTTTAAATACATACATATTATAAATTTAAACACCCATTACTGCAATA